ATTTCGGATGAAAATTTTGAATATATAACTGCTTCTGATGTTACTTGGGGTGGCTTTAATTGGCATTTAAACTTCCGATGGTATCCAGTAAGTATCATTCTTTACACTTTTGTATGTTTCCTTCTTAAGATTGGTAGAGTAAATCAAAATCCAAAAATTTTCAAGAATTTTCAAAGTTGTTTATATAATTTTATTACACACTTATTTTACAGGTACCGATGCGAGAAATGGAAAGGCGTAATCACGACCGTTCAGTTCCCCTTCAGTTAGCTTTTCATGTGATTTTCCTGTTTGGCTTTTTAGTCTCAAATGCAGGAAATATTTGTAGCCAAAGATGTTGTGATTTTATCAATTCTAAATTTTAATTTATTCAGGACTCCGACAATTGCTGGTGGTTTGTTTGCTATTGATCGACAGTTTTTTTATGATATTGGCTCCTACGATGAGGGAATGGAAATTTGGGGTGGTGAAAATCTGGAGATTTCATTTAGGGTAATTCCTATATTTAGTAAATTTTGACATTTCAGACTTTTTAGTAACCATTTTTGACTTTTTCAAAATCTTTTTTTTTATTACTATTTTTCTGAAATGAAGTAAATTATAGTGTAGGGAGAATAATTAAGTCCCTAATTCAGTTCTAAGAGTGGCTTCTAGAAAAGTTTTTTATGAAATTAAAGTACAGTTGAGGGATAAAGTCTAAGTGCTTGTATTTTTTCAGGTATGGATGTGCGGCGGTAGTTTGGAGATTCATCCATGTTCTCGAGTCGGTCATGTGTTTCGAAAGCATACTCCGTATTCATTTCCCGGTGGCACAGCTAGAGTCATACATCATAATGCGGCTCGCACTGCTGAGGTTTGGATGGATGAATATAAAGACATATTTTATGGCATGGTGCCTGGTAGGTATTACTATGTTCTCTAAAGGTTGTTGGAATTTTAGCTAGGTCACCTTCTTAATGATCTAGATGGTCTGGTTATGAGCTTCGAAATCGCTTTACTCAAATTGACAATTACAAAATCATCGTTTAATTTTCTTCAATCATATTGTTTTTTTTTTTTTTTTTTTTTTTTTTTTTTGTTTTGTTTTTTTTTTTTGTCTTTGTTCGCATCTACTTCAACTTTAAGGAAGTTATTTTTGAAATATATTTGATTTTTGTCAGTTTATCATCTATCACTTTTAGCTGCCAAAAATGTCGATGTTGGCGATTTAACAGAAAGGAAAATTTTGCGCGAAAATTTACAGTGTAAAAGCTTTCGGTGGTATTTGGAGACGATTTATCCAGAATCACCAATTCCAATCGATTTTTTTAGTTTAGGACAGGTACTTTTCCTTGTGGATCTTTTTTACTTTTTACTTTGATGAATATTTCTTAGCCGCTTGAACCAGTTTTGTCGATTTTGCATAATTGTTCAGTTACTCAATGCTTTCACTTTACATTCATATTAACTTCGGTAATGCTATTTTCTAGTAAGAACTGGTTGAAGGGACATGTTCTTCTACTATATCGCTTATCTATCATTATTACTAACATATATATTGTTATTCTTTTCGAACATTATAAAACATAGAGAGATTTTGTTGTAGGTGCAAAATATGGGAGTAATGGAATGTCTGGATACAGCAGGTCGATCAGCCGGTGATTCTCCTGCAATGCTTCCGTGCCATGGCAAAGGTGGTAATCAGGTTTGCGAAAATTCATTTGGAAGACAATGAATAAATGTTTTTTTTTTACTTAACTCATGCTTGTTGTTTCTTAAACATGTTCGTAATCTTGTTTCAAATGGTGGGTTCATATGTTAGATCCTAATAATTAATTATGTTCATTTCAATAGAGAGTATGCCGTAAATTTCTTGAGGTCGAATCTGAATTCATAAGATGTTTTTTTTTTTTTTTAAATCATGATTCTTAACTGTCATTTGAGAAGTACTTAACATTCGTTACAAAATTAACGTAAATGTCAAAGAAATAAGAATCGTATTTTGATAGTTTTTGCGAACATAATAAAGTTGTAGTTTTTGACACTGGAAAAACTAGTTATATTAACCTAATTATAATTTGTAGTTATGGACTTACACTGGGAAAGGTGAAATTCGGTCTGATGAACTTTGCTTAGCTTTCACAACAAAAGGTGTTAGCATGGAGAAATGTACTGGCTCGGTGCCATTGTCGAAAATGATCTTTGACTATGAGAAGAAAGTAAGTAAAAAAGTAATTCATAGGGTATTTAGTTTGTAAATTTTTGGCGAATTACAATGTCATTGTGTAATAATTCTTAAAACTGTTAGTAACTATTTTAACCAATGTAAAAATTATCACAAATAGGTTTTTTAGAGGAATTTGCTATTGTTTCATTATTTACTTTGAGATCAGGATTATTAAGAAAATTTTCAGATACTTGTGCTAAAGCATCGGGAAACAGGCCTGTGTTTACAAGCAAATGAATCAGGATTACAATTAAGCACGTGTTTACATATGGATATGATTCAGAAATGGAGGTTAGGAGGATATAGGATACTGGATTGATTGTACAGCAACAGCAGTAATTGAAACGGCTATACAATGTTTCTCCCCACTTGTTAAATTACGGAATGTTTGAAAAATATTTTCTTGGTTTTGCTTTACAACAAAGACAATGATTTCTAATTTGTGAATAATATGCTATTGTTTTTATTTTCTGTAGCTTTATTTTTTCTTAATTTTAATAAGTGTTGCTAAAACAAGTTATTCAATTATTTAGTAATGATACTTGATAATTGTTTCCATTTTGTCCAAAATTCAATTTTCAAAAAAAAATTGGTTGTGAGCATAGCTGTTACTTACTTGTTTTTTTTTTTTTTTTTTTCTTTTATATTTATTGTGCAATAGTGACTTGTCAATTTTTATTTATTTATTTATATATTTTGTTATAGAAACGAACACTTTCATTAGTTATGCTTATAGCGAAGTGTGAAACTGTTGTGATTTAGTCAACTGATCGATGAGGAAAAGTTGGCAGATAAGCATGTTGGATACTTTGGGATTATGTTTCTTAGAAAACAACATTTTATATCATTTCTCAAAGAAAGTTTGAGCTTTTTATAGAAGCAATTTATACGATATGAATTATCCAATGCTGCTGTAAGCCGCTAGTATCGTAAGGCTAATGCAGCAATAACAATACCATAAAAGCTTTACATTTTGATATAATCAAATGCAAAATTAACGAATGAAAGTTGAAAAATTTCCTAACATAATTTCATTTTCGATGTTGTTACAGATGTTTAATTATGAGAATTTGGTAATTGTTTTAATATTTTAAACGATTGCTAAATGGATTCTTTCAATGAAATATATTCGAATGATGGTTGTGGTGTTTTTTTTTTTTTTTTTTTTTTTTTTGTTTTATTTCTAAATTTGTTGATTGATTGTGCTGTATTCATTCAAAGATGGTAATTAGCTACTGAATCCGTTGATATTGTGATATTTTTATTCACTTCTTTGGTTTTTTTTTTTTTTTTTCAAGTCACTTTTTCCTTATTCATATCATATTCATTCGAATTTATGTTGATTAAATGCTTGTAGAGTGTAATTATCCTTCTTAGAGGCAAAATAGATTTCCTCACATTTTTTGCATTAATTTTCCTTTTGTATTTTAGAAATTTTTTGAGATTTTTTGGTATTAGAACTTAAACGAATTCCAACTTTCTTAAAGACAAATTAACAATCAAGAACATTTGGTACTGATAGATAAACATGAATTTAAAATAAAATTAAAATTTCTAATGAAAATGAAGTCCGTCCAAACAATTTGTTGTCTGTACATGAGAAATTATTGCAATGAAATAAGTGATAATCAGATCATCGTCTGATAACTTTCCCTTGTATTTTTCTGACTGGTCTCTTTTTCCTTTCTCACAATGATTGTTTTTGTTGTTTAATTCAAGTTCTTTTTTCTTTTCTGAAACACTATCATATGTTTGGATGATTCTGATATAAGTAGTCGGTTTTTAATTTTTACACTCTTAGACGCAGGTTGCCGGTTGCCTAAATTAAATTCAGCATTGTTTGCATAAAAATGCGTATGTGTTAATTGGCCGATAATATGCTTTGTGAACTGTCAACTGATTACTGGTCGTATTTTTTGCATTAATGAAGAACGAATATTCGAGAAATGAATAAATCCGAAAGCAGCTAACCTTTCAAGAGGCCATCGTGTCGAGTTTAGCCTTCGTATGAACCGTTGCTTGCAAATGACTGTTGCTCACTTTCTTTCCTTCCTGTGTAAGTTCAAAAAAGTACTGAGACTGTCAGATTTATGAAGGAATTTGGTATTGAGTGAATTAATATTAGCTAACTGAAAATCAAAAACTGGAAGTCAGAAATTGCGGAACTCGAAGAGGTTGTTTTGGTAATTAATGCATTCGATAATTCATTAGTAAGAATTATTTGTGAGAATATTTCGAAATAAAAATTTCATTCAATTTCTTGTGGAATTCTGGTAATTTGTAAAAGGAATATTGCGCTCTAGAATTCAACTTGGTTATCGCGGATATGCTGCATGAATGATCAGCGTTCTGCCGTGGTCAGTCATTTACAGCTGACCAGTCGGTCACTTGCTGCAAATTGTGCTTTTTTCGCTTGAAATTCAACCAGAAATCACATATTTAATTCGATAAGCTCAGGCAAGATTGTAAAACTCAGAATAAGCTAAATTTTCCTTCATAGCCTAAAGTTTTATCAGCAGTCGATGATTTAGAAAAATAATTGGATCCAGAAGCTTGATTCTTTCCGGTTCAAATTATTCATTCAGTGATAAAAGTTCCTTTAAAAGCTTTAGGTGCAAACCAATTCTTCAGAATCGTTGAATTATAGAAAGAGAAAAGGAATAATAAGTTAAATTTTAAAAAAGTATAAAAAGTAGGAGAAGAGCTGAGATTCAAATTATGAATTTGGAAACTATACAAAAGAGCGAAATTGAAACTAAAATTACAGCACTGAGCAGATTTGCTTATTGCTGAGATGATGGCGGATGCAGCATACCTCGCTGTTGCTTTTGAATTGAGAATACGGTAGAAAAGAAATTCGACAATTCAATCAGCAATTTTCGATGATTACAATTAATTGTTTCGTTTTCAGCTCCAATTCAATAAGTTTTTCAAAAAATATCTAACTTTCAGGGATGGAGAAGATAAGAGTTCCTCTGCACCACCTCCAACATTCGTTTCATATGTTTTCTTTTGAGATTTTTTATCCCAACATACCGAATATATTGCAAACGAGTGATTAAGTGGCAGCAACTTCATTTGCAAAAAGATCAATGTAATACAATCAATGAATACAAGTATAAGGTAATAAAGTAGTGAAAAACAATTATATTTTCTTTCGAGATCCTTTACCGACATGTTGAATATGTATTGCAAATGATGAGTTATTAAGCGGCAGTAAATATAAGTATAAATAAAGTCAATAAATACAAGTATAAATAAAGTAGTGCAACAGTGGAAAAATATAGTACAGTTCCCGATTGTACACGTGAAAAAAAAAAATAAACAACAAACAATAAACAGTAGTGAATTATGTGCAAATTTTGCGCACATATCTAGAAACAATAAAAAATACAATCAAGATCATACACAAACATCGATAAATTCAAGTAATGCTGCCACTTTTATAGATGAAAAAACAAAAAAAAAAAAAAAAAAAAAAAAGAAACAAAGAAACAAAGAAAGGAATTGAGAGATTGTTGAAAAAAGTATTATATTTGATAAGTCGAATATTCATCCCTACTGTATAAAATTTGATTTGTTGACTGACTGTAGCATTAAAAATTGAGATTCAATAGAAAAAAGTTAATCACAAATATCAGCGACTTATGTTTGATGAGGCGGATATTCATCATTGTTGTGTAAAACATAACTTCTTGACTGACTGTACCATTCATTCCAAACAGACCAGATTGACATCTAAGAACAACAAAGTTCAAAGGAAAGAACAAAGTTCATAGAAAACAGAAGTGAAGTTTACGTAAGGTCATCATAACGAACAAGAGAAAATCCTCACCTGTTCATGAGTTCGTGGGAATGAAGAATATGCAGTTGCTTGTGCAACAGATGGATAAACAACTGGTTGTTGACCATAAAACATACCAGAGCCATATTGTCTATTTGCAGTGAACGGATTCTGCTACAATATATATATATATATATATATATATATATATATATATATATAATGTATAAATTTCCTTCGTTTGAAAAAAAAAAAAACAATGAAATTAATTGTTTCTGTAATGTCACATTTATTTCAAAGATTAAATTCCTAAATATATGAAATAAAAATGATTAAGTATATGAAAAAATAAAAGTATGACGAAGTAATAGTTGAGAATTGAAATTTCAGACAATATAAGCATATTTATTTACAGTAGATGAAAAACATACCGTCATTTGATAATAACCAGACATCGGAATACCGTATCCACTTGGTTGTCCAATGTTTCCACTTGCATCGTATATCGTTCCTGCTTGATTATATAGCGTCGTCTGGAAAATGGAAATGAATGGAAAATATTATAATACAAATATAATATGTTGTAATTTTTCAACACTACTACACGTAATGTAGACTTAGCAATAAAAATATGGCATGGCAAGAACTCTAGTAATGCACAAAATAACAATAACTACCACAAAAGAAAAAATTACAATAACTTACAGTAGTTACCTGTGCAACTGATGCTACATAATAAATTGGCATCGAATAATAATTATATCCACTCATCGCCGCATTTCCTCCAATTGAATTACTCGCTGTTGCTGCTGGCGTAGTCTAAAATATTTCACGTACGAGACCCATCAGGTAAGAGGTAAAACAAAATGTAAGGTGACTTTTCCACAACCTTAGTAATACATGAAATAATAATTGCTAGCAAGACTTACCTGTGTAACTGATGTTGTATAATAAGCTGGCATCGAATAATAATTATATCCACTCATCGCCGCATTTCCTCCAATTGAATTACTCGCTGTTGCTGCTGGCGTAGTCTAAAATATTTCACGTACGAGACCCATCAGGTAAGAGGTAAAACAAAATGTAAGGTGACTTTTCCACAACCTTAGTAATACATGAAATAATAATTGCTAGCAAGACTTACCTGTGTAACTGATGTTGTATAATAAGCTGGCATCGAATAATAATTATATCCACTCATCGCCGCATTTCCTCCAATTGAATCACTCGCTGTTGCTGCTGGCGTAGTCTAAAATATTTCACGTACAAGATCCATCTGTGTTTTAAGTAAGAGATGATATAACAAAATTTATCGTTGATTTTTTCATTACTAGATAAAGAAGCTTTACTAGATAAAAACTTGATAATGCATTGATTACATAAAAGAACCAACTTGCTGAAATTGCCCACTATAACAAGCTGGCATGACAATACCATCTCCACTTCTTTGTACAAATGGAAAATTTCGTGATTGTGATGGCTTAGCATGCACAATTGACGGTCGACTCTAAAATTGATAATGTTCATCAATTTGTCATCGTGAAATTTTATTCTTCACATCTGTTTAATATTTGCAGAAATTGACAGAAATTAAGTGTTCAATTAATGAAGTATGAGTAACTAATTATTTAGCTTAAAACAATATAAAATGTTTACCTGAATAGCTAAGGTAATTTGATCGATTGAAGTGAAACTTTGACGATGCGATGAATTTACGATAGGTGCGGATAAAATCGGTAGTGGTGCATCGCTAGTTCGAATTCCATTCAGTATTGGACAAGACTGATTATTAATTAAATTGTGTGGTACAAATGGCGGTGCATCCAAATTCCAAATGAATTCTTCCCTGAAATTCTTTTATTGTTAATATGTTAATAATTATTGATTGTAAATGTTAAATTGATCATCCTTCATTTGCAGCAAATAATTTGCAAGGAACAAATTATAATATATTCTTGCCTGTTTAATGCATTATTTGCTGCTACACTTGCTACTATCTGATCCGGCGCAGATGATTGCTCCGTTTGTTCACTTTCAAATGCTACGGAAGTGGTAGTTGTAGTTTGTGTAATTCCTGATTGTGATAAAACTACAGCTGTTGCTGCTTCTGTTTCGGATAATATCGTGTTCGATTCAGCAAGAGTGGATGTTGTCAACGTATCATTATCATTATCATTCTCTGATCTATCCGGAGACGTTGAATCTAAAAGAATGATTATTACGTTTCAATATGATTTCCACTGGAACACAACCGTTAATAATTGATTTATTAATTATTGATACCTGCCGATTCGCGACTCACTTCCTCAGCAGTTTGTGTATTGCCTAATATTATAGTCATTTCATTTTCCACGTCAATATTCCTCAGTGACATCCAAAAGTCTTCTAAATAAGTTAACGGTGTTTTTATTGCTATTTCAGATGACTGTCAAACGATTTGTTATAAATTTATTTAATCATAAGCAAGAGAAAATAATATTGTAAATTGCAAAAAATCATTCATTACTATTATAAATAAAAAATACCTAATGGTTTAAAATTAAATACTTCGGCAACCGCTCTTTCTAATTTTGAACTTTGACGATGCGATGAATTTACGATAGGTGCGGATAAAAAAAAACTCTATGATCTCTACTGCTCTATGACCTCTTAGGGAGGTCAAATGAAGAATTAAGAGTTGAACCGACTACAAATCTTTTAGAAGTGAAAACTGATAAGTTAATTAAAATTGATATGTAATAAAAAACTGAATAAGTATTTACATTTGAACATAATGTTCCATTCACTTTGTCGAAGTTTTATTATTGCGAAGTGCATATTTGGTGATTAAATTAATTTCAAATTAATTCTTGCAAATCAGCATAATATTTTTATTTGCTCATTACATATATTTTATCTACACTTTTGTAACACCGATCTTATTAAAATCGCACTACAATTCACTTTGAACTCATCAAAATTTAAAAAGCTTTTTACATTTCTTGGGGTTAAAGGTCTCAAAGCAAAATATCAGTAAGAATGAAAACGACAAATTGTATTTTTTTTTACATTCTCCTGAAATTCAATAGAAATCCATAATGTTTTCTAATGCGAAATTGGCAATAAGATTATTTTATTTTCCTTTTTTTAATTTTAACTTTATTTTCAAAATTTAGATTTCAGATTCAAAATTATTTTGATTATTTTAATTTTATTTTTAGTTTCTAGACTGAATTTGAATTCATACAGCATTTCCATGTTCATATTTTAACTCAACAATATATTTGTTTTATGAAACGATTTAAAAATGGGATTTATATTGCACATCTCATTTGAAAATTGTTTGCGGTTAAGGTTTTTTTCTCTCTCGACTATCTCAAGTGGGCGGGATCTCGTGTTCAAAATACCTATCGGCATCGATTTTTGTTCTCTTTTTTACAGGTATGGTCGCATTCTACAATTCTTTCGTTTAAAGGTTGAAGTAAAACTGCTGTGTAAGGATGATGAGGTTTTGCGGGATGAAAAATTAAAATTTTTATTTCTAACTTTCTTCAGCCAATCAAATCTGCCCTATGAATAGGCATGGCATACTGTAGGGAAATGAAACTGAAAGAAATTTCAGAAATTTATTATATTTCATTTTCTAGTCAATTTTAAGTGTCAATTAACAATTTTGAATGAGAAAATTCTTTCTCAAAAGCTACGATTGGCTAATATTGGGATTATTGCTTGTAAAGTATATCTTTTATAGAAGCATAATTAGATGCCTCGGATTATCTTCCTTCCTGCAAATGTGAGAATGATGTAGGAATTTTCATTTTCACATATTTCTCATTACAATGCTTCAAAAAGGATCATACCTATTCTATTATTTGCACACTTTTCCTTTCAATAAATAATTTCTTATCATCAGTAAGTATTAGGATGGATTCTTTTAATGACAATTGTGTAACAATTCTATTAATTCTATTCACACTTCCGTTTATTTCAATTAACTCATCGAATTGCTTTTTTTGGTTCATTTTCTTGCACCCTGGTGAATTTATATAGCGTAGATAAGAACTAAATCTATCACTTTCTTTCGTATATTTTCCATTGTCAAATTAAATTTTTCATCTGCATATTCACAATTAGTAATTTCTCAACGACCATCCATATACTCCATCACTGTAAAGGTCAAACAGGGATAATGCTTAATTAACGATTAGATGACTAAAGTATCCTTTGCAATGTTCGACAATACGTCATATCATTTCATACTTAATGCATTCATTCCATCCTTATTTCGAAGCAAATATTTCAACTACACATTTTCGTATTTTCACTCTTTTGTCTTGCATATATTTCATATGAAGCAGTAAAAAACTGAATTCTTCAAAATTAAATATTAGTTATTTTTTCTTGACCTTTAATTAGTATAGTAATTTAAATAATTAGTTCACCTTTAACCCCATTGCCGGCATTTTTGAAATCTTTATTTGTTGTAATTGTGTTGTAACTATATGTTGTAATTTCTTCGGGAAATGAAAGTGCTTTTTTATATTTAAATAAAACAATGAAAACTGTAAATATATTATTTAGATAGATAAGCCATGGAAGAAATAGGAAATTTCAAAGTGGTTGAAATGCAAGAAACGGAAATATCATCTAAACTTAAAAAGTTACCTAAACCAATTGGTTATGAACGTGGGCTTTTATTGGCTCAAAGGAATCACAAGGACTCTCCAGGTTTGTTTGTTGTAAAGTTTTTATTTACAACTTTTTCCTTACATGAAGGATTGTTTATGATTAAATAATAAATTTTCAGGGTATTCTAAGGAAGACACTGAGCAAAACGCAGAAGTACCACTAGCTGATTCAGAATCCTGGATACCATGGTTGGATGATCGATTAGAAAGAGCGGTTGCCGAAGTATTTAATTTTAAACCATTAGGTATTTTTTATTTATAATAGTAATGAATGATTTTTTGCAATTTACAATATTATTTTCTCTTGCTTATGATTAAATAAATTTATAACAAATCGTTTGACAGTCATCTGAAATAGCAATAAAAACACCGTTAACTTATTTAGAAGACTTTTGGATGTCACTGAGGAATATTGACGTGGAAAATGAAATGACTATAATATTAGGCAATACACAAACTGCTGAGGAAGTGAGTCGCGAATCGGCAGGTATCAATAATTAATAAATCAATTATTAACGGTTGTGTTCCAGTGGAAATCATATTGAAACGTAATAATCATTCTTTTAGATTCAACGTCTCCGGATAGATCAGAGAATGATAATGATAATGATACGTTGACAACATCCACTCTTGCTGAATCGAACACGATATTATCCGAAACAGAAGCAGCAACAGCTGTAGTTTTATCACAATCAGGAATTACACAAACTACAACTACCACTTCCGTAGCATTTGAAAGTGAACAAACGGAGCAATCATCTGCGCCGGATCAGATAGTAGCAAGTGTAGCAGCAAATAATGCATTAAACAGGCAAGAATATATTATAATTTGTTCCTTGCAAATTATTTGCTGCAAATGAAGGATGATCAATTTAACATTTACAATCAATAATTATTAACATATTAACAATAAAAGAATTTCAGGGAAGAATTCATTTGGAATTTGGATGCACCGCCATTTGTACCACACAATTTAATTAATAATCAGTCTTGTCCAATACTGAATGGAATTCGAACTAGCGATGCACCACTACCGATTTTATCCGCACCTATCGTAAATTCATCGCATCGTCAAAGTTTCACTTCAATCGATCAAATTACCTTAGCTATTCAGGTAAACATTTTATATTGTTTTAAGCTAAATAATTAGTTACTCATACTTCATTAATTGAACACTTAATTTCTGTCAATTTCTGCAAATATTAAACAGATGTGAAGAATAAAATTTCACGATGACAAATTGATGAACATTATCAATTTTAGAGTCGACCGTCAATTGTGCATGCTAAGCCATCACAATCACGAAATTTTCCCATTTGTACAAAGAAGTGGAGATGGTATTGTCATGCCAGCTTGTTATAGTGGGCAATTTCAGCAAGTTGGTTCTTTTATGTAATCAATGCATTATCAAGTTTTTATCTAGTAAAGCTTCTTTATCTAGTAATGAAAAAATCAACGATAAATTTTGTTATATCATCTCTTACTTAAAAACACAGATGGATCTTGTACGTGAAATATTTTAGACTACGCCAGCAGCAACAGCGAGTGATTCAATTGGAGGAAATGCGGCGATGAGTGGATATAATTATTATTCGATGCCAGCTTATTATACAACATCAGTTACACAGGTAAGTCTTGCTAGCAATTATTATTTCATGTATTACTAAGGTTGTGGAAAAGTCACCTTACATTTTGTTTTACCTCTTACCTGATGGGTCTCGTACGTGAAATATTTTAGACTACGCCAGCAGCAACAGCGAGTAATTCAATTGGAGGAAATGCGGCGATGAGTGGATATAATTATTATTCGATGCCAGCTTATTATACAACATCAGTTACACAGGTAAGTCTTGCTAGCAATTATTATTTCATGTATTACTAAGGTTGTGGAAAAGTCACCTTACATTTTGTTTTACCTCTTACCTGATGGTCTCGTACGTGAAATATTTTAGACTACGCCAGCAGCAACAGCGAGTAATTCAATTGGAGGAAATGCGGCGATGAGTGGATATAATTATTATTCGATGCCAATTTATTATGTAGCATCAGTTGCACAGGTAACTACTGTAAGTTATTGTAATTTTTTCTTTTGTGGTAGTTATTGTTATTTTGTGCATTACTAGAGTTCTTGCCATGCCATATTTTTATTGCTAAGTCTACATTACGTGTAGTAGTGTTGAAAAATTACAACATATTATATTTGTATTATAATATTTTCCATTCATTTCCATTTTCCAGACGACGCTATATAATCAAGCAGGAACGATATACGATGCAAGTGGAAACATTGGACAACCAAGTGGATACGGTATTCCGATGTCTGGTTATTATCAAATGACGGTATGTTTTTCATCTACTGTAAATAAATATGCTTATATTGTCTGAAATTTCAATTCTCAACTATTACTTCGTCATACTTTTATTTTTTCATACACTTAATCATTTTTATTTCATATATTTAGCGATTTAATCTTTGAAATAAATGTGACATTACAGAAACAATTAATTTCATTGTTTTTTTTTTTTTTCAAACGAAGGAAATTTATACATTAAATATGTATATATATTGTAACAGGATCGGTCCACTATAAATAGACAATATGGCTCTGGTATGTTTTATGGTCAACAACCAGTTGTTTATCCATCTGTTGCACAAGCAACTGCATATTCTTCATTCCCACGAACTCATGAACAGGTGAGGATTTTCTCTTGTTCGTTATGATGACCTTACGTAAACTTCACTTCTGTTTTCTATGAACTTTGTTCTTTCCTTTGAACTTTGTTGTTCTTAGATGTCAATCTGGTCTGTTTGGAATGAATGGTACGGTCAGTCAAGAAGTTATGTTTTACACAACAATGATGAATATCCGCCTCATCAAACATAAGTTGCTGATATTTGTGATTAACTTTTTTCTATTGAATCTCAATTTTTAATGCTACAGTCAGTCAACAAATCAAATTTTATACAGTAGGGATGAATATTCGACTTATCAAATATAATACTTTTTTCAACAATCTCTCAATTCCTTTCTTTGTTTCTTTTTTTTTTTTTTTTTGTTTTTTCATCTATAAAAGTGGCAGCATTACTTGAATTTATCGATGTTTATATATGATCTTGATTGTATTTTTTATTGTTTCTAGATATGTGCGCAAAATTTGCACATAATTCACTACTGTTTATTGTTTGTTGTTTATTTTTTTTTTCACGTGTACAATCGGGAACTGTACTGTATTCTTCCACTGTTGCACTACTTTATTTATACTTGTATTTATTGACTTTATTTATACTGCCGCTTAATAACTCATCATTTGCAATACATATTCAACATGTCGGTAAAGGATCTCGAAAGAAAATATAATTGTTTTTCACTACTTTATTACCTTATACTTGTATTTATTGATTGTATTACATTGATCTTTTTACAAATGAAGTTGCTGCCACTTAATCACTCGTTTGCAATATATTCGGTATGTCGGGATAAAAAATCTCAAAAGAAAACATATGAAACGAATGTTGGAGGTGGTGCAGAGGAACTCTTATCTTCTCCATCCCTGAAAGTTAGATATTTTTTGAAAAACTTATTGAATTGGAGCTGAAAACGAAACAATTAATTGTAATCATCGAAAATTGCTGATTGAATTGTCGAATTTCTTTTCTACCGTATTCTCAATTCAAAAGCAACAGCGAGGTATGCTGCATCCGCCATCATCTCAGCAATAAGCAAATCTGCTCAGTGCTGTAATTTTAGTTTCAATTTCGCTCTTTTGTATAGTTTCCAAATTCATAATTTGAATCTCAGCTCTTCCCCTACTTTTTATACTTTTTTAAAATTTAACTTATTATTCCTTTTCTCTTTCTATAATTCAACGATTCTGAACAATTGGTTTGCACCTAAAGCTTTTAAAGGAACTTTTACCACTGAATGAATAATTTGAACCGGAAAGAATCAAGCTTCTGGATCCAATTATTTTTCTAAATCATCGACTGCTGATAAAACTTTAGGCTATGAAGGAAAATTTAGCTTATTCTGAGTTTTACAATCTTGCCTGAGCTTATCGAATTAAATATGTGATTTCTGGTTGAATTTCAAGCGAAAAAAGCACAATTTGCAGCAAGTGACCGACTGGTCAGCTGTAAATGACTGACCACGGCAGAACGCTGATCATTCATGCAGCATATCCGCGATAACCAAGTTGAATTCTAGAGCGCAATATTCCTCTTACAAATTACCAGAATTCCACAAGAAATTGAATGAAATTTTTATTTCGAAATATTCTCACAAATAATTCTTACTAATGAATTATCGAATGCATTAATTACCAAAACAACCTCTTCGAGTTCCGCAATTTCTGACTTCCAGTTTTTGATTTTCAGTTAGCTAATATTAATTCACTCAATACCAAATTCCTTCATAAATCTGACAGTCTCAGTACTTTTTTGAATTTACACAGGAAGGAAAGAAAGTGAGCAACAGTCATTTGCAAGCAACGGTTCATACGAAGGCTAAACTCGACACGATGGCTTCTTGAAAGGTTAGCTGCTTTCGGATTTATTCATTTCTCGAATATTCGTTCTTCATTAATGCAAAAAATACGACCAGTAATCAGTTGACAGTTCACAAAGCATATTATCGGCCAATTAACATAATTTAATTTAATGCAATTTTTGGAATGCTGAAATTAGTATTGCTAATAAATTACTGAACTCAAAACTGGTTGGTGTAAAATGATCAGGCAGATGTCTCATAATTATTCTTTTCTTCTATTTCATACTATTTTTTGTCCCTTCTCTTCTTGCAGTAATCTCCATGATAATATTGTAATTAGTGCTTATACTATTAGTAATATATTCCAGATTATGACCTTATTAAATTATTAACGTGTTGTCATTTTGGACATTTCAACTATACCACAGTAATTCATTCCAAACTGATATTTGAGGGAAATGTAAGACAGTTATCTGAAATGACCGACTGGAAAAAGATCAGAGGAAATGAACAAACCGAGAGATTTTTGAAACGTTCCTTCTGAGGTACCTTCGGAAATTGTCAATAGGATTTCACTGAATTGGAATGTTGGCATAGACCACTGACGAATTAATTTGATAAATTCGAATTTTATTTTCAAAAAAATCTGTAAATTTCTCTATCAATTAAAAAATTCTCAAATCATTTATTTCTATTATTTCCTATAAAAGGAAAAAGAATTTTAGAAAAATAATTCATGATTTTAATTACAGGTTGAAGTTCGCTGCCAAATTTAGATTGAATTACTACTCATTATATAAATTTACTACTTGGCATAAAATAGGATCTGATTTTTTTTTTTTTTTGGTCTGAAACCAATCTTTATTTTATTGAGACAAAATTATCATTCATCAAAGTTATCGAACAATATTTTTGGAGAAGCAGTTGTAGGAGAGAAGTAATGCCAATTGCTAACTCAGACGAGGGATAACTCCTTACATAGTACAGTAAGGAGAGGACATGTCACGAAGGAGGTCGGCTAAACGAAGAACTTAACTTCGCCAAATTCAAATATAATTTACAGTTAATGATAGGCTGTCAAACAATAAAAGAGATCAACTAAATAAGGAACTGATAAATATAGACAATCTAATCAATAGGTATTCTTTGTTAACGATATGTAGCAATGCAAATAAGCTCAGCTAAATGATAATGAATATTGGATAAATGATTTCTTACATAGGATTGAAGCATTTATCAAAGGACACAATTTTATTTCTATATATTATAATTAGGTTTTTCTGACATTATTGAAATGGTAGAAAGTCAAAAGAATCATACAAAAAAAAATTGATAAAAGAATCTTGCTCTCTTTATCATATCTTAATCTTTGAAGTAACCTGGTTTTTCACGTTTTTCATTACTACTACTACTACGCTGCATTCACATAACCAAATCAATTCACACTACTTTCACGCTGTCCCAAGCAACAGGCTTCACTCACACGTAACGTCATCAACTTCTGCACACAACAAAGATGACCCTTCTTCCACGCCTCTACAGAACGAACAAGAGACTACTGATACAGCCTAATCCATGATGTCCAAACTATTTCAGATAATCACAACATGATGCATGCACTCTGCTATTAGCGACACTGGAAAGAAAACTTCCAAACTAGCACTGACTTTCTCTCTGTAGTAATACTGCTAAAAAACATTTATTAATTTTCTCAACTTACATAAACAACATAAAGTACGACATACACAAATGTTGTTCACAGAATACAAACTTTTGCAAAGAAAGAAAAGCAGTCATACACAACATGTGCTATAAAACATGCCGCTACTTCAATACTTTAAAAAGCAATTGGACTGCTAAGTTTCCATGTAGTCTTTGAAGATAATTGAAAAGAGAAAATTAATGCCGAAATGAGATGAAGACATACAAATGTCAGTCATCCAATAGGGACTTAAATGACAACAGTATTGCAAAAATATGACCAAGCATTCAACAATATTTACTTCGAATACAATTGTAAAGGTCATAAATTATAGAATAAAGTAAAGTAATTCAAGTCATGTACATCGTAACAAAATGTTGTCACTTTGAATATCAGAGATATTACAGATACAAGATATTATGCAGGGAAATAGTAAAACAGTCAATCGGGTGAGAAACTCAACCTGACTTTGTAAAAAGGAATGAGTGCAAAGATTTAGCTGAATTTGAGCATGTTAAACGTGCTCAGACTGGACGGAGAAAAAAAAAAAACTATTATTACAATATCATGCATAATAAATAAATAAACGACAAGATACGACTTGTCGCAAGAACTTTTATAAGTGTACATGCAAATGCCCAGCTTTCGCTGACTGGCATTTAATATCATGGAAACTGCTTGTTAGTAGGAGCTGCGACATTTCCACCTTGTTGACATTCTTTGCGTTCTGCAAGTTCGCATTATCATCACCTTATTATTATCACAATACGGAATTCTACTTCAATATAAGTATGACTGCATATTGGGAAATGCTATTTCTAAACCGATTTGTACATCTGCTTTTTCGGACTATTCAGCACATAATAACAATGGCTCATCACGAAAGCTTTGTGGAACAGTGAGCAAATGGGTAACAATAGCCCATCAAGAAAGTGCTTACCGTACTGTTGCAGATTAACTTGACCAAGTTGACTTGAAAGTGACACGACCGACTTCATCGGGCTACGTCGAGGGGTGCTTGTAGAACGAATCTAAAATTCAGTCAATTACTAGCACTGTAATATAACTAGCATTCTTCATTAATTCAAAACTTCCTCCATAACTGAAAAAATTTCTTCAAAGTATCTAAAATGAAAACACAAAAGTAGACGCACTTCGACTGGATTTTGCCAACCACCAATCATGCTTTCCTCATAGAAACATGGTTGTGGAGTTTGTGGTGTTATCGGCTGCGGCACCAACTGAATCGGATTTGGTGCAGGAATTGCCATCGCAGCAGTTTGTCCGTTCCCATCAATCTGTTGCATTTTTCTCTTTTTAAAACAATATATGCTATATAAATTGTATTTTACAACCAAGCATTACTACCGTAAATTGTTATTACTCCCATTATTCGCCATTTTCCGATGATTGCAACATTCCTTCCACTTTTATAAATACAACTTATTTCTTAGTTTTACTGTTTCTAGCAAATATTAATAAGCAATGTGAATAATTCAGGACCTTAAATATGCAATGCTGAAGAGAAGATTAAATATCAAAACAAATAACACAAACAGTTTGATATCCACCAGGAGCAAGGAAATATGTTGGAGCTGTCATTTGAGAGTAATGAGTCATATCGTTAGCAGGCGCAGTTGGAGCATAATAGGCAGCTGCTGGTGGGAAGAGCGCTGCACGCTGTGTAGCAACCGACGGTGTCATCTGAAACAAATGGACAAGAAACTGTAAGCAAATTTCGTCTCTCCAGGAATTTTTTTTATATTTGTAAATAATACTAACCGGTGTAAGTGGTTGAGTAGTTACTTGTGCTATTTGCTGCATGCTTACATATGCCTGCTGCTGTTGCTGTTGTGGTTGTCCAGCAGCTGGAATATGTACCGAACCATTAACTGCTTGCGGTTGTCCACCTATAGCGTTCGTACGTGGAGAATCATGAGGACTCACCGTATTACCACTATTTGGTACAAGCACCACCGGTGCTGTACCGTTGTTTGCAACGAATTGCTGCGCCCTATTATTTCCTGCATCCTACAAAAAGTTGACAATGAAAACAATAAACATTGCTAATAGTGCTAAAATTGTCAAAGTCAAACTAACGAAACATCCATGCTTCTCTTATTTTCCCTAAGAAAAAGACTTACAGTATTCGAGAGTGTGTATTGTGCTGGTGCAACAGTAGAAACTGGCGAGTAGACAAATGGTTGCACTTGATTTGGTGGCGGCATCACAACAAATGGTGACTGTGAGATTGCATAGGTAACCCCTCCAAATGCTGATGTTGTCAGCAGTTGTCCCGTTGGTGTTGCGATAGCATACTCTGAAGACAAAATTGCTTCAGATAACCTACATTGATGATTTATACTTAAATTTGATAATAGATGCACCATATTCATGGGTATGGTATCGCGAAATCTACCGGCTATCTCAACATTTGTTGCAGTAATATAAAAAAGAATAAAAATGTGAAAAAAAATTTGATAGTACTTCGAGGTTCATCATTCTTTATCAGACGCAGATGACCTCTACTGATAAAGGATACTATATAAGAGCTATTAACAACACTCCCCCCAGCTTCAGTTTCTATAATTTCCATTAATAAATAACCTTATTTAATTGTATTAATAAAATTTATTTTGAATGATTTTGAGATAATTTCAATAATACGCAACTAATATAAACTAAAATCACCTGGTGTAAAACGCGGACCATGAATCATACGGCGAATAGCCGGTCCAAGATTTAATCGACGCCCTTTGAATTCAAGTTTTTCCGCTTCTTGGTTCTGCCAATATTAATAGTGCATGAGTATTCGTTTAGAATTCTCAAATTACTTTGAAAATCAATTTTTGTAGAACATATATTACGATTTATACCAAAGTGTCTTACCGCGCTAATTTGCATGACAGTTTTTGCTTCATCCTCTGTATCAAACGTTATGAAACCATATCCCTTGGATGTTCCCTCACTGCTACGAATTACTTTTGCTTCACGAACGTGACCAAATTTTTCGAAAAACAAACGCAAATCAAGTTCCGTAGTCTGCAAATCGGTTAGCTTAATGCATATCAAAATAGCTAAGTAAATGAGTAATTAAGTGAATGTAAGAATTTTTTAACTTGATTAAGCTAAATGGATCAAATTGGTAGTTCGCAAAGAAATAGACACACAACAGAAGAGAAAAAAAAAATACTCCCTAAATTATCAAAAAAATTCAATCAAGATAGGAAAACTTGCAGTGGCTGGAAATCCACCAACAAAAATCCGATGCGGTATCATCTCAAACGTACGAGGATCAGCTGCAGCAGCAACTGGAAAGGGTGTGGTCGCAGCCGGGTAAATTGTTGCACCCGTCGGATATGCCATTTGATATGGATTACCGCTAGGATCATATGCCAAAGTCGTTGCGAAAGCTGGGCTCATCATCATCCTGGAGGATCCTAATTTACAAAAACTGGATTTGAACCAGAAAAAGTTGACATCTTTAGTTAGGATATCATTTAAATTCGTGCTAAACAATATGGATGAATCGCGATTTTAACGTTCGAAGTGAAGAAGTACAAAGAAGTTGATACTAGAGGAGAAGTGAAGGAGCTTGGAATTCCTAATTTTACCGAAGAAATGATATTTATCTACCCAACGGGTAACAATATACATGCACGAATACAGGGAGGAGTCAAGAGAGTATTACATCAATCATGGAAATAGATATTTACCATATCTATCCACATACACTTTATCCTAATATGACAGGTTCCTATCCAGATTAATTTAGCTAAAACAATAAATGATCACTGTTTCCAACTGGTAGCAGAATCTCAATCCAGTTCTACGTTACGTGTGGCGACACGTTTTTGATCCAGACTCATCTCTAGTCTCATCCCACGTCTACCTCATCTCATGACCACAACTTCACCTTTTCCTCAACAGTATGTTAACAGAAAGAGAGAGAGAAGCGATCAATAAATGGACCTAGAAGTGAAGAGCAGAAGTTGGCCAAAACCCACCGTATCCAGCACACATCATCAACTAGATGTTGCGTAACTTTTGTCAAAGGAATGAGAGGTCCGCTCCCGCCTTTGTCACCGCCCGCTGCTCTTTTTACGCAACACACTTTCTCCTCTCCTTAGGGTCAGCAATTGTTATTGATTGCTAATCGAAGGACACTAATATTTAGCAAACATTTAGTGGATCGCGGGAATGCGGGAGGAATTGACGTGACCTGTTTCCCTTTTAGAAATGCAGGGAAGCTAAGGAAGATTACGTTTTGTATTTCCCATTTTCAGAATCCGCTTCCTTACTTTAATGTTATCTCCTCCTTTACTATATTTTTTACCCTCTTACCGAGAATTTGTCATCCTTACTGTCCCTTGAAATGCACTCATTTTCAAAGAAGTAAGTCGAACGGATAAATAAACTTTACTAACAGCCGTAAATGTAATGTGCAAATTGATTAAGGGAAAGTTAACTAAACAGTTATTCTCTAAGGTAAAGAATAAAAAAATGAGATAGAGAAGTAAGTAAATAAATCAGCGAGAGAGAGAGAGAGAGAGAGAGAGGAGAGATCACACTGGAAGCGCTAATAACTTACACTTTGAAATTAACCAAATTGCGTCAAGGCTTCTTCTGATTCTAAAGAAAGTGATATATTTTCTTTGAAGACATAGTGGACATCACTTACCTTCTTGTAATCACGTAAGAAGATAAGCCATCCCTCCTTTCGATAAAAGATCAAGATCACGTACTAACAACGAGCCAAAACAGGAGCAAACTATAAATGATAAGAGTTCTGACCAAACTTAATTGGAATATTTTTATCATCTATGACCTATGACCCATCGTAAGATTTTGGAGTGGCAAATGACTGGCGCTGGAGAACAGAGAAGAGATATTGCTGTCGTTCTTACCGTACCACTTCTGAACGAAGAAGTCCATCGTTGGCAGATAGGGTGGACGAGAGCAACTGACGCACGTACGCAATATGACCATATCGATAAGAGAATTTACATATACAGACAGACAGACACATACACACACATTCGTACAGACACGCATGTACTACGGACTGGTCACGTCTTCATTTGTAATGACAGTCGGAAGTAGCATCTTTCGATCGATAGATTGGGACAGTCCGAGGGAGCGATTCCTGGTGGCGAGAGAGAAGAGGAGAGGGTGTGGTACTGGGAGAGGTGCAGAGGAGGGACGGAGGAGAGGCAGCAGGAAGGAGGGCAGAGACATTGCGGGGTCACTCCGCGACCTCGCAAAGTTACTGGTACTCAGTCTAATGGCCTACGAGAGGGAATTGATTGGGCAAGGATTTGCAAAGTGCTAAATGTGAAATAAGAGAATCAGTTCGAAATCTTGATTACCTCGGGTCATCGCCCCTCCCCCACTAATGACCAATCAGCGTGATCTCCATTTCGAGTAGTGCAATCAATATGACGTGATGTTGCATGAGATGCAAGTCACGTGTCAAAAGCGATTTAAAAATTCAGTCTGTCTTACCCTACCCTAGCCTGCCCTACCCTACTCTACCTTACCTTTATATATTACAAACGCTGTTACAGAAGACTGTGATAAGTGAGAGTGAAAGGAAAGGGAATCATTTGTGAAGAGTAATTGGTGTCCTGGTGATAAGTAACGATGTATTCAGTGGCCAACTCGACTCATTCCACGATGACAACAGTGGCCAAGTGTGTCTATGATGATTTCTTAGCTCCAACACCACTTCGATCAGCTCGGGTAATTATTGAAGGTAAACAAGTTTGCAATCCTAGTAATGCAATTACGGGAAAAAGAGAGAGATGGTAGTCGTTGTATATTATATTATATTATATTATACTGACTGTCTGCACTTATCACACTTTTCTTTCGATAGCTAAGGAGTAGATCAGATCTATGATTCTTTTTTATCTTGAAATTTGTATGCCATTGTGGGAAGCAGTAGATATAACTTTCATCTTTCTGGAAAAGAATAGAGTATAAGTTGATAGGCCAAAATTGATACGATCAATGAGAGATGCAAACAAGATATCTGAAATCTCAAGATTTCGTTCTTTAGGACGCTCATTATATGTGAATCCTGGTTGGCTTGCCGAATTTTCAAGTTTTTTCGCCGCCATGTTTTTTGGCAAAAATGTGGGTGAAGAATTAACCCTTGGCAGTGAAGTGAGCTACGATCATTTCATCGAATTACTAAGAGTTGTGTGTTATTGTCCCACTCGCAAACCCATAACAAGTTGTTTTTTTTTGTTTTGTTCTTTTCATTTCATTTCAGCTAAGAATTTCAACATGATAGAAGCGAAAAGAAAAAAGGACTGTATTTGAATGATTTCACTTTTGTTAGTAATTTCTTTAGTGAATGGTACATGTTGGAAATGCTGAAAAGGATAGTAAAATGTAAATTTTCAAGAATACATGGATAGCTGTAGCTGTAGTTTAAGTCATCATTGTGTTCCTATGATGGTGCTTACTATCGTGTGCATAATGCAGTATTGGGTGACAGTGGTAGTTTGTAAATATTTCATATTTTATGCCATTTTTCGCCATATTACTCTTATCACTTTCCTTTTATCACTTACCCTTATGTCACAATTGCGTTTGTGACTGCAGTTAGAATTGAAATAATAGATTCAACTGCTTGATGCAAAGAGATGTCTGATAAAAGTAGGATAATTAAGCTGTGTCTGATAAAAGTAGGATAATTAAGCTTCTTTATCCCATGATAGTGTTATGACTTCAAACATAACTGTTTTGCAACGAAATAAATAGTAATATTATAATGTTCACTTTCATGGGAACTGTTAACAAGGCATAGGTAGTTGGAAGTGGTTGGGGAAATTGACGTAGTTTCTGGACTTGACACAAAAATGCACTTCAAGTGAAATTTCGTTTTAAGTGAAGCGTATCAGTCCTTAATAATATATCAATCGGTAGTTTCTCATTTTTTGCTCCAAAGTTACTGCAAGAGATGCGATCGGTTAGGCAGAAATCTTTATACAATCCTTGTACAACAGCATCTTTGTGAGGGAATTGAACATTTTCAATTGCAGTTTCTAACGTCATTGTTGTTTTAAAAATGGCTCATTATTTTGGAATGAAGCCAGTAATCGAGAAATGTGAAGATGTCATTGTTAGACAGGTTTTTCTATTTTGTTTTATGTACATTTCTATTTAGGTTTAGCTTAATTAGAACTTCTTTTTTTTGAGTTGGAAAATCTCCAAATTTCAATTGATTTCTTAAATTCTTTGTTTCTTCTTTTACTAGACAGGTAAATTGGAGGTGGAAATGTTCGAAAGAAAGTTCTGTTACATATAGTAAAACTTCAGCTATCAAAATCCTTGTTCATCGTTTCAGACTGTGTTTCCTTTTTTCGATAGGTAGAATAACCAGTGGTAAAACTAATATGAAAAGTTTTGAAGCTCATATAAATGCAATAGATAGCTCCAAATAAATAACTTATTACTCTTCGCGGATTAAATTGGAGAAATTTCTTTTCGATGGTGCCGAGGAACAATTTAATGTGATAGAATTCTTTTGTCAGTTCACACCTATTTTGCTATCCAAAAACTTTTCGGCTATGAAAATATCTTGCTTATTCGCTGCAGGCGAATACATTGGACAGAGTGAAGTTATTCCAAATTGCATGTGCCGTCGCTGAGCATGATCGTTACTCCCCCACCATGACACTACTCATCGATAAACTCTCCGCCATGAAACGAGAAGAACTGTCAAAGTTGCGTTTCTCGCAGGTGAGTACCGTACTCAAAGTCCTAATTGCTCCTGACTTTGTCTCTTCACATCACTTATGAAATATTTGACTTCCTTGATGAAATAGGAAATATGAAATTGAAAAAAATTTTCTTTTGAGCAAGCTTTCAAGGATATAACTAAGCTGAAAGCACATTTAGATCCTCGATCTGTCTGCTATACTTTGAAATGTGTCGATTTGAATTACTCCAGAGGGCATGTGATTTATACGAAGTGAGGTGCGCTGAACGCTTTCATGCGATTATTTTTATTATATTGACAGGTGCCCGGTGATGTTGTAGCCGATGTATTTGCCGCAAAAATGAAACGACGTGAGATGAAACGGAAGAAGTGGTGTTGCTTATTATGAAATCGCCGTCGCCTACATCACTAATTTTATTGTCTTGTTTAATCTTTCTTAAAATAGTTGCTTTGTAATCAATCTACGACTCTGTGATTTTAATGGACTTTGGTGCGTCGTAGTAGTGACTTGTTCAAGAAATGAGGACTAGGTTAGGTTAATACAAAACCAAAATAGCTCTAACTATATACAGAGGTCGAACAAAACCCGAACCAAATGCAAAAAAAAGGAGTAACTTAAAGTAATATGGAACTTAGGAAGTATCTCCAGCTTATAAAACAAGAATTATTTTAGAAATAAACTGTTCTTAATAATAAGACAGTTCTTTTACTTTTGGCGATATATTCGAAGATAGTAAAGATGATGTCCAATAAACGCCGTGAAAGCAGTACTTTATCCCAGCTATTGTAATTTTAAACAAGCAGACTTAACCATTTGTGTGTGGTAACCTCAAAGTATATTCGGCCAGAAAGGATTCGTCGTCAATTTATTTCTGGAGATATAACAATTCAAGGCATGTAGTAATTTACAAGCACTACGGCAAGAAAAGTTCATTAGAGGGCGAGCTGCGTCATAACATGTTTCTTATATTCTTCTAGACCTCCTTCTAATGTTATCACAGAGCGATCTTTGACTACCCATAGTTCTTTACAGACCATATCAATAAGTTTCTCGTCATGAGAAACGATCAGTACTCCTCCCTGCAAATTGATCATATAGACTAGTAGTTGCGAGCAAAAGTGCTAATGTACGTACATAATTGTAGATTAAATTACAGAAAGCAAACATCGCAATAGCACAAATATGAATTTGTTTGCTTTTTGCAATATAATTAAATATTCACCTTAAACGAATTCAGCGCTCTACCTAATGCTTCAACCGTTTCTACATCCAGGTGGTTTGTAGGTTCATCCATGATCAAATAATTAGGACTGCAATGAGGAATTAATAATTAAAGCATAAAGCAAAAAGGGTAGAACTCCTACTACTCTGCCAAAAAAAAACAGCTCAAAAGTTCGAGCAAAGGAACAGCTCATGCCACCGCAAAGTATTGATTGCAAAACTTAAGCAAAGTTACTTCGACATAGCAATGCTCGCAAAAGCGAGACGAGATTTCTGTCCACCAGAGAGAGTTACGACCGACTGCAGCGCTAAATCACCAGAGAGTCCAAACCGACCAAGAGCAGCTCTGTATTCTTCTTGATTTTTACCTATAAATAAAAGCATCAAAGAAAAAACTTTAAAGTAAAGGAAGAAAATTATTCAACTGGAATGAATAAAGAGTGCCTTAATAAATTATTATGAGAGTAAAATACCGGGAAATCTTTTCTCCAGTACTTCTATGCCGGATATATCCATGTCAAGCTGGTCAACATGATGTTGCGAAAAGTACCCTATTTTTAAGCGGCGATTGGCATTTCGGAAACCACTTGTTGGCGGTAAGTCACCAAGAAGCAATTTTAGCAGTGTCGTTTTACCAGCCCCATTTTCCCCAACCTGTAATTGAACTTGAATACATAATCAGTCTGAATCAACATCTATCCTTCTTTCATTTGAACCGGAATTTTTACCTGCCTTACAGAAATTTTGAATGCTTGCCAAAAGTAACAAACGTACAATGCAAATGCGTGAATCTGCATACGAACCAATTTGCAGCTTACTAAATATTATCGGTGAAATTGATGTATACCTAAAATACAGACCAGATAATAAAACATATCAAGCATCAAAGGATGCGTATCCTTTCACTCAACTCTCGATTAAGAAATGTGAGAAATATGATAGAGATAAAAACGAAGAAAAATGATTCGAGTGTTGTAAGAAATTCCATGCACAATTTATATCACAGTTTCAAAAATTTATCTCGAAAATATTTCAAGCAACATTTTAAATTTATGCAATTTAATAATGGAACCATCCAGGTTTATTTCAAATTACCTAAAAGAGACATCGTCTAACTGTAGTACCAAATTATTTAATACTTCGCAGTCGGGAAAGCTCAACTTCACTTCACTTTCCAAAACAATAGGTTTAAGTTTTGGTCTGAAAAAAAAATAAATTGTAAACATTTTCGAAGAGAAATGGGGATCATTCATTGCAGCGCTGGCAGTCAGTGACAGCAAAACTATACACTAATGTTTTCTTCCACATATAATTTTAAATCATAAAATGTTGCTGATTTGTGAGTTTCAGCGCAGCAAATTAAGGAAAACTGCAGTTTTTTTAAAATTAATTTACAATTTTTCAAGCATTTTGATACGACTTTGCACCATCGATGCTCGTTTAGCATTATATCGAAATTTATCGATAAATTCTTGAGTATGTTGACGGAATTGTTGTTGTGCTTCGTATTCTCTGAAAACGTCCATCAAAATACATGAATCGCACTAGAAAAATTATCAAGAAAATTAAAATATAAATATACAGATGTAACCGCTTGCACTAATGAAATGAAACAAACAAATACTAAAACAAGAAAGTAGCAAACCTTTCTTGCTGCGTTAATTTCTCTTTCATTGTTTTCTCGAAAACGGCATAATTACCTTTATATTGATCTAGCCTCTTTGAATGCAAGTGTATAATATCCGTGCAAACAGTGTTCAAAAAATTGCGATCATGAGAAACTATCACAACTGTAGAAGCCCATTCCTGCAATTATTGCATTAAGACAGATCAGCAGTAGCGAATAATTTATATTAAATAAAAATACTGTGAATTTTATCAATTGTATTATCAAATCTATTAAAAGCATGACCGAATGTTGGTTAACGGAAATTCACTGAAGCACATCTGGTGTTATTTTTTTTTTTTCCAAAAAACCTTACCAGAATTTATGAATATCTTAGCAAAGTTTATATTAAACAAAAAAAAAAAAAACTGAAGTCAGGATTTATAAAAATCTAAGTAATACCTGAAGGTGATTTTCCAACCAAATAATTGCTCTCATGTCCAACATATTTGTTGGTTCATCCAACAAAAGTAAGTCAGGCCTGCAAAAAACAAAATTATAAAATAAAATTACAAAATTTTCTTTTGACAAAAGAATTCTAAATTCTCTAAGTGCAACATACCTCATGAACAGAGCCTTTGCCAAAGCTAATCTCATCCGCCAACCACCCGAAAATTCTCTGAAGAATGCATTTATAAAAAAAAAAACCTTCAATTTGTAGATTGAAAGTTTATCAATAAAGCTTATCAAACAGGCTATGCAGAAAATTACCAGAAAAAAATTAAAAACAGTAACAGATACTTCGTGGGCTGTTTCTGCTCTTCTGGTGTAAAACCAAGTCCAAAAAGTATTGATGCAGCACGTGCGGGCGCTTTGTCCATTTGGGCTTCTTCCATTTCTGTGTAAATTTTCCCCAGTTCCATACCATATTTCTCTTTATCTTCATCGCTAAGAGATCTGGAACATGAATCAGTCTTTAAATTTTCCAAAAGATTTCTAAGAAAAAATCCGCCAGTTTTCTAAAAACTTAATTTCCAAAGTTGACATCAAGGAAGGTGAAATGAAAAACAGTTCAAATTATCTAAGATGTCTCATTCCTTATTCATCTTATTACGTAAGGAATTGATATGTCAAAACTTACTCTTTAAGCAGTTTCTGCAAATTTTCTTCACGGAGCAACAGTGCCATCCTCTGCGTATCGCTCTGTAGCACAGATTGCCTTACTTCTGTATCATCACCTTCTACTTCCTGTTCAACACTTAACATGCTGATATTAGAGGGAATCTTCAGCTGTTTCCTGAAAAAAAGATATTAACATTATATTACGCTTAGTACAGAGTACACTTAAGTAAAGTAATGTGGAAATATTCTACAATCTTCACCCGTTATAGCAACGATAACTAAGTGATTGTTGTGTAACAAACAAAAGTTTCATTCTAAATCTTACGAAGAAATCATTTTCAGGAAAGTAGATTTTCCAGCTCCATTTCGACCAACCAGACCATAACGTCTACCATAAGTTAAAACAACATCAGCGCCACACAGTAACTGCCTAAAAAATTGAGGAGACCGCTGTATTTCATTGAAAGAACAAAGAAGTAAATTATTTTTATTGAATCTAGATGAATGAGCTTTCGATTTGGATACCAATAACCTTCTCATTTCAGAAGTTTTCAAAAACTTACTTGGGCCCTATTGATATATCAACATTATTAAGGTGTACATCCATTACACTCCCACCTCCAGAAGCATCAGATTTCCCATCACGACGACTTGTTGACTGTGAAGCTGTAGCTACAAGATCAGCTGATCTCTTTTTTTGTATCTTTGGACCATCACCAACTTCACGTTTTGTGGCCTTTTCTAATGCCCGTGTTTCAGCCCTTTCAAGCTTCTTCTTATCTACTTGCTGCAAAACATTTCACTGTTATGATTTCCATGATCGTTGCGTCTCACTTTTGTGAAGTCGAATATGTTGTGCAACTTACTGAAGGTGTGTCTCGAGTACTAACTTTCCATATGCCTGTAACATCCTCGGAATCAAAATGTTGAGCACTTATATCAACAGTATGCTCGAGGCGCCGTTGACCAATTTCATTTGATCGCTGAGCAAAACTTTTTCTGGAATTCAGTTATCAAATTTGAAAGATTTTGCATGCTAACAGGATGCAAAAAACTGTAATTAGAAACAAATTGAAGCACTTATAATACGATCATCGCAAAACGAAACTTACCCATTATGAAGCAGTAAAGCAAGCTTTTCACACACAAGGTCAACAGCCTCATCGCTAAGCCCTTCTACAGAACTCTGTATGTGCACACCAACAGCCTCAACAACATCTTCTTTCGACAGCAAGTCATCAGCATTTTCTCTTAAAATCGCTGTAAATATAATGTACCTGTTTTTATGGAAGTACGAAAAGTTGATTTTTGAAGATACAGAAACAAAGAAGTAGATACAAAAAAAGTTGATTTTTGAATTTGGTGAATGGAATGATAAGTGACACCTTCAACGTAATCTTTTACTTCAATCGGGAGATCAGGAAAGGTTGATGTGAGATAAGCCGATATCGTCATCTGACATTGACTAATTGTTGATGAAAAACTCGAATCCAAACCAAATAAGGAAATTAAAAATTAGGATTGCTGAAATTCCAATTTTAAGGTATTTTTCTGAAGTGATTAGTTATTTTATTGAAGGCTTCAATTTCGCGAATGCAAAAAAGACCAACATCGAAAAATTAAACAATAAAGTGAGTGAGAAGGATATGTCTATGAAATCTCCTTTTCTCCAGATTTTTTCACAGAACTGCACAAAACTCAAATGGCTGATTTACAACATTGGTGAAGCATTGTTAGCAAGAGTACGAGATTACATAAAAAACTGATACGTACTAAATAGCTCTAAAAGAGTAAACCTGGAATTAAGCTTGGGAGAAGGAGGAAGTAATACGAAGCGTCACTGCTAAATATTTCTGCCGATGCTTCGTCGATAAGTCGATCAGTCATGCAGTGCAGTGCTTCTTCGTAATCCGACCTGCAAATTTCCATCATGCAATGGTTAAGCAGGGAATTAAAAATTAGTAGAAGCAGGAATTAGCTCGGTCTGTCCAGATAACCGCAAAAAGACCAGGGAAGGCTAAAAAATCTGTTTTTTAACCGATTACGATGCTGTACCCACCTGTCACTGATCCCTCAGTTTAAGTTACCCAACACTGCCCGACATTTCAAGGAAGCAAATTTTGAGCTATTACATGTGGTAGTGATCTCCTGTGTTCTGACACTATTCTCTGCTTATTGATCGCTTGGTGGTCATTGCGGAACCATAGGGGAAGTTGGGTGTTGTCCTGTTGTTCGGGTATGGTTGGGTTGACGCGTGGGGAATTTGTGTGAGGTGGACACGTGAGGTAGATTTAAGGTAGGGATACTTGCAGGATGAGTGATCGAGGACGTAACGATGGTGATGTAAAGAGGAATAGTGTGAGCGGTGGGAGACCAGGAAGTGGCAGCAATGCAAGTCCACGTAATGCCATTAAGGAGGAGCGGGTAGAGAGGAACGAGCGTGATCGTACTGGCAGAACATCTTCCAACGAAAGGTTTTTTTTTTGCTTATTTTGTTTCATTGCTGAGCATATTTGACCTATTGTGTGAAGGTTTAATAAAATCCATATGAAAGCGTAATAAAACTGAATTTGTGACACATACATTCAAATGATAGCTGAATAGATGGAAATACATTTTTGCTTCTGCATGCTATATCATATGTGTGAATCTTTTGATTGCACGATGAATCCGCACAGTTTTTGCGTACATTAGGACTGAATAATGGATTCCAAAATTCCCAGTGCATAGTATATGAGAAATCATAATAGGAACACATTTAACCGTATCTTCACTTTTTCCTCTTCATTTCATGTTATCATTTACTTATCCTTAGATCTTTTTCTACCACTACTGAAAAAGATCTCGATGGTGATTTACTGGTATATTAGAATTCATACGGTGTCTTCCGAAACAGATTTTAATGGCAATAATATTAAGGCATCATCACCGATCAAGCGAATACCAATATAGTAATTCGTCGAGCAATATGGGAGGTCCATCTGGTGGACAACCAAATCGTGGGATGGGGATGGGACCAGGTGGCGGTGGTGGTCGAGGACCAATGAATATGATGTCTTCGATGAATGTTCTTTCTGGGCAAGCGTTCAGTGAAACCGATCTGATGAGTGATTTGCCAAAAAAGAAGTTCACTGGTCGATGCCGTTTATTTGTTGGTAATTTGCCAAATGATTTGAAAGAGCAGGAGCTGAAGGAACTCTTCGCACCTCATGGTGATATCGCAGAATGCTATTTGAGTGGCAAAGGATTTGCATTTTTACGACTGGTTAGTTCTGGCATGTCGCTTCTGGTTTTATCTTCATTTTATTTCCTTTGTACAAGTTATACTGTATATCTTCAAAATTTATTTCAGGATACACGAGCTCATGCAGAAAGTGCTAAAGAAGCTATTGACGGCAAAATAATACATGGTCGTCCAGTTCGTGTACGATTTGCAGTCCATGGTGCAGCGTTGAGAGTAAAGGAACTTTCACCAACTGTATCGAACGAAATGCTTTATCATGCGTTTTCGGCATTTGGTGAAGTAGAACGAGCAGTTCATATAGTTGATGAAAAGGGCAAACCAACCGGCGAAGGAATAGTGGAATTCGAGCGTAAGCCATCGGCTAATGAGGCACTTCATCAGATACGAGAAAAAGTGTTCTTATTGACAGCGTGAGTTTCTTTCTATTTATACATGAGATAATTGGTGCAGTAATATTCGGATTAAAGGTAAACGATTGCATTTTCTTGGATTGTTCTAAGTGTTTCACGGCCTTGATATATCGTTTAATATTGTCGACTCAAGTAGTCGAGAGAAGATTTCGAAGTTATGTATTTCTGGTTTGAAAAAATATATGTTATTGGTTAATAAATTTTTGAAAACACATTGCAGAAGTCCGAAGCCGTTAGTTGTTGAGATGTTGGAACCGCGCGATGAAGACGATGGCCTCGCTGAACGCATGATACAACGCAGTGCAATGCTTCAAAAGTACTCTTTCTCATTTCTTAGTTTCGTTTTAGAACAAAAGCAATCAGTTTCTTTAACTAATTAAACTCTTTGATTATTTCGACGTTTAACAGTAATGGTTTTGCTCGAATTCATGAAGATATGCATATATGTGGCTTTCTTGACTCCTTACCATATATCCAGTACTTCCAGAAGATATAAATCATTTCAATCTGTTTGTAATAAGCAGAAGTAAATCGCACTCTTGTCTCCTTCCGGTAGTAAGACAACAGTTAGATTTGAACTTTGCATTGTTTATAAATCGTGATAATCGATTTTGCGGCAGAAATTGTTATGGAAACGACTCGACAGTATTGCGGGATTTAGTATTATTCCATTAAGCACTGTTGTGCTTAGTCTTAATGGACTATCTACATAGGATGGCTGGACCTGTATTCGTTTAATTGAAATTTTCGAAGCATGATTTAAATTAAAACTGATGTATGGTTCTCTTGAATAAGTTTGAATATATGCTTCATCTGCTTCGGTTCTTTTTTTTTTCAAGTAAAAAAACTAAGCAAGCCACAATTATGCATATCTTTATTTTAGAGCAACCGTGTTGAGTCCTGATTGAAAGGTAGAAATTCAAGGTTATATCCTCCCACTCGAGCCCATTGTTATTACTGTTTTCAAAAAACGGTAATGGAAGTTGTGATTTAAAAAAGTAGTGGAACAAGCCAGATTATCGGATGGATGATATTTACTCCGAAATGATTTTATAAATTATTTTCTGTATTCAAAGTTCTTCAATAATTGATTAGTGAAAAGTTATGGAAGGTAGAGGACTATTCTTTTTCTGGAGAAAAGCTAAAGGTGCATGGGTTTTTTAGAAACTGTAATCTCAGGAGAAATTGCTCATTTTTTATTGTTGCTAACTACCTTGTTCATAGTTTGGTCTTTTTAGAAATATTTTTTGAAGAAATTTTGGAAATCTTGAGTTTGTTATGAAATATTTCTTGATTATGGGTGTCTGTTTTAATAGCTTAATAAGTGGATAAATTTAAGAAATGAGTAGACCGGTATCATCCCCCGAGGATCTGATGCTGAGCCATGTCTAGCGTGCAGTTACGCTTCGACTAGCAGCACTGCATGGAATATCCAGAAAACTAATAATTTATTACTTAACGGTCGTATTGATTTCAAATGGATTGTTCCAACCATAAACTTAAGCAACGAGTGGAGTTATTGAAATTGAGTCAGCTTTATCTCTGTCTCAGGAGTTTGTAGAAGTGCTATTTCAGTTTATTTTAGCATTATGCGATACAAACATTGTTTTGCAATATTTTGAGAAATACGTTTAGGTTTCTTCAAAGCTGAAGGTTTTTTGACATTCATTGGCACTCTACAATAGTTTCTTTTTGCATATTCAGTGCATCAAGCAAGGGCATGTATAGAAGAAAATAAGAATGTCCTGATAATTTCACTGTTTCCATTTTGTTGGAATGGAAGAAAAACTTTCCATCGTTTGATAACTTCCCGCCACTCCTCACGGCTGATTTCAAATGGAAATTTCTGGAACGATTCTATTAAACTTTTACTGAGCCTACATTTTTGCATTAACCTTTATTTCTCTCCAGTTGATCTGTAGTGGCAGCACGTATCAATCGGTTTGTCGTATTATTGAGAAATAACTATATGAATTTTGTTTATGGCTACTTATCTCGTCGAAATGAACTCAATCAAAGTGTGGTTTTGCCCATTGTCAGGTAGTGGGTGTTAGGTTGTGCGGTGATACTTTTAACAGTTATGACTTGGAAACGTTCCTGGGAAACGTTTGCAATGTTTGTTTACATTATATAATCAGTGGTGTAGGAAATTTTTTCATTGTTTTAATATGGTTATTTCAGGCTTCACAATGATGTTTGAACCCCTTAATTTCAGTTATTAGCGAATTATCAAAATTGTTTTCACACTTTGTGACGGGGCGAGGAAGTGTGGTTCGATTGTGTCTGAGTGATGTGTGTAATGTGAAGGAAGAATAGAATATCATCAAAGTGGTGGGAGGAAAGTGGGTACAGCTATGACAAATTAGTTTTTTATAAATGGATCAGACGATTCGAATTTTACAGAACCTTGAAATTGCATTATGTCTTAATACACTCATTTTTGAAGTTCATCACCTTGACATAGCTGTATCCATTAGCTGATAGTAAATAAAACTGGATGTTTCGGATAAAAACCGTAGTGGGGTTATATTTTGGCTATTGATACAGAAATTAGAATAGCTGCAGAAAATGTGGAATGTGTCGCTTAAGATATTTCTGATGAGACCATGCGCAATTTTTTGTAAAATTTTACCTATCCCAATACTTAATAAATTGTAAAATCGCTGTTGCCCATAAAGCCAAAATGATCATAATATGGTGTAAAAGGGCAGTACCACGTAAGTTAAAATGCTACCAAGGAAGTGCCACACGGCGATCATTGTTATCGTTGTTTATTGGCTTTAATTGAACGTATGACTGTTTTGTGAGTTAGGTAGTATTTGGTAAAAAAATAGAGTGCGTTGTGAATAATATAGCAATGTTGCGAAAAGTGAATATGTGTAGCGCAAGTGTTACTATGTAGGGAACGAGAAGTGGGCCCACGATTTCCACCGGCAAACAGCTTCGAATACGTATTCGGGTTAAAATGGAAGGAGCTATATGAGGTGGAAAGACAGCGTAGAGCTCAATTGGAAGAAGAGCTCAAGGAAGCTCGTAGACGCTTGGAAGCTGATATGGATCTCGCTTACCAGGATTATCAAACTCAGTTGCTCCGTGAAGGCAAGGTTTTTACACTCTTTCACTTTTCGCTCTCACTGTAAAGTACATGCTTTACAGCGTTGTATTCCTTTTACATCAATGTGGAAGATTGTTGCTTTAGTTGGAACATCCTTTAAGTTATTTTTCATCTAGTTTCTGTTTTGAATTTGGTTTTTCTTTCCTTTTAGTTCAGTTTAAATAGAGTATTTGCTGTTTTTAAAAATATTTCAAGTGATGTGGAATCGGTTTTGGAAAATCATCTTAATACTAAGTGCAATTTTTCACAAGAAATTCGAAAGTGGAATACTAATTTTTGATTATGCGGGTATCATTTTATTCTACTGTATCTAATGCGTAGGGCCTTTTGTTGTCCGAAACATCCCATATATGGATAAAGTCCATTCATTCTTAACTATATCGTTAAATAGATAACTGCTGAAGAGGAAGCACTATTTTTTCATCTTCCATTCAGCTTCTATTTCGTTTTTGTAAAAGGTGTTAAAGATAAAGGTTAACGGTTTATTCAGCAATAATCACGTTTGTTTACCGACGCTTATGCTGACGTTGTGGTCTACTTTATTGTAGTTATAGATATCATAGTCCTATTGCATATGAAAGTAACTTGAAGTTTATTTTCGCACTCTTGAAGTTCCTTGCAAATGCCTAGGGAAAAATTGGTGCTTTGAAGTGGTTGTTCAGTGACCATTCAAGATAAATATTCAAATGTTGACGTGGTTAAACCACGTTGACTGTATTTACTAATTGCGATTGAGCTGCAAGGCTCTTCATCTGTGTCTGTAAATCGCTAAGGCAGAGGGAGTTATATCTACTTAAAATCATTGGGCTATGTTAGGATTTTTCCTTTTTAACGCTTATTTAGTTTAAGCTGTGATTTTAGTTGACGTTTATATCATTTTGAATTTCTATTCCTTCTTTCCCACTCCATCAGTTAATATTATGGAGTAATTATTATTCATTCATGGTTGATACAATTTGAAATTATGTGCGATATGCTATCACTTTTGTATTATCTTCTTGGTTGCCCTAGTGATTGCGTGATATTAATTTTTTTATCAGTTCGAAATTTTTGTTTTAAAGAACAGGGTTGTGATTACTATACAGCGTATTATGTTTACGAAAGGGAGTATGTATAGACTAGTACCAGACTGTTCCACTACAGTGCACTTCTAACCGTTTCATTTAACCTACTTTGTTCCTGTATTTTGTTTATGGATTATTTTTATGACCAGAACCTAACTGTGTATGAAAGTGTTGCTAAAATAATATAATTATTAACTAAGCAAAATAATTTAGCTGCTACGTTATTCTTCCTTATCATATGTCCACTCTTATTTCATACGAAATTTTTTAAATGAAGTTCAAAACTGATAGCCTGAATTTTCGTTGTGTAGACTGATTTATTATAGATCTCGCACGTCGTCAGCAGGAGCTTGAGCGATTAGAAGCTGCAAAGCGTGAACGTATGGCACAGGTAGCGGCACGTCGTGGTGAAATGCCTACCTTGCTTGGTAATTTAACTGGTGGACCATCTGGTCCACAAGGTATGGCAAATGGCCCGGGTGGAATGTCTGGTGGGCCACCACCACGTGAATTTTTCGTTACTGGTTCCGGTGGAGGAGGCTCGCACTCACAACACAGTAATTTTGTTTTCGTCATTTATTTTATTTCCTGTTGTCTATGTTATTTTTAATTATCTAATGATTTCATATTAGCTGCAGAACTTTCATAGCTTTATCCCTGAGAAAATAAGTATACATAGCATTGTTTATCTTGTTCTGGTCTATAAAAATTTTTGCACTTGTGATCAGGATTTTTTATACTATGCAGAGTGTTTTGTGAAGAAAGTATTATGTTTTGAAAGAAAGTGTTTGCTGTAATAGAATAATAGAACTGCAATGCTCTTTAGGAGGGCCATTTAACTCAAGTGGACAAGGTGGACCTGAGGGACCAAGAGGACAAGAAATGATGGGTCGAGGTCCACCTGATATGCAACGCGGTGGGCCACCACAAATGGACAATCCAGGAAGAGGACCGCCCTTCCAGCAAGGTGGACCTGTTAATCAAGGAGGCGGTCCCGGTAAATTTCTTTTTTTCGGTATCCTTTGAAAATGGTGTTAAATTACTTTATTTTATTGTGCCGAAAAATTCTTTCAGAAAGACAAATTAAATACGTTTAATAAAGTTTATTCCATATAATTTTTTCTTTCGTAATGAAAATTTTTTCTTTTGAACTTTTAACTGAAAGAGTTTGTTCAATAATTTCTGCAAGCGCAGACTGTCGTGTCTTGTATTCATTGCAGCGGTTCGTTGTTTTGAAATTTTATAGATCCAACTCTTGTACAAGGCGTCCAGAAACTATTACAAATATTTCGTGCTGATGCACCTAGACCTGGTGGACCACAGCAGGGAGTGGTATGTCACTTTAAAATTTTATATATTTATGCTAGTTAATCGGTACTAATTTGCTTGAAATCGTTTTGGTAAATTCGCATACTTTCTATATTACAGAGCCAGTTCCTGCTTAGTTCACGTTATTGTTGTAAAAATGCATATAGGATATATGTAATTTGTAATGGTCTTGCGCCTTTGATATTTCCACTAATGGAACTTCACTATATTGTTCATAATATTAATACTTGCAGCCACCTTCGTTCGGTGCTCCGGGCGGTCCTGGAGGTTTTCGAGGACCGGGACCGATGGGGCCTGGGAATTTTGGAATGCAAAGTGGACCACCGGGAGGTTTTCATCGTGGACCACCAATGGGTGATTTTCCAGCTGAGAAGCGAATTCGACGATAAGCCAAATTGCATACTGTTTTGTTTTTTTTGTTCTATTTTTAGCAGTGTTACATTACCAAATTTCCGTATGTGTTTTGTTGATTTTTTCGCGTGATTTTTCCATATAACTGTGAAGAAAGAAACAGTGAATTTATTCTGTATTGGATGGTTACACTGCTTTGATGTAAAAACGCATGTCGTGTTTACAGATGTATTTGAAGTATTTTTTTCTTTTTCCTTTTTCAATCTCCGACCATTCAGAGCAGTAAGTTTGAATGCATATTTGTGTGCTTTTTTATCAGTTGCACTGTTATTCATGTATTGTGCTCTTTAATATTAATGGTATTTATTTGTAAGAAGTAAAATAAGCCTTTGTCTGTTAGTAATTACAAGTATTTTTGGACCAATTTACTTTTGGTTCGTAGTAAATTTGTTTGTTTGAACGGGTAGTGGTTGCCTGTTTCTATGATTATCTGAAGGTAACATAATCCACATAAAACAACTGTTGATCATTCAAATTTGTGTAAGTACAAATTGTTTAATTTCTTGAATTAGAAAGTTGAGTGCGATTTTGGTAGGCACTGATAAATTAAAATGTTTGGAATGAATGTATGATGTTGGTGGTATAGTAAAATAAATTATTGGCTACGGTCGAAATTTTTGGAGTAGAAATGTATGTGTTTAAGGGATTACGGAGATTAACGTTCCTTGGTTTCTTAAGCCTTAAGCGAAGCAATATGAGTACAAGTAATTGTCAAGACTGGGTGAGGATGTTGCAGGTGGAGTTATAAGTGGAACTGAGTGAATGATGGAGTGATTATGCGGAAGTGGTCGAAGGAGAATTCTACTTCAGGGTTTCGGAGAGGTAGACCGGTCTTCTTGAAACCGAGTAAGTGTGTTGTTGGTTTCGAGCAAGCTTTTATTTGAATATACTCGCTGTGCTGTGCAACAAGACTGGATTTGTTTTCCTTTATAGTTCGTTGCATCATCCGCACAGCCTAAGTAGTGTTTTAGACTGAGATTTTGCAGCGTATTGTTCAGCTGGATAATTGTTTTTGAACTATTGAACCTTAGTTTGATTACCTGCTATTACGATATTAAAATTGCAACACAAATTAGTCGTATGTTGGTTATATTAACTGTTGTTATATGGAGGTGTTAAGCTGAAATACCTTATTGGTGAGATTTCTCAAATTGTCTTTCGTCATATTTTGTGACATTTTCATTGAAATTTGCGCATATTATTATTTCTTTAAAATTTCTGTGCATATTTTTTCTGTTACACCTCCACATAACATATATATAGGGAAGCTATCAAAACAAATGCATACGTATGCGAATATTTTTTTCAGGTGACGGTGATGTTTTTGATAACCATAATGGTCCACTTATTCTGGAGGACCGTTTAACCGAAGAAAGAACAAATGTAGTCGTAAATAATCCATTCTTAGCACTCTCTATTCAACAGCAACGTGCGCGACTTCCTATTTTTAAAGTATGAGAAATGAAATTTTTAAGAATAGTGCAATTTGAATATAGGTAAGCATTTAGTGATTTACTGATGATATAATGTTTCCAAGCCTGGAATCATTAGACTCATTATAAATTGTGCTTAAGTTTAAAGCAACTATCTTCAGCAGATATAATGAAAGAAGTAAAGCTCCGCTTGTTATGTTATGAAGTTTTCAATAGAGCTATATGTAAGATTATCAGTACAACCAACAAGCTGTTCATATTGATGAAGCTTATCTGTTGATTTTATTGTTATATTTTTTCATTTACATCGTTTGTTATAGTATCGCAATCATATTATATATCTGCTAGAAAAATATCGTATACTTATCATCATTGGAGAAACTGGATGTGGCAAAACTACTCAAGTACCTCAGGTGATAATATTGCCTTTTTAAAATTTGCTTCCTTTTCACTTATTTTACTCTTAGATTATCTTGATGCTTTTTTTTTGAGGTGAGTGTTTGGTGGTGTTCAAGTCCATTGTTTTTATTACACGAGTTCTATCTGAGGACAGAAATTTCGTTATTTGCTCGGTAGAAAAGCTTTATAAGTGAAAATAAAAAGGAGCATTATAATTCCATCTAAGCTTCGGTTATCGAAATGCAATTTGGACTCGGATTATAATATAGAGTTTTCATATATGTGATGAGTTCCAGTATATCTGATGGTATCTATCATCAGATATACTGAATTTAGATTCTATCAAATGCATTAATGTGCGCATGCATTACGAGAAGCAGCATCAAAAGCCGGAAAGATTTGAATTACATTAAATATTTACCTGTGTATATCACTGTTTGCGGTTATTAGGTAAAAAGACGAAAGTACTACATTGTACGGACATTTTTTTAGTACTTGATGGAAGCCGGTTGGGCTTCAGATGGGCGAAAAATAGGTGTAACACAACCAAGAAGAATAGCAGCAGTGACGGTTTGTTTCTTTTTTCTCATAGAATTTTCGATTCTTATAAAATTTGATGTAATTGTAGTCATTTCTTCATATTTCCATTTTTGAAATATCGTTAAGATATTACCGAACCTGATGTTAGGCAACAATCTTTTTTAGTTGGCTAATCGCGTTGCTGAAGAGAAATCATGTAAACTTGGTGAGGATGTTGGTTATGTAGTTCGCTTTGACGATATGACCGATTCGAAAACTAAGATAAAAGCAAGCTTTCCTTTCATATTGCATTACGTTATGGCACAGTATAAGAATAATATTATTTGAGGCATTGGTGTTCAATTCATAGATGGGTGTTTCTATTGCTTACTTAAGGAAGTGAATCTAATTAAATAAGTACTAAAATATTATGTACTGAAAATAAATAGTATTTATTTTGCAATAAAGACAACTGAGTTTTGTCATATAAATTTCTCCAGTTAGCTGTGCGTTTATTTGCATATGATTATTGTGGTTTGATATTATGTCATTTCAGTTTATGACAGATGGTATCCTTCTTCGTGAATTTATGTCCGACCCTTTATTAACACAATACAGGTATTATATTTTCCTGTAACCTTACATTTTCAGTATATGAAAATTGTAACCGCTGATTTGTTGCAGTATACTAATGGTGGATGAAGCGCACGAACGTTCTATAAACACCGACATTATATTGGGTTTGCTGCGAAAAGTAATAATGGTACGTCAGGATCTGCGAATCATTGTTTCATCTGCAACTCTTGATGCTACTGTTAGTTATTTGTTTTTTTTTTTTTCTTTTTTTTCTACTGTTAATTATGTGCTAGGGACGGAAAGATTAACAGATTATTTTGTATCTCCCATGAATCTTGTAATAAATTTCAATAATTGCAGCTTTTCCGTGATTTTTTTGAGTTAAATGATACAAGCGACAAAAGCAAAGATATAACGAGTATTATCTCTGTCGAAGGTCACATCCATCCTGTCACTGTCTATTATACAAAAAAGTAAAACTTCAGGCGCTAGAATTGTTTAAAAAATGTTTTTTTTTTTTTTTTTTTTTTTTTAATTTTGGCTACTTTTTTATCTAATATGAAAATATGTTGAATGTGAAAAAAATTTTTTCTGAATGATGTTTTTAGTCCCGTGCCGGATTATATTCAAAAAACGGTAGAAACTGTTCTCGATATCCATAAAAATGAACAACCTGGCGATATATTGGTGTTTCTTACAGGCCAAGATGAGGCATGTTAAGTTGTTTTGCAAATGTGTTTCAAATGCTTTAGTAATTTACAAGAAATATAGTCTAAAAAATAAGTTTTTTTAGGTAGAATCAGTTAATAAACAGCTACTTGAAGCGGTCAGAGATCTAAGGAAGAAGGAAGTGGATAAACTTTGGATCGTACCAATGTATGGCTCATTACCAGGATTCCAGCAGGTATTGTATTCATGTTTCAACGAGTTTTTTCTTTTTTTGTTTTTCAGTTTGCATATATACTGAGCGTAACTGATGGTGTATGAATATTATGAAATGCTTTCTAGCGCTTTTTGATTGTATGTACTAGATAGATTACATATACTTTCAACTAGATAGCAATTTAATATAATTTTGCTTTTCTACCACTTTGTATCATCTTTTTTTTTTTTTTTTTTTTGACAGAATTGATGGTTATTGTGTATTTTGATAAGCTTTTCTTTTTGCAGTCAACTTCGATTGGCAATTGTTGAAGTAGAATTGTAAATTAAGATATAAGTTACATGCAGTAAACCTATAGTTTGTACTTTATTTTATTATAAGAGGTTGTCTTGGTTCAGATAAAGATCTTGCATCACTTTCTTTCAGTTGAAAGCTTTTGACTCAACTCCTTACGGCACACGGAAAGTCGTGATTGCTACAAATATTGCCGAAACGTCTCTAACCATACCTGGGATAACATATGGTCAGTTCAGAGATCTAGTTTAATGAAAAGTCTTGCTTCTTGTCTTTCTAACATGTTTGGAGTCAACTTCGATTGGCAACTGTTAAAGTAGAATTGTAAATGAAGATATAAGTTACATACAGTAAACCTCTAGTTTCTACTTTATTTTATTATAAGAGCGTTGTCTTGGTTCAGATAAAGATCTTGCATCATTTATTTTTAGTGATTGATTGTGGTTTTGTGAAACTTCGAGTGATGAATCCTGAAAACTATTTTGAAAGCTTGATGAAATTGCCTGTTTCTCAAGCATCAGCACAACAACGCACAGGCAGAGCTGGACGAATTCGACCCGGAAAATGTTATCGTCTTTATCCACGTATGATGAAATATATTTCACCTATAAGTGCAATTTAGGCATCTAGCATCTAAAGCTATTCTTAGTTTTTACATAATTGACTTTCAGAAGAAGAATATGACAAGCTTCTGCCGAATACGATACCCGAAATGCAGCGACTAAGCCTTGCATCTGTCATTCTATTGTTGAAAGCTTTAGGAATACATAATGTGTTACGCTTCAATTATTTGTCGGTAAGTTTATTTTCTTTTTAATAGTAGCTTATTTTAATGCTTTCAATTCATATAGATTTGTTTCTAATGCAGGAATTTTCAGCGGCCACCTTCCTTTGCAATGATTGAAGGTCTTCAGTTGTTGTATTATCTTGGAGCCCTTTCAAAGGACGGTTTATTAACTAATCCATTAGGCATTCAAATGATAGATTTTCCTTTGCCGCCTCAACATTCCAAAACTCTTTTATGTTCGGGTAAGTTCAGATCGAGAAGAATCGTTTTGTTTAATACTACAAAAGTAATTTTAACTTTCACTTTTAATTCCTATTATCATAAAATACCTCCAGCTTTTGACAATTATTCGTATATAAGTTATTGGTATAAAAGATCCTCTTCTTGATATTGCTAGTACTTTTCATGATGATTACAAATTTGTACAATATAATGTCGACTTATAGCAATTTCATTTAATGTTTCAATGTTGAATTATTTTCGTTAAGTATAATTGTGGTGTTTAATGTTGTATTTGTAGGTGAACTTGGTTGCAGTGAAGAGATTGCAACGATTATCGCAATGCTTCAAATACAGGATGTTTTTATCATACCATCAAGAAATCGTCATGAAGCTGTAAATCTCTTCAGTTTTGCCACATGTTTTTAAAATATTTTAGTAGAGTCGTCATACTTTTGCTTTGTTTCAGGAATTAATGAAAAGAAATTTCTCGGTTGAAGAAGGCGATCATTTCACTCTTTTGAACGTTTTCACAAATTTCATGCTGGTATATTTCATAGTTGCATTATCTTAAGAGTGATTTTTCAGAGATGTCATGAATTCAAATTTTTAATTGGTGATGATTTGTGTTTGTTTTTTAAGATTTGTTTCTCAGTGCTTTTCAGTACAAGAGTCTAAAGTTAGCTTCATTAGTATTCTCTATTTTAAGAATGGGAAGTCAAAACAATGGTGCATCAATCATTTTCTGAATTACCGTGGCCTTTGTCGTGCAGAAGCAATTCGTAATCAGTTGCTGGGTCTTTTGAGGCATCATAATATTCCAATCAAATCATGCAAAGAAAATGGTATTTATCGTATTTCTGTCCTATATTTTCAACGTGATACTGAGAATTAAATAACTTTTTTTTTGCTTATAGGTGGATTTTTTAGAGTGACTGAGTGATATTTTGAAGTGATTATTTTAGGTGAGCTAAACTCAGTCCTTCATTGTCTGGTTAAAGGATTCTTCTCACAAGCTGCGTATTATCATTATTCTGGCGATTATGTTACTATCAGGAATGAACACCATTTCAAAATTTACAAAGGATCGGCGATTATGTACAAAAGAGAATTCCCAAAATGGTTTGCAAAAAATTACGAACTGTTCATAAAGAATGTAAATCAGTTGTAATTACTGACAGTATAGCAGTTATTCGAGTTCAAATTAAGGGTGATATTCACGGAAGTGCTACAAGACTCGATACGTGACATCAGTGTAATTGAACCAGAATGGTTGTATCAGCTAGTTCCAGAGTACTACGAATTTGGGACGGTATAAAGTTTTGGTTACCTAATTTCGATTGTCTAAGTATTTTTATAAACTGTCTACAAACTACTAAAATTATAAAAATCACTTACGTTTTATTGTGTCATGCATCCATTCTGTTATTGTTGAATTACTCTCCACTCAGAAATACTCTATCAAGGTTCCTCTTTCTATTCGTAATTCTTTTTATTACTGCTATTTTCAGGATGCCGAAATAGCAAGGAGAAAAGTGGAAGCAAAAAGTGTTTCATAATCAGTACCTTATATTTGTTTGTTTTGAGAAAGTGTAATAAAATCTTTTCAAATATAATTTTGTATGGCCAGAGAGCAGTTTTATATGCATCAAAACGTATTCCAAACTTTATTTGTAAAATCTTAATAGCTACATACGATCGTACTCTTTTTTATTGATATGCTTACTAGTTGGTCTATATAGATACGGCAAGCTTTCGTTTAAAGTAAATAACAGGAAATCTGAAGAGTTGTGCAGTTTGCAGTCTTATGGTCACATAACGGTATTCTCTATGAATAGCCAATACATTCTTCTTTGCAAATTCTATATGAAAACTAGCAGCAAGCAAATACGGCAGCTACATTCTTCGCTGGTTGCTTATTCTCAACTCAAGCAGTCTGCATCGCTTGCTCAGAAAAGGCCCCTGAAATTCAATATCGGCAAGTTTCCCTGAACTGTTTCAAAAAATGTAAGATACTGAAGATTTGGTAGCTGTATCAGCAATCATTATTTGTAGATGGCCCTGGATTGGACTACTTTGTCAGTAAGGCAAGTAGTGAACACTTGAGTAAAGTGATGCCGAGAGCAGAAGAGATGGATCAGTCGTTGAGTGCGATGGCTTCTTATGGAGATGGGTTGAAAGTTATGTTCAAATTTATGATATGATGTTTTGTATATTGATTTTGTTTATCTGTTTATTTATTCATTCAATTAATTTATTTAATCATTAGTCTATTAATTTACTTTGTTTGTATAATTTATTATGATATTTCAGTAAAATTCATAACATATGGTTGCCAAATGAATGTAAATGATGTGGAATTGGTACGCTCATTGTTGCTATCATCAGGTTATGTGGAAACAGATGACGTTAAAGAAGTAAGTGTAACTTTTAATGTTTACTTCGCGAGATTACTGATGTACGTTATTCCTATTTAGGCTGATATCATATTATTGATGACATGTTCAATACGTGAAGGTGCTGAAAACAAAGTATGGGATGAACTAAAGGTACTGAGAAAAATACGCCGCAAAAAAGGTGTTGTTGGAGTTTTAGGTATGCTTTATGTTGAGACTAGTAAACATTTTCTTATATAATTGTTTTATTTTGGAGTATTAATATTGTATTCATTGCATAGTCTGTACAAGTATACAATTATTCATTACTTTTACGGAGCGTACAGTGCTTGACAACTCAGTACTTCTGGTGACTTTTAGATATTACTGAAATAGCCTTCATTCCTGTCATTTGTTATCTGTTTATGTTAAAGTGTCCTCACGAGAAGTGATACGGATTTTGTGTCATATAATACTGTAGTAATATTAGTTAACATATTTTTATTTTACTCTTATAATCCGCGAATATTCAAACAGATTAATGTTAATTAAAACAAATCGAGAACGATGTCATACAAAAATGTTTGACATTTATTTTAATTTTTGTCCTTTCTGTTCTAACAGCCATGTCAAAACACTGTAATTTTTTTCTTACTATTTCAATTATCCTTTAGGTATGTCATTGGACCATAATCGCTGTTATCCATGTAAGCGAAATAATACTTATCACTTTGAAGGTTGTATGGCGGAACGTGTAAGGCATAATTTATTGACATGCACTGAAAATGTTGATGTGGTAGCTGGACCAGATTCATATCGAGATTTGCCACGGCTGTTGGCAATTGCTCGATGCGGAAGTATGGCAATAAATGTGCAACTATCGGTAGAGGAAACGTATGCTGATGTTGTCCCGGTTCGAAAGGACAAATTTTCCAAAACAGCTTATGTGTTCGTTCTGGTTTTATATATATATTTGATTTCATATATTTTCTTTTTAATCTATCACACTTAACATAGGTATGTGTAAGACGTGAAGTACGTGAAAGACTTAATGTAATAACACTTTCTGTGTTTTTCAAATAATACGCAAATACTGTTTAGTTATATGCATTCTTGGCAGTTATTTTATTATAGATCGATTATGCGTGGTTGTGATAACATGTGTACGTACTGTATTGTACCATATACAAGGGGAAGAGAGAGGAGTCGTCCAATGAATTCTATACTTGATGAAATTAGGAGATTATCTGATGAGGTAATATTTCTATATTTTCGAATCATTCAATATATATTTCCGGGATTCCATGACTTTTTCAGTTAACTATGCCGAAAATTGTGCTATATAATGTCGTTCGAATTTTGTAGGGTGTGAAGCAGGTGACGTTGCTTGGACAGAATGTCAACAGTTATCGAGACCTATCAGAAATATCATTTCTTTCTGCAAATTTGGCAGAACCTGGTGTTGCTCCTGGATTTCGCACCAAATATAAACCGAAGAGAGGTGGATATAATTTCCTCACACTACTGGATAAAGTATCACAAATTGATTCAGAAATGAGGATACGTTTTACTTCACCACATCCTAAAGATTTTCCTTTGGAGGTATTTCCGTTTATGATCTTTTTATATATGTTACATATTTATATTAAATTCTTTGATAAGTTAATAATATTTAGTGAAAATAGGAGTAAGATAGGGGTGATTTTATTTTCCTTGAACATTTTTAAACCTAATAGTCGGCTCACATTTAATTGGAATTTTATAGGTGATACAACTGATAAAAGAACGCTCAAACATATGTAAACAAATCCATTTGCCAGCGCAAAGTGGTAGCAATATTGTATTGGATGCAATGGATCGTGGCTATAGTAGAGAAAGTTATTTAGAATTAGTCCATCGCATTAAAACCGTCTTACCAAGTAATGACATTTAATTGAAAGCTTTTTTTTTTTTTTAATTAAAAATCTCTCACACATCATTTGATTCTAATATTTAGATGTATCGCTCACGAGTGATTTCATAGCTGGTTTCTGTGGCGAGACCGAGGATTGCCATCGAGAATCTCTGGACTTGATCAAACATGTTGTTTATTCTTTTTGCTACGTTTTTCCGTATAGTCAAAGGGAGGTAAGCGAGCTTAGTTTTTTTTTTTTTATGAATCGCTTCTGATCAATCACAACCACAGAAAATGGGTAACTATAGTAAAATTACAGAAAACCAAAGCATATCGACATCTGAGAGATGATGTACCGAAGGAAGTGAAGAACAGACGCCATCAGGAACTGGCGGGCGCTTTCAGAGAAACAGCATTAAAACATAATGAGTCTCTCCTTGGAACCAAACAATTGGTGCTTTTAGAGGAAGTATGTTTATTTCTATTATTGTTTATAATGCTCATTAAAAATCCATAGAATAGGTTGGTCCCGATTTTATTTATGATTCATCACACAGCACTTTTAGTATTATTGGTAAGAGTATCCTTTGGTAAGAATATATAAGAGTATAACCTGGAAAAGAGTATTTGATGGCTTGGATTATTATTTTGGTTAAATGTCTTATTTGCTCGATCCACCAAATGCAGTAATTTATGCATATATTAATATTCCCTTGGTTCATTGGCTTTCGATGATTGCTACAATTATTATTACTATTATTATTACTACTACAATTATTATTACTACTACTACGCTCTTTTTTTTCGGATTTCAGGATTTTTTGCTTTATTTCCTTCCTTTGGTCTTAGAGGACCACTAGTTCTTCAGGACAATTAATTACCGTTTTCCCCCTATGCAACCTGCTTTTCCATTTAAATAAATTTCTCCTAAAAAATAATTATGAATATTGCACCAAATTTTTGAGCATTTCTAGACAAGTAAGCGTTCTTCTGAGCATCTGCGAGGTCGAACTGATGGCGGAGTTAGTGTTATTATCAATAAGTATTACAATGATGGTTCGGGATTGGTGGAACTAAAACCTGGCGATTATGTTGTCGCTAAGGTATGTTAATTCAAATCAATTAAGTTGGCAGTAAGTTGATCGTAAACAATATTTTCTCCCGCTAAGAGAGGCAATCTTTTTCAGATAATATCTGCAAATTCGCAAACGCTCCAAGCCTTGACACTTCAGACGACAAAGCTAAAGGATTTCGAAAACTTATGAAGAGGTAATAGTAAGGAACATCTATCTACGTACAAAGTGTTAGGAAGATAAATGGCTTACATCATACAACGCATTTAGCAAATGGAAGAAGCAACTTTATCGACAAAATTTCTAGAAATTATTAGCAGGAAGGGAACAGTGATGTAATGTTATGTCGATTGTTTATTGGACAATACTTTGCTTTATTACTAATTTTTACATATTATAGAATTTAACAATTATATGGATTTCCATTATTTTAATAGCATGTAGTAGCATGCTTTGATGCAGGTAACTACTACGTAAATGATCCTCGTTAGCGCGTCTTCGATTTGATTTTTTTTTTAATGATCACAGAAATGGGAAATATGTGTTTTTTTAAGATTGGCAGATTCATGGCAAGTGATACCATTGCAGACCTAAGCAGTTTTTGTTCCAAATGTAAATCAGTTTCTATTGTGTAGGGCTGAGAAGGTTAAATGTTTTTGTTTGTCGATTTAACTTTCTGATAGTATGATGTTAAGTTGATGAAATGCTTTACTGAAAGTTTAGGTCTCATAAAGTTATCTATGTAATGCGTTGGTACAGCTCTTCATGAAATGATGAAGAGCTGTACCAACGCACAAACATAATTTTGCTTAGTCTTCCACCAATGTGATTGTTTCTGTTCTGCTAAAAGCAACGTGGACTACGTGACGTTGTAGGAGAGATAAGTAAACAAATAAGTAAATGTATATACGAATGATGTATTCATCAACAAATCGAGATTATAAACGAAAAGATAACCAGCATGAAACAAATAAGCAGTTAACTGGTCGCACGGACGAGTCATACATATGTGAAGAATATCTGTGATGGGGGAGGGGGAAGGGGGATGCATGGTTCGAATAGCACCTACCCGTTGCATGCAGAGTGGTGACTCTACGCTGAGTCTCTGATGGGAACTCACTGGGATACCCGAATACCAGAACGACGCTGTAACCCTCCAAGGTGACAGCAGCGAGAAAGCAAGTCGAGATTTCACGCTAAATTTGATCAGCCAGGGATTTGAATTGCATGACGCGCCGTTAATTTGACTTCCTGGCCGTCACATGATGAAATAGGTCAGGGATGGGTTGTGTTGCTCGTGTACTGTTTGTGTGGGTGGGTTGTCCTCTACGTGGGAGTGTCATTTTGTCTGGGAGGCTGTGCTTTTTCAAGTGCTCATTTCATTGGTGATGTTTGACCCCGTGTCGATAATGTGTTTCATGTTTTGTGCAATTGATCTTGTGTTCTGATATCCCCCGAACATATCGCTAGGCATCTGGGATTCTTCTGCAATTATTTTTAGGGCGGTAGAGATGAACTAAATTATGTGTTAAGTTACTTTTCACTGGTTAAGTCAACTGTGTTTGTCAGGTGTTTTTACAAGTGAGAATTTCAGCGTTGTATGTTAATGTTAGCCTTTACTGCAAATGTTCATTCATGAATGTTTGCGATTGCGATAGTGACAGTGATATATGTTATCATAGTTGGATGTGAGTGTGTGTGGCTTAGCTGGGTGCTTTTGCTATGTAAAACTTGTGTTTGTAAAAAGAGAATTAGAGAGAATGATGTCTTTTTGCAATATCGGTATACTTACTTCGATAGTGAATTTTCTTCCATGGTTTCAGAGACTGCTTGTTGCATCAGAAATTGAATTCATATATAACAACTAAATAAAGATGGGTCATCAGAATTTATGGTTTTCACATCCGCGCAAATATGGCCCAGGTTCTCGTTCATGGTCAGTAAACACTAAGTTTCAATGCCACATTCGATCTGTTTTGAGTCTTTTCATGCAAAAAGTATCTTACACCTTTATTCGTAGATATCTTTGCATATGATTATATTTTCAGCCGAGTTTGTTCAAATCATCATGGGTTGATTAGGAAATACGGACTTAATATGTGTCGACGATGTTTTAGAGAGTATGCTTCCGATATTGGATTCAGAAAGGTATGAGTCGAAAGGAGTACACTCTCTGTCTCCATGCTTTTGTTAACTTTTATTTTTTTTTAATAATGAATACATTTTTAAAATTTGTTTTACAAACAAGGAAAATTATTTCAGCTAAATTGACGTGCAGAAAAAATGGAGAAATACAATCGCGATATGCTTTTCTTCGCATTCTTTTGTAACATTTAATTATGATCGGTTTTTTTCTTGTTTTGTAACGTTTCTTTTATTCTTTTGTAATGTTAACTTTTCCGTGGAATAAAGTTTAAATGTTATCTTTGTTGCTCGTATTCATGGCAAATAATTATGCGTACCTACCCGTTCTGCAATATTCCATTTACAACACTTTAATTAGGTAGTTTTAAGTGGACTTAAAGGATTTATTTGGTTGTTAGAATTTAGGAATTCTCTTGCTATGCACGCTGTGGTGCTGGTTGCATTCAGTGACGTCTGATGCTGAGTGTTCGACTCTTATCCCCTAGGATGTACACTTTGATTGCAAGGATGACTCGACAGTTAATGTATTTTAGTGGTAAGGATGGATAGTGATGATATACCGGAAGTGTTGGTTGCCAATCGGCAAAATCAACTAATCTTCCTGACAGGATTAGATATCGTCAATAATAGGTCTCATGCAGCTGTCTTCTCAGCTTTCACAGTAAATCGAGAGCAAGATCGTCCACCAATTGATTTTGTTATGCTCGATGGCACCCAGACATTTTGCGAATCAAAAGCACATCAACAGATGGTATTATTTAAAATGATATTGGGGTTGGAGGAAACAGAAGATGAGAATAGATTCAAAGATTATGTAGACAGGGATTGTGAACATTTTAGGTGTCGAATTTTTCGCGAGGATTTATTAAAGTGGATTGGTTCAAGAAATATGTTAGAGACTTACCGTCCGTTATCGTACTGTTTGCTGATTTGGATTGGGATCATCCATCTTGGAATGAGAAGGCCACGGAATGCGAGTCGAAGATTTCATCGCTTAGGTAATATTGACTTTATTGCATGGATTTAGTTCAGAAAATTCAGAAATTTAATTCTAGTTTGAAATTCTCACTCGGAATGCGGAATTTTTCATATTATTTTACTTCAGACATATGTTGTTCATTAAAGAGTGTGATAAGATTAGAGTCACTGTCAACAAAATGATTAATTTAAAAAAAGCGGATTTAATTTCTTGTTTAAAATGACTATATGGTATGATATAACTGCAATGCACTGTAGGACAAGCATCGGAATCCATGCAACTCGAATTTGTATTGTGCTACTACAACAAACTCAGCTAATGGACAATCCATTAGCTGTGGAGAAAACAGCCAAACTATGTCAGCTATGTCAGCTTCCAACGAAACAATTGTTTATTCTACCCGTTGGCGAACGAATGTTTTCATCGGTTTTAAGGTTTTCTTTCGTTTACTTGTTCCCTTAATCTATTTTTTCGACCCTATTTGCTCTAAGAGTGTGAGATTGGAGTTTTTATATTTACCCCTACTCTCTAAATGTAGGTATTTGACAATATGACTCAACATTCTTTTTTTAGCGTGGAAAATGGTTTCAATTTATGAGACGGTTTCTTGTTCAACCATAAGTTTAATAACATGGTGCATTTCTTTTTTCTAGGCTTGAAACCGCATTCCATGAATTAGCGCAAGCATTCTATCAACACTGTCTGAAATCAATCCGTGCGCGATCTATACCAAATAATTTTTCAAATCTTATCATTCGTCAACAGTTTAAACTGGCATTCATCTCGGAATTACGACAAGATACACACACGGCACTCAGGTCATCACTTTTTTTAGTCACTTATTCCTAAAAATTACTTTCAAGATTCATGGTTTTAATTAAATATCTCAAATAGCTCTAGTGTCGTTACACGTTTTTTTGTTAGCTCATATTTTTAGAACAGAAACATAAAATGAATGATTTTATTTGTCAAATTTTCTCCACTATTCGCTTTATAGCTTAAGTTTTTGCCGTATCTATTGGTTTCAGATGCCTTGATAAAATGCCTGAACAAAATTTTTTTCTCCAAAATACTTATTCAGTATATTGCTTTGTTCAAAATATCATTTGTTCTCCAACTGTTTGAATTGTCTGGAATCAGAAAATTTGTGTGCTATGGTTGGGATGTATGATTTTGAGTTTATGAAAATTTATCTATTAAAAAGGCAACCAGATAGGTTTTTCATTTCACATTATACTGGTTTTGTTTCTCCAGATAGTTTTCATTTCAAATGCTTTATTAAATATTGAAATGACTTCTTTGTTAGAAACACTAAGACATTTGGACTTGTTTTGTTAAAAACAAATTAAAAAATTACCATCTGATTGTATTTAATCACTTTATCTACTCCGGACTTTTGCTTTCTATATTTACTTTTGTGTTTTTGCATTCATCTTTTTATGTGTCAAAGGATGTTATTGTAAATGGTATTGTGATTGCTAAAAGTTTTTTTTTTTTTCATTTTTAAAAATTTATTTTAGACATTACAAGCTAGCATATCAACATTGTACCGAGTGCGAAATCGTCGATAGTGAAATATATGAACTGCGAGCAGTGGCCGGACTCCTCAATTATAAGGTGAATTTCACTTTTTTCACGATCCTTCTATGCTTTACATTCTTTACTGTTTTTGATGAAATATGCAATTGTACCGGAAGCGATTGCTTTAGTGGAAAAGATTTCCAGAAAATCTGTTAACGGAACATTCTAAATGATACATCTTTATATTAATTCCAGATATGTCAATTATCATTTTTTCACAGTGCAGCATTAGAGGCATTAGCACAGCAACGACGACATAATAATACATTTTTTTGCTTACCTCCAGGCTCGTATCCATCCCCAGCCATAGCATCAATTGAGCATTTATTATGGAAAGGCAAACAGGTCTTATTCTGTATTTTTGGCTTTGAGTTGATTTTCATGATTTCATGGTTCACTTCAAAAATTCTCGCATATTTCATGCATTAGTATTATTTTAGTGTTCGTTATTTGCGAATTTGTTTGAACGAGCCGTCATAGGTGGTTTGGTTGCTGTATCAACTCAACATCCTGGAATGTATCTTCAAGCAGCAGCTTATTACTATCGGCAAGCAAATGAAGCTATTATCGCTTTAAATGCTTCACAGTTAGCTGGGTCAGTTTATCCTAATCCTGACCCATTGCTTGCAACTACAGTTTTTTATGGACAAAGGCCATGGAGGACAGCTACGGAAAATGGCAGTCTGTCGGATCCGGAAACTGAAAAAAATGCCGTCATCGCACTTGAGGTCAGTTTATTATATCTTTTGTAACATATAATTTCAGCTCTATTAGTTTTAGTACGTTTTAACTGTAACACATGGCCTTAATGGTTAAAAACAGTGCACTTTAATGTTTAAATGAATAAATTAAATGTTACTTCAGTTACGATGTTCTCCAAATCATGATCGATCTATTGCTCTACTCTCCTCTGCAATGTCCCAGTTCAAGAAATACAAATGTCTGCGAATGCAGCGTTACATGATGTTCTTGTTATCAGATGAATACTTCATAACAGGTCAATACGTCAAAGCTTTACAGGTAGTTCTTATGATGGTTTCTTTCTTGTATTTACCAAATTCTTGTTCTCCTTTAATTTCAGTTTGCATCACATTTAATTTGGGAATGTCGTCGGGAAGGTTTTATGCAGCCAATTACAATACTGCTTCTGCGTGCCCTTGTATGTGCATTTCGAGTAGCAGACGTGAAGGAATTTATGACACTTAGTATGCAAATGCTTAACTTGCGCGCATTTCCGACTTTTGCTCCCATTACGGAACAAATTATAGCAAATATTGAACTGATTCGTCAAGGCTTTCCACCTCATGTACCTATCCCAAATGCTAATATATCTTCGACCGAGGTTCATTATTTATTGCATTTTATTTATTACGCTAAATTGTTAACTTATATGGTGTATTTAGACGAATAAGTGAGTAACTTGAACTTTTTAGCAAGTACTTGTTTTGCAGTTCACTTTCATTTTATAAAATATCGAAATATTCCTGTTTTTTGAGAAGGATGATAACCACTCACCGATTCTGTCATAAAGTCTTGGATTTCATGCATAAGCATTCTTTAACGAATTTAAATAAAAATTACGAACCAGAATATAGATAAATAGATTCACATCATTTCGGATATTTTAAAATACTTTCGTCAATTTTGAAGATAGAGGCATGTCAAAATCTTTGGAAGATGGCATTTGCTGAACGTGTATTTTTTTCGATAAGCGCACCCCGTATTGATGCATTTATTCGTGCTCGTGTTGCTTTTCTTAACAATACCACAGAAACTGTTCATGCTAATTCATTAATTCTTCTTATGGTAATTTTGTCTGTTCTCTCTAACGTTTTTGGTTCTGTATTTACTATAAGAATTTATAATACGTATTTTAGCATTCGCTAATACTAGCAAGTGGATATTTTTTCATAATTTTAAAGAGCGAAAGTGTGATATTTCTTGAAGTTATCTTTCAACTTATTTATCATTATATAAATATTTGTAAATCATCATAAACTGTCATTTAGGTGGCCCTCTCATCGTACTCTAGTAAAACGATCTTTTTCGAAAGAATGAAAATTACTGTCAGTGATGGGAGTAAGGAACCAGGAGAGTTGCCATTATATGAATTTACCGAAGACAATGTCGAAATTAATCCAAAGAAAGAAACGGTCAAAATGTACAAGATATCATTACCTCAGTCGTGTTGTACGAGCGCCAGGCAACTTATAGTAATGATCTTTCTTAGTGTTTCTGTTTGTATTTATTTTTTTTTGTTCTTACTTATTCCTGTAAAATTTATCTTTCAGAATAAATATATATATGTGTGAGAGAGAAAAAAAAAGAGAGCAGAACTTATTTTTTTGAAGATGAGCGGATTAAGCTTGGAAATGGGTTCCGTACATTCATCTGTTTATGGTACAATGGATTGGGATGCTCAATCGTTGTCGTATGGTACTTATGATAATTCTTACATGAATTCTATATTAGACGCATGTGTCGGTCAGACGATACTTAAGTAAGTTTGATATTTCTTTACATCTTTGCCTCTTTATTAATTTCATTATTATTCGTTTTTAATACTGTGATATTGTCTTTATCGTGACTGTTTTCAAGTTGTTTTTTGTCAGAATCGAACCTCGTGAAGCTCATTTTCGCCTTGAAGGAATTGGTCAAAGTGAAGCACTACTTGGTGAAATTGCCACAATACCGCTGTCATTTATATGTGAGGAAAATAGTCCGATAGAAAGTATTAGGTATAATTATTCTTTTTCTTTCTAAACATGTTGAATTTCCTAAAAAATGTTATTGCAGATTGGATTGGTGCTTGGATACTAAGGAAGAGATGGTTGGTTCTGTGGTTTTTGTCGATGAGGAAAATCAGTTTGTTCCGAACGGCACAAAAGTTTTAAAATGCAGTAACTCTGAAATTCCACCTTTTAAGGTCAAAACTTCATTTTATTAAAGTTCATATTTCTCCACTTTATAATCTTTTCGGCAACGTAAATGTTTCTATTCTGTATAGTTTTAAATCATCCACACTTCATGCATCGGTAGTCTCAAATATCAGCAAGCGTGTGTTTCAGCTGAATTTACGTTTAAATGTTAAAAGTGTAGAAACAGTAGTTTTGCAGGTTCAGTTGAATATAAGATACTGCACTCAGACCATCTGCTCGACAAATATGTCGGTAACGGTATGTTTTAGATGTCTTACTGTTTCGCGGAATAAACGTTCTTTACGGCGAATCTCTGTTGTTGAAGGTCTCTATATCGCTGGACGATATGACGGTGCAGAAACGCTTCTTAGTATGTTTGCGGTCAAGACTTCCATTTGATGTCGAGAGCAAAATACTGACTATAAACGTTAGTGGTTATTCTCGTAAGATAGCTTTAACTGATGGAACGAATCAAATTCGCATAAACAGCCCATTTAACTTTCTGCTCGGTAGATTATGTAATGATTGCTTTTATCTTGATAATTATGGACATAACGATGAAGCTAACACAACATGTCTTTTCATCTTGCATTTCTTATTTTTTCTCTCAAAGATTAGCTTCGTGCACCTTTCTTCTTGCAGAATGATGTGATTGAAAATCCGCTTGCGGAAACCAATTTCTTTATTCGGACAAACATAACAACAGTGGCAGATATGGTTATTTCGAACATATCATGGAAAGCGGTATGTTAATGTTGTATTGTGTTATTAATAGATGTTTCATTACAGTAATAATTAAACATAGAATTTGTAGCATCTATTAAATTATTTTGGTTCTTGAGAAGCAAATCGTGTGAGCATGATATTAGTTCGCTCGTTCAGTAACATAAATGTTTCTATGTTGTCTGGTTTTAAATCTTTCACCGCTTCATTTAGCTAAATTTGTGTTTAAAACTATTCTCTTGAATTACATTTCTAATTATTTAAATATCTCAGCAACAATTAGTAGTGAAATCGGAAAATTTTCATATAAACAGCATCTGATGTGTTATGTCGAAAACTTTCCTTCAGATTTCGACATGCACATTTTCTTTATTATAACTGAGATTGACATCATAAGATCAGAACTATAATCAACGATGCGATCATCTAAGTGATGAAAGTGGGATAAGGTCAAAATCAGAAACAGATCTTTTGAAATTTGATATGTACTGATCATCATTTATAACATTTTTAATAACATTTATAACATCCTGATCATTGCTGTAGAGAAAATTTTCAAAATCACTGTCATCACTCTTTGACAAATGTAAACTTTAAATTCTAAAAAAAAAAAATCTTTTTTCTGTGAACTGTTGAAGGGATGCGAAACTTGTTTTCGATTATTATTATTATTACTAATTAAATTTTAGGGTGCTGGAATGGAAACTGATGAAGACGAAAAGATTTTGCTGAAAGGTAAGTGGTAAACTTATGTTCTTTAGGTTGTGGTATCTTGCAAAACTAATTTAGATGTTTTAGATGAAATTTGCTGCCTTGAGAGCGACGTAATAACTGTTTGTTCACCTGTACGATTTTCGCTGAAAGCAGAAAGTAAGCGATGTGATTTGGGTGAAATATATATACGTTGGAGAAGGTTAATTTAGATCTAATAAAATTATTTAAATTTATCATTGTAGAGTATTTAAAGAAGTTTATTAGTTAATTATGTACTTTTTAAAATGGTCCAAACCATTTCTAATATAATTTAGACGAGCTATATTACAGGAATACTTTACTGGATGGTTGGGTTTTGTCCCAGCTTAGCATTGGATCTGTTCTTGTGAAAAATTCTCCACTATCAGTTGAAGCGCATCCTCGAACTTCTTATCTTATCGTACGAACAGCAATTCCAGTTATTTTTACAATTCGAAATCTATATGACAAAGTGATCGATCTGCAGATGATGTTAGAATTGGCAGATGTATTTGTGTTCGCTGGCAACAAAAAGGTTAGATTGTCTTCTCTACACTGATATTTCGGAAATTCCAAATGGTTTTTTAATGTGTCTATTTTTAAGTTTGTTGATGATTTGAGATGTTGGAGCATGTTATGATGACATAGTTCGAGCTATACAATGTGATTTGATAATCTAACTAATTCAGATTGTATGGGGTAGTTGATAAATCTATTCGGTTCAAATTGTATTACGGTAACTGATAAATCTAGTTTTAGCTAAAGTAGTGTATTTGCTGATAGAAACAATTAATATCTGGTTATAAAAGCACAGCGGTACTGCAGAATTATCAATTTATTCCATTAACCACCATTCTTGCTTTCCTTCTTCGTATAACTTTATGTTTAACATAAAATTTTTTCTGTAATGGTTAATTTCAATGAGATTTTCGTGACCACTAGTGCCCATGCATTTCAAAGCTAAGTTCCATTTCATTCTTAATTCAAATTGCTTTCAGTGTTTTTGTTTCAATTTCTCAATTTATGGCCTCACTTTGATCTGTTTTTACAATTCATTTAATTAATTTGTTTTTCTAAAAAATAGAGATGGCCTTTTGTTTTATTTTGTACATATTAAGTTTTGTCCTCAGGAACGGTTGCAATACATGTTTATCAGTTAAATCGAAAATAGAGCAATATTTTCCTAGGACATGGAAAGAAATTGGAGTGCACCGTTAATTTTTTTCATGATTTATTTTCGATACTCTATGCTTTCAATACTTTAAGTTTAAAAGCGTGGATTGGTGGTGTCACTTTTTTTTTTTTTTGGTTTCCTTAAATTGATTTCAAAATTGTTAAGTCTGTTTTGCTCTATACATGTTTCCGTATTATTTCATTGTCACTTCGAATCATCACAATTTTTCCTATTGGCTGATCTCTTGCTTATGGTATATGTATACTCACGCAAATACCTACAAATACACGTTTCCCACAAGAATTGTTGACGAATTATGTTTAGTTGCTTCATTTTTCTGCTGAGAAATAGCTGTTGAAAAATGCATATAAACATTCAGAAGACAGAGACAGAAGAATTAAAGTTGTTCATTTCAATTTGGCTAAATTCTGTGAATTAAAAAGATAGAAGTAATGTGTCTTATAAAGTGAGATTAGATGATAATTGAGAATTTATTTTTATATTCTAACCCTCCTGATGCCGCCACTGTATCAGGTTCAGTTTCACTGGCATATTGAGAAGAATCCATCTCAGGAATTCCTTTTCGGAAAACAGTTTGGCTTATTAATTAAAACAAATAAAAAACTTTTATAGATAAATTTACTAAATTTATTGTATCATCGTAGTCATTCGTCTGTGAAATAAATATGTACTGATTTGAATTTACTGAAATTCGGGACTTCGAGAATTTCTCTTCCAGAAGATGGACATATTGTTTTGCATTTTTCACACATCGCTTTCAAAAGCTTATTATCAGTTTAAATTCTCCATGCTTTATCTTTTTGATGTGAATGTGAGAATAGCTTATTAAACTTGCTGAAATTTATGGTTTTTTTTTTTTCGTTTTTGTTTTTATTTGGTAGAATAGTAATATGTGTTCTGATCCGAAAGTGATCATTTTATTCTTATTCTTTAACTGATTCATCTGTTTATTATTTTGCTAAGAAATTGTGGTCCATAATCGCTAGAAGCTTATCTTAAAACCGATTAGTGTCATTTTTTATTCGCTGCGCCATTTAACTTAAACGTTAATGGGACTGAATTTTGAGTTATCGGTTCAACTGCTACTTTGACAAGAAGAATGTCTCATATGAGTAATCAATTTCAGAAAGATTTTGATAAAAATATATGTTAAAAAACTGAGCAAATTGATGTTCTTTCAAATTGACTAATTTTTTCGATCAATCAACAATAAAATGTTGCAGTAAGCAGTAGGAAAGAGATGAAAGAACGTCTTCACTGTTCAAAATATGTTGGCAACCATGAATTAAAAAAGAAAAGAAGGAAATAATTTCAAAAAAAGATATCATCCACAAACGATGTTTAATCTTGTTCAGTTGCATTCTACTCGGTCATTCATCCTTCCTTTCAATATTTTTCGAAACAAAAGTAGTTGTCAAAAATATTAGCTTACCTGATTTCTCTTAAGCAGAAAGGAAACATTCCTTTTGGCTAAAAGTTAACTTTCCTTCTTTCTCGTTTGATTTTTAAATTTTTATTACAGCATCGCCAACTCCATTAGTAAGCAGTTCTCACAAAAGAATGATTGATGTTTGAAGGTAGTAGAGTGATGGTTGTTGAAGGATAACTAAATTAAAATAAATTGGACTAGACCGGACATAGTCTCTTCTTCTATTTCATTACATTATTCCTTATCATCATTATCATCATCGTTATCATTACCACTACTATCATTTCACAGTTTATAATGGTGACATAAGCAAAGGTGAAAGAGTGAAGAAAGAAGAGCAAAGATTGCAAAGAAGAAATGTTAGCATTGTTGTCATATTGTATTGTTATCTCATTTCTTGTTTTTTTTTTTTTTTTTTTTTTTGGCATAATACCACCTGACTGAATCTTTTTTTTTGCTACATTTCTAGATTAATCTGACAAAGATGCATTAGCTTCTATTCATAAAAGTTAAGGATGAAGCTTTTTCATGACGACATCAGTCAGAAAGTGGGTCAACAGGAATTACATGACTTAAATTGTGGGTTGCCGAGAAGCGTAGATTTTTGTCCATAATAGGAAAATGAAATGACACGTTGTTATACTTCTCGAACTCTTCTTTCATATTAGTCGTCAGCAAAATAAAACTATTGTAGTGAGAGATGTTATCATTGCTGATTCACTGATAATGAAGAATAGTGAGACAATGCTGGCATATGTAAATGGAAGTATTCACGGATATTAGAATGACCCAAGTGATGTCAGGGCAATAGAGAAAGGACAGTATGAGACTTATGATGCAACGATAGATTGCAGTGCTTTCGATGTTTTTTTCTGGTTAATTTCATTATTTCATTAGGTAGCCAGTGCTTATCACAAAACACAGCTCTGTACTTCATTCGAGGCAATAATGAAGCTGAATTTTGTCAAATTGACAGTTAAATTTTGAAAGTCTACAGAGAGGAATATGTGATGTGCTCTAACTCAAACTCTACTAAGTTCTTTCTAGTCTCTAAAGGGAATTCCATTCGCTTTTCTCTGGCTTCAGTGACAGCTCACCTCACGAACATATTCCAAATATTTCTGTTGGGTTGACTGTGTCATCCGTTTTTTCTTAGCTGAGAAGTAGCATATGATTAGACTGGTTAGGAGAGAAGTTGAGAAGGATGAGCTATACGTGAAATAAGTGGAAATTTGGCTCACGTGACCGTATTTCCTTTCTACTCTTCAAAATTTTCGTTCTGAATTTTCTACGTTATAATACACCTTCATATGCTGTTTTTTTCTGTTAGACTAGTGTTTATGCCTACCTATCGTATGCATATTTGGAGAATATTTTTCCCTTTTGCAGATCGATATTCGTTTATTACCATCGGAAATTTATGAGTATAAAGTATCAGTGATGGCTCTTTGTGCTGGTCGTTTACCGTTCCCGAAGCTCACAATTCGAAGTTCGATGTTCGATCCAACAGTGCTGGACGAAATTACGTTGCTTTCAATTCCAGATGCTATGTTTATACTGGTTAGTTCTTTTTTTTTTTCTTTTGTTCTAAAATGATTTCAGAGGATTTGTGCTAATTAGTGTCTGGATATATCAGCTTTTGAGAATATTAAAATTCAAGTATCTTTTGAAAATTTAATTTCTGGAAAATACTTGTTGCATTTTGTTGCCATATGTAGTCATCTGTTTTTAATACTTTGAGAGAACGGTAATTAAGTCCGAGCCATTTGTGACAAATCTTCCATTCTCGTTTATGACAAGTAACAGGATTTTGTCAGTATTTTGGTTGGTGAAATATTGCTCAGTTGCGGAACAAATGAATAATGATGATGATATATTTGCATAATTGAATGAGGTACTGTTGTTTTGCAGCCTTTAGCTAAGATGTGAAATGTGATGACAACTGATTTGGTTGGTTTCGATTCGGATTGATTACTGCTAGCCTACTGCTATGGAGGCTTTGTTACTGATGTTTTCCGATCCGCCGATCATGATTGTAAGGTAGAGGGAATAAATAGACAGTCGTCAACCTTTCGCTATTGCATATCATATTTAGATGCCTAGTGATAGTAATACATCTTTTAATTGTTCTTTGTTAAATAAAGTTGACACTAGTGACATGCTTTTGTTCAGTAGTGATGTCTAACCTTACACTAAGATGAATAACCGTATCTCGTGCAATTTTCTGTAGCTCTTTTCGTCGGCATGTTTCTAAAATGGTTCGTTGCTTATTTCGGAAGTGCTACAGTTAGCTGTTGTTCCTGGTTGTCTACATTAGCATGAAGCAGTTCCTTCATGATTATTCAACTGCAGCACGACCACACTGAATGCTGAATGCATTTGCCGAAGGATATTTTACATGTGCCTCTGATTTTACTCTCATTATTATCGTTAAACTGCTTTGCTTGTATTCTTTGCATTAATTAGTTTCATTTTAGGCATCCGTCATTATTCATCCCACAGATGAATGGATTTATGTACGTAATTGTAATGATTTTAATGAACTGTTTCATCTACAGTCTATTGTTAATTTAACAAATAATTGGAAGGAATGAAGTAAGAACCAAACGTGGAGCACAATCAGATCGGAAAGGCGGAGTTGACGAACTGACCGAACAACATCGAAGGAAGAAGAAGGAAGAAGGAAGAAGGAAGGAAGGAAGGAGGCAGAGGAAGCACAGCAACACCCTCCGAGCCACGCCACCATCATCACCACTATCACCATCACTACCAGTAGCACTATCACCACCACTATCATCACCATCACTACCATTATCATCACCACCACCAGCAGTACTACCGCAGCAGCAGCAGTATCAGTATCGTCACCATCGGCACTATCATTATCTGCAACAAGTCATTCACACATATAGTAGGCAGGCAAGCAATCCGTTGGTGGGTTTGGTGCTGGTGGTTCGGCCGAATACCTGATAACACATACTGTCAGCAGTTGCGGGCTGTGGAGCGTCCAGGTATTCTAGCAGCAGCAGCAGGTACGGGAGGGCGATTCAGAAATGACGTTCATTGCGGTGTCGATACACTCCATATTCCTAGCATTGAGCTTATCCTGCAGTCCATCGACACACGGAACCACCGCTTGGCACCATCACAGCAATCACAGTTGTCATGGTTGTGCAGAAGCGCGGGATGAGTTGGCCAAGATACGGCTGGAACTGATTAAACGTGAAATTCTGGAGAAGCTTGGTTTGGACGCACCACCACAAGTGCGACCACAAGATGGTTTCCCAGCAATTCCACAAGTTGCCAAGTATTTGAAGTATCAGTTACGACATGATTCAGTAACAACTTCTGTGCATACATCATTTCTGGCTGATGAACTGATGTTGCCTGAACGTAAAGCAGAGCGAACGATCGTATTAGCCGAAAGGACGTCAACTCGCTTCAACCTGAACCCGAACCAAGTTCTTGCACATTTCAAGTTCTCCGATGAGCTGATGTCGAAACTGCTACTATCCGCTGTACTTAACATATATCTACGGAAGCCAACCAAGCTTCATCCTGATTCACGCATTGCGACAGTCCAAGTACTGGTCAAGGAGGTCGTCAAGAATGGCTCGGTCGGTATTACACTTTTTATCTTTCTCTTGCTCTTTCTTCCCTCTTCTCATCCCTTTATCTTCTCTCGGAAAAGTGAACAACACTTCCCCTTTACTTCCTTCCTTTGATAATCTCTCTTCCGCTCATGGCACCTTTAATTTATACTATTTATTCATTACTTACACATATCAACAAATCAGGAATTGTCAGTGAAGTTTCCTGATATTGGAGCACCTTTATGCATCTTGAACGCTTATTTTGCGTAACCCATTTTATTTCCCAGTTTTTGGTAGGCCTTTCTTTATTCATTATTTCACATGCTTATCTTCTATTACGTGTCATCTCATTTTTTGTGTTTTGTGCTAACGTTAGCGATTTTGCTTCACTTAACACGGACGGCTAATTCTCATTGCAACTTATGCGATACGTCATGCAGAACCTCGTGAATGATGAAAAATCCTAATTCTTTCTGTCTGAAGTTGACACTCACAACTCAGTTCTCTTTTCTGAAGACAGAAATATTGCAAGCATTTCTGTTTCTGTAAAAGTGTAAACAAATTACGGAATTAATGTATCCGAACAGATTTATTCTTCCTAAAAAAAGGATGGCTTATTTTTGTTAATGAGAATTCCAAGTTTTTTTCTGTAGCATCTCAGCTTATCTCTTTGATATTTTCACTTCCTAAAAATAGGAGTATGTTGCGTACGTCGCATCGTTCTGAAATAAAAAACTTTCGATTTGCAAATACCAACTTCAAAAGAACGTCAAATGTGCTATTTCTCGAGAAATTAAAATTTGTTGTGTAATAATGAAATACCGTATCTTGTTGTTGTTTATTCACATTTTGAGGGCTCCGAAATAGTTTTCCGGTAGAACAAGTAATAATAATTTGGGTCCTGACGTGCATTTGCTTCCAAGAAACATTTCTGATTTCGGAGCAGCAAGTTTGCAAAACGGGTTTTGTTCATCATGGCCGCAGCAACGTCATCGTTGTCATCGTTATCATCTAGTTATATATTGATATGATATATATTCATGCAGAGAAGGGAAAGGGTATGATGATAAGCGCGATATCTGTTAGATATGGATCAAGGCCAAGAGCCGAGAAACCTCCTTAGTGACTATCGAGGTCACGTGGGTGTTGTGTAGATTGAGGCGCAAGTGAAGGTTTGTCAACCTCAAGGTTATTCTTCTTTCCGTCCTTTTTTAAGAGTGGAGAAAGAGCAGTAGTCTTCATTGGAGCAGGATAACTTGTCCTTTACTGTAAACATTCCTTTCATTGGACATGCAATCAAAGTAATCTCTCTGTCAAGAGAGAGAGAGAGAGAGAAAGATAATTGACGTATTGGTTTCCCAATTTAGAATCTCTTTGGTAATCATTGACGAACTGCGTAGCATCTTACCGGTTCTCTGTACATTTGTGCAGAAAAGTGAACAGATGTGAACTTGTAGATAAAACCTATGCGACAAATTTTATCACTTTACTTTCAGGAAATAATTTTAGTAGATAGAGGAATGGAGAATGTGAGAAATGATAAGTGAAAACTATAAGAAAGTGAGAAAAGTAAAAGAAAAAAATTGAAAAGATTGCTTGGCGAGTGAATTTTATGCTGTGACAATCTCTCATCCGATTTTCATTCTGATCAATGCAAATTAAACATCAAGCAATTCAAAGATGTACTTATTAGCAGTTCATCTCTTCCGAATAATTTTTTTTTTTTTTTGGCGACACGACCTACTAATAATGACTTCCAAGGTATATTGTCCTGTTCAGATCTGTTATTAGCTAATTCTCTCTGATCAGTGATATCCAGTGATCAAGTAATACAGGCATGGGACTACTGCAATAAGTACGTATAACCACTCTGAACTTTTCATCTAACTTTCCTGTTTTTTACACAATTTCAAAACTGATTACAAAACGCATAAAAGGCGGTTTCGGTTTCACTGTACCTAACAACATTATTCCTTATCGATGTTACACTGCACTTTGTCACAATGTCATGGAAAGGACAGCTGTAATTGGCGTTAATTTGCAATTGCGCTTGTTTCCCTCATTTACTTCCTTCTTCAGGTCAACTTCTTCAGCACTTAGATCAATGGTGCTGTTGCAGTGCTTTTTTTTTTATTTTTTTCTTATCAGCAACAAATTTTAGCTCGTTTGGAAATCATTGAAAGAGTAATATTGATGTAATGTGCAGTTTAGAAGATTGAGTAACTTTTGTGTTCAGGAAGAGTTCAAGTGATCTATCTGCATCTGAACAAAATGTCATAGTGATAAATGAAATTATTGTCAATTGCGAGAATATCATGTAAAGCATTATCATCAAGTATTTGCCTTCCTTAAAATGCTGCACAATCTTTTATCTTCGTTTTGAATTCTTTCTTCTCTTAGTGTCCTTTTCATGTTTTCAACTGATTCATTTTAATTCAGTGAATAGATTTGTGGAGTAGCATAAAATTAAAAAGATGGAAAAATGCTGAAGTGAATCCAAGTGTTTCGTTGCATAAATATGACAAATGTCATCGTTGCTTTCCAGTTTTTTTGTTGAGGAATAAAATAGCGCGACAGGTGGGTTTGCGGAGGGTATGTTAAAATGCGCCAGCACTCTTTTCTTATCATCTTTCTTATTTTGTCAAATTTTACTTTACTGGTGTGCAGTCTTTTTATTCAACAATTTCCTTACTCTTTATCAGCTGCTCTTTTTTAAAAATCAAACAATTTTCCAACAGCAATGCTTATCAGATCATTTTTTTAATTTTGTAATTTACTTAGATTCATCTCATGACAATATGTAATTTCTCTAGTTATTTTCAAAAATGCCATTAGGTTGAAAGAATTCATCAAAAAAAGAACTGATCAATCTCAACGATTTTAGATTGCATTTCCTGATCTCTAGGTGATAGATCCTCTTTGTAATTATTAACATTGCTGTAAGATGTTGCAAACATCACTCTCATCCTTCAAGCTTTTCACATTCTGAAGATCAGTTGAGTTTGTGTGAGATTTGCAATTGCTAAAGTTATTACAAGTATTACCATACTACCTGTCACCTTTTTAAAACCCATCATTAGCACTGTTGATGGATTTCTCGAGATTAGTAGAAATAGAAAATGTCGCATTTCGTTACATTTCATCAGTGCACTTCAAGTTAATGTTCAAAGTGATGCTGAATACTTGCTTGACACCTTGCATCAATTTCGCTTACTTTGTCGCATTAACTAATTCCATTTAATTTCCAAGGCATATATCGAGACGACCGTTCTCCATCTCATTCGCTGCCACTCTCCATCATCAACTTCTTTTAAACTTGTGTCTCACTTCACTCGTGACCTAGGTGTCTCATCGAGATTTTATTAAGCTGATTGCTCTGTTCATTTGATGTAAGTTAATAAACTGATAAACTAATACCATGCTACACAACACTTTTCCTGCATCACATGTAAGAGTAAGGACTAAAGACCAATTTCTTGTCTTCCTGTGATTTTTGGAACTGACTGATTTTCACTAGAATGACAAATAAATTGGACGGGAGTCAAAATCAACAGATCCCTATCCATGTCTGTAGTGAACAAATCTATATTCAACCTCCAAATCCTAAGACTCATCATCATCTGTGCAGTTTTGCATGTGACATTCACTGAAGATATATGTCAGACTGGTAATCCTAGTGCTTGCTAAACGTGCAATATTTCATTGAATAATTGCATAAAGTTCAGATTGGCGCAGCTCTGGCAGAGCGCAAACGTCACGTTGATCTTAGCAAGGATGGTTACATACAAATCCCAATACGTGTTGACGACGTACAGCGGTGGTGGAGTGGTAATGATTTCATGGGTTTATACGTGGAAGCATTTTACAAAGGCGAGAATTTGGCTATTCATCCACAACAGGATTCCAAAAATGTTCGTCTTTCTTATCGAAATTAGAAATGGATATTAGCAGGGGAATTACTGTTTGATGTGTATGTGTCATGTCATGTCATGTCTTGTTACAGATGATGTATCTCGAGTTGACAACTGTAGAGGAGTGGGGTCGCCGCAAACGTAGCTATCAGGAAGTGTGTACGAAAGAGATGAACGAACCGTCCTGTTGCCTGTACAGTTTAGTTGTGGATTTCGAAGCTGCCGGCTGGGACTTTGTTATTGCTCCCAAACTGTACGATGCGCACATGTGCAGCGGGGAATGTCGTCTTCACCATGTTGGTTGTCTCATTTTGCTACTAGTTAAATCATTCCGCGCTGCGCGCTATACATACTCTTATAATTCCAATCTTTTGCTGGTCTGTTTCACATTTCCGAAGTGTGGAATCCTCATAAAACTGTTCATTTAGTATCTTTTCAGGCTGGCCGTTCCGCCCACAGCAAAATCACTTCATCGACAAAAAAAAACGCTGTGAGTGGCTGTTGTCATCCGACAGAGTACGACCCGATAACGTTGGTCTACATGACGCAAGAGAAGGAGCTGAAGATCCGCGAAGTGCCAGGCATGATTGCCCGGCGGTGTGCCTGTGCTTGACTTCAAGCGGCCACGAGACTGAGCGAATCCGGGTGTCGCGAGCCACGTACCTGAACGTGAAGGGACTACCATGGAACGTGGTTAACAAGCTCCATCTGCAACACCGAAACATCATTACTGTAACTGCTCAAGATATGCAACTGCAACTGCTGCTGCTGCACATGCAGAATCCCACGATCACCAAGCTCCTCCACTTGTGTTTGCGCAAGACAGCAAAGTAGGATAAGGAAGGGGGCATGAAGGATGACCAAATTGGGGAATATTTGGCTGACATCTTGAACGCTCATTTTGAATTTCCTTGTTATTGTTAGGTATTTAATTGTCAACCATCACACCAACACCACCACCACCACCAGAACACTGCCATTACCATAAATACCAACCAACGATATTGCTGCATGAATATGTTGGTCGTTCAATAAAAATGAGTGCGAATTAGCCTTTTGCATCACAGAACTACATACATATACGGTATATTTGTCACAGACATACCATAGTGCAGCATAGTTTTGAATTTTAGAAATGAAGCTAAAAGTGCTGAGAAGTATTCATATATGCATCCATTCCTCTGTATATCGGCTGAATAATCCAGCATCTAACCAACTTCATACACATGCAAACATCATTCTTCTTTCATATATATATTTTTGATATACATAAGATGCATTACTATGTAATCCAGTCACATGTACATTCATATAAGCATATCGGTATATTTTTACCAAACTGCATTCAAAAATATTATCGAAAAGTACTTGTTTACCAGGGTTCAGCATGATGGCACTCATCTTTTCAGTCACTTCAATATACTATTCATTCCAGTGACCGCAACCAATAAATAGGTAACATATTCAGGTCAAGCAACAAATGCGACAAATGAAAACAATGAGTATATATATGAGTCAAAAAAAAAAAAAAAAAAGCAGCGAGGAGAGAACAGGACGACAAACAAAAGCAGGAAAAATATAGATAAAACAAAGCTGATAAAATAGACACAATCAGCTTATGGAATGAATAAGGCGATAAGGCTCTCTGTCTAGAATGCGATGCTGACCAATCGATGCAAAAATCCAATCCGCTTTTAACACTTCCTTTTTCATATCCAATTCAAATCTGCAGAAAATACTGTACAGAACAGAACGAAATGACAGGATGGTCTTTTCGAACTTTTTTTTTTTCAATTATCTGGTGAGAATCATTTGCGCATTGAACATACGGAGAGACAGAGGTATATTTATCGAGCACAATTTCTAATTAGTTCATTTCATAGTTTACTCTGTTATTAGTTTATTGATAAGCCTTGAGCTGTAATCATATGTCAAAACCTCAATAATTATAGCACACCTTGATGCAAAACAAAACCGGTCCATGTTTCTCTCTACTGGTGGTATTGCAGTGAGCAGCAAATTACTACTTGATTTTTCACTGATCGCTTTGAAACTATTTTTCTAAAACGATCAACAACAAACCTTCGAGCAGCATCTTGATTAAAGCAATCTGGTGCAAATATGATGTAACTGCGTTCAGAGGGGAGCTCCCAAACATGTGACACAATTTCCCCACCGCTCAATTCGACAATTTCCAAAAAAACATCTGAAAATAAAAATTTAGAGGTTACTGAAAATAAAATTTCAGTAAAGTTTGGAAAGAATTTATCTTCTTTATTGCAAAAGAGAACTATGATCCATTTGATTATACCATTAAATCTCTCTAACCATTTTAAGCAAATTGAAAACCAGTGCTAAGAGTAAATATCATGAGTTCATTACCACAAATTTGTTTCAATTTTGCAGCATAAATAATCAAAATTGTTCAAAGAAAAAATGGTGATGGATCACACACATTAATAATCATCAGAGAGTTTATTTTAAAAATCATTCAAATGCATACCTCTTGCTATCAGTTGCGTATTAAAGAAAGTTTGAGGGACATAAAATTTATATCCATCGAATAAAGTACTGGGATCAGTAAGGGCACGTTGAGCAGTTATGCTTATCAGAGTTTCATCTATTTTCAGCAAAATTTCAAAATCATGCTGAAAATAACAATTTGAATCATGACTTCTTCCCATATTATGCAAATCCTAGACTTAGAATAATTTATCCATGTATAAAAAAAAGAAAATTCTACTCACCGTAGGCAGAATAGTTTTTTGATTGAGGCAGTTCTCTAACCACGAATATGATACAATCGTACAGTGATTAACCAATGCGTAAATTAATTTCACTGTCCAAAATTCACAAACTAAACCATCTGTAAAAATCTACGCTCACTAATTAAAAAGTCACTACTTCTTGCTATAAGCAAAATAAACAGTGTAAACAAAATGTATTATATGAAAAATGGTTTGAATTTCAATTGTTTTAATCTCTAAGGATCTTAAATTCTTATCTACTTGTAAGATGTAAGCTTACCGGCATTGAAAATAACCAGGTGTGTACACGTTCGATCCATCGATGTGGAAAGTTTGAAAGAAGAAAAATTATCCAGGAATTCACGTAGTAAAGACTAAAAAAGTAAATATTTGAATGGCATGCTAGTAATATATTGATGAACAACAACAATGTCTCTTCTTACCTGATCACTAAGTTTCGATGCTCCAGACACCATCATTGAATGACACACTTCATTATATTCTTTATAACATTGTTTATCCTTTAGAAGTGAGACAGTGTTTTGTTCATTATTACGATTTTTATTTTCTTGTGCATCGCTATGACAGCAATCAATTGTATAGGAAGTATTTATTGGAACTGCTACTTCCCTTTCTTCGTCGCTCTCGAGGACCAAATCACTACCATTTTTCGAATGATCTTTAAGTGGAAAAAATTATGAAGTGCCTACTTCCTTAAATTATGGTGGAATTCATTAAATGATAAAGGACTTACTGTTCTCATTACAAAGTTCTTCATTATAATGACATACTGCATTGATCAGTTCTTCTCGGTCCTGCAACTAAGTGAACTAATTTAGGATTAAAGCAACAATAATTTTGGTGACATAGACATATTTCAAATCACTAACTAGATGTAGAAAATTAGGTATCCATGGCATACATTTGATAAGAACTTCAATCCGTGACTGACTTTCGCTTGCTTCTGGAAAAACGAGTTATTTGAAAAAAATTACGAATAATAATGAGAATGTTAACACAGTTTTGAATATCTCTGTAAATTAATTAAACCTGTTATAAAATATTGGACTGGAAAATTGTAAAATCCGAAATAATTTACCAAAGACAGAATTAACAATCATTTCCATTTGGACCGAAGCATCTGTCTTGTTTGCACTACTGTCCTCAATATTCTCATCATGTATTGCTGAAGCATTAAGGTCCAATTTTTCTACATACAGTGGCGAATATGTAGCATCCTCCATACTAATCAGTCGATTTCTGTGTTCTTTTCCATTGTTTCGAATTCTAACATTTTCACTTTCCTTTTGACCAATGTTGAATTCCTCAGAGTTCATCTGAAGCTGTCTGAATAACAACCTACTAGCATTGTAACCTATGATCGTACTTTCAGAGCTGCAAGAAGTGTGCTTAACTGTTGATGTTCCTGCACAGGTATTGGCGACAGTTTCTATTACCAAGTTGGGATAATGTATCTCATCATTCCGCTGCTTTTTTTCCGGTCTGTGTTTTGAATGGGCGATACGGCGCTTCGCACTTTTCGATTCCATTCTTAACAACTGTAGAATGGAGCAATTTCAAGTAAAAAATAAAGTAAACAGAAGTAATGCAAGATGACATATATATAATTAAATGTTGATGTTTGAAAATTTAAATTAACAATTTAGATATAAACAACCTTTCGTGATTGATTTTGGGAAATTTGTAACGGCGCTGACGCTAGTTGTGTCATTGGGACCTACAAATGGCATTTGAAAAAAACCTTGAGGAACTAACTTTTAAGCTGAAAACGTTTTCAATATTCTGAAACTCAATATGAAAATTTTATTATTACCATTTAATTTTTTTCTTTTTTCTCATAAATCTTCCACCTTTTTAACGAAGAAGCTAATTCCCTTCTAACTATAGGACGAAATAAAAAATTTAAAGTTCAATGATAAGCATATTTTTGAATTAACATGAACTAATGTTTTGAATCAACTACAAACAGTAAAATGAAGACTGCAAACCTGACTTTCCATGAAATCATCTTCTTTCGCAAAACCAGTAGTCATAATATCCTTTTTGAATGCTTTAGCTAGCGGCAAATACTTATCAAGTAAAGATGACAGCAATGGACAACTTGCGCAACTTCTCAAATTGCATTTTTTGAGAGATTCTTCATAGCAATATATCAGTCATAAGGTGCCAAAAATACTATGCACAAAGCAATCAGCCAAGGAAAGAGTGGAAGTTAAAAACAAAAAAAAGAAAAACCTTTTATTCAAAGTCATATTGCAGATAGGACATCGCATCCGTGAAAGCCTTTTGAAGCACTCAAAGAGACAAACCCTACAAAAGGATAAATTTTTACTCCTATTAAAATGAAATATAACGTAAAACTAAAACGTAGAACTGCTCTAATAATTTGTTTGTCACTTGTTCTACTTCCTGTACAGGTGATTCAGCAATACCTATATTTCTAGAAAGATGACAGACACTGATCTATGTTTGAGCTGTATTATCACTTGAACTAAGAGGAATAATAATAAGTGGAACAGCAGGGTATGAAAAGTACAAAAACAATAACCTGCAGAAGGCATGATTGCAAGTGGTCATAATTGGATCACGCAAAGTTGAACAGCTGAAAGTAAAACGGATATGAACATTTTAGAGAAAGATCTGAGTCATAAGATGAAGAAATATTCTTTTAATATTTCAACACCATTTATAGAAAATAAAATAAATTAATTATTATCCAAGAAAGAAGTTAATGAAGTATGAAATAAAAGCTTTATCAAACACTAATTTGCGCGCTTTCTTTACTTTCTAGTTTCTAGACCTCTAGCTATTGCTAAATCTTAAATAGCCATTATCATAATCATCAAATTATAATCACTGACATCTTTTCAAAGCAACGAAATCATGAACCATATTGTTAACGCATATTTCGCAAATTAAAGCAGTTACAAATCACAAATTATTTCAATTAAATTAATCTGATTAATAGATCCAATTCATGTATGCTTTCATTATTTGAGTTGAACTTCTTTGTAAGACAGACTTTATAACTGTAAAAAAGTAACCATATGCCACATCGTAGAATCATTTTGATACTTTCCACTTGCTCCTTAATTTTTTGAAAGCCATTTTTGCACTTGGTTTGACTCCCTGATAAAGCAAGCATTTTCTAAATCCTGTAATAACTTTATTTTTTTTCTTAACTCTTTCAGTGTACACATCATTGAAAGAGTTAAGAAAATATTTGCGATTCGTACACAATACATGACATTTGCTACTTGTAACTCATTAAGAATTTTTTTTTAGAAATTTACATTTTCTCTAAAAAATATAAAAAAATTAAAGAAAAAATTAAAAAATTAGAAAAGATTTTTCTTAAAAAAAAAAAAAAACTTTTGAAAGATTTGCATTTTTCATATCGACTGCCACCCTTTCTCCTACTTTAATCAAATAGCTATGAATCACAGACCTTTGATAAAATCAACCTCCTTTAATCAATCCGTTACTAATGCGTAACGCAATCCTCAAACCTCATCCTCATTTCAATATCACGTGGGACTTACTATCAGCCACACGACTCCACGACACGTCACCTCACGTGATCTTCCTGTACACACGATCCATGCTACGAACGAACGTCACTGCATTTACAGTAAAGTAAACTGAACTGTCCAAATGCCCACCATAGATCCATGCCGCCTTTTACCAAATTCAAATTCAAATTCAAAAATGCAGGTCTGTCCTAAATCTATTGCTGAGTGTCGTGTATGTGTATGTATGTGTACTGCCAGAAGGAACACTGACAGCAGAGTGGTCACTGCAGTCACTAATGGCACTGCATTGCATGCATCATGCAAACCTGTCACTACATTTCATCTTTATCTCTGTAATCTGATACAGAAGGTGAATAAGAGTGAGACCAGCTGTCATTTTCATTTTATTGTCGTTTACTTTTTATTAAACAATCATTTCGATCATTTTCCCTTCTCTTCTCTCTTTCATTGGTCAACAAAGATTGTATCGTTAATACCTACCATAGGGATAATACTGCATCAACATATCATTGAAGTCGAGTGAGTCATTCTTTCTTAGTTAAAATTACCTTTACAAATCAGAATGAATCACCAAATCTTTTAATATGCCTCAATTTCACAAGTCATTTTTACATACATTCTCCTAAGCATACTGAAATACTCATTCACATGATTTTCTCTGCAAAAACTTTTTGTATGCTTTTATTGTACTCGCGACCTTACCTTCAGTACCGAAGAGACTTTGAACCTTGAACCTAACCAAAATTTTAAACTCTGCTACATATGGGAAAAAAAGACATCAAATATCGTCAGTTGACATGTCTGCTGTCATCATCCTTCTACGATCAGTACATCTGCTCTGCCAGTATTTTCTGTATCATTCAGCTCTTTCTCTCAGTTTGATTCACCATTAAGTTCATCCAAAAGTAATTGTTTTCAGGCCATTGATTTAAGATCATTGCAATTAAACACTTTTCCGACATATCAAACTTTTGCTTAAATTTTGTGAAATTATTATTACTAGATGAATGAGGATGTCATGAGCCAAAATTTCCAAACTCAGTAATTTAACTTCAGCCCTTGCTTCTGTAACATGTAATCGAATAATCCTGTGGAGGAAAATTGAATCTTGTAGCTAGCATTGATTGAAGACATTGCAGTTTCTATGTCTGATGAAGTTGTTCAAGAAGTTTTAATAGCAGCGAATCACTAAACAATGATTATAACTTTGCTTTGGTGACTTCTTTGGAACTTATTCTTCTTCCAACTAATGGAATGCCTATTAGTTCTTTTTCTCACAGCAAAAACTGATCAAGAGAAAGCCAAAACTTCAAACAAATTTCTTCAATTATTAACTTCTCATTAGCCACTTTTTCCTCTTACTAAAATGCTGAACGGTTGGATAATAGCTAGCGTTGATTGTTATAATACGGCAGAGAATTTAATAGTAAATACTAAAATCGAGAGGCTATAGTTGAAAGATAAGTGTTGGACAAATGATTTCTTTCTTACTAAAATGATGTATAAAATTTGAGCAATGTGTAAAATTAAAACAGTTTTATGCTTAAAGGGAATCAGCCATAAACAATCATTTCGAACAGAAACATCTTTCGATCGATTGACTGTTACACTGTCCCCACTGTATCATATATAATTTGTAATAATTTCATTCTTGTCACATACATTTTATATTTCTTAGCACACACTAAATCTGCCCACTATATCCGAATTCTCGAGCTCTTCCTTTCACCATTTCTGATAAAGATTGGCTCGTTCATCTGCATGACATTTTTTTATCTGATTTCAAGAACCGATCTCGCATCCCTGCAACAAATTAAGGACGGTTATAAGTGAAAGATTAATGCAAAGCATAAAGAATACCCCGTGAAAATTAAATTTGGAAACGATTGTGCATGTACAATTCCTTGTCAAATTTACTTTTCTTAGCATTCTTTCATTTCTAAATCAGATCACTAAGCAGTACCTTTATATCAAATTCTAAGATTCGTAGCACCAAGTTTTTGAGAAATTAAACAGTGCTTAAAATCTATGCAAGAGAATAATTTCATAGTGATTAATGGAAAATTTTACAGAACTCAATCTCAATCAACAATTTTTCGTTAACATTAACATTTCATATGATACTGGTAGAGAAGATTGAATCAACCTAATAGTTTATCATTTTCATTTTTAGTGATGAGTTGAACAAGGTGGAATTATAGCAAAAGATATTTCTACTAGCCATTTGTGTTTACCGAGATGATAAATTATTAATGTTATAGGTTACTGGAATCGTTGCAACACTTGGAAGCACAATTTCTAAGAAATTCGCATTGAAAGTTAAAGATGTTTTTATTGGAAAGGGTTATTGTTTAGGAGAGTCATGAATCTCTGTTACCATCCAACTGATTGAGCTTGCGCTGATAAGCTGATTAGCCTTCAGTCCTTATCAACGAGCACAAACAAACGACGAAATCCCTTCAATCTTTATCATCTGGGATGTATTTCACTACTGCTATCATCATTGTCCTTTATAGCACAACACTTACTTCCTTACCACGTCATCCGTGATTGATCGCTTTCATGTTGACATTCCGCTTTATTGTGTCATTGGTCTTATTTATTTTGATGGCATTCAAAAAAGTGCTTTTCTTCAATTCTTCTCTCTCTCTCTTTCAGCGAGAAAAAGAAAGTCAAGGTCTTCCGGGTAGAAACAAGCAAAGGACAACTTCAACAGTGCATAGATTACCATTTATATATAGTGTATCAGGCTTATTCTATAGCCAAGAAGCCAAATTTGATAGAGAGTTAGCTTTGGCTTTTTTACTGCATGTGTGGCCATATTTCACTTCCGGCATTTCTTCCATATTTTATCTTTTAAATTATCCCAGCTTACGAAGGTATTGCAATGCAGTTGTCACCATTATCCGGTTCACTGAATTGAATGGGTGTCTATCAATTGTTTAACTGAGAAATTCTCGACAATTATCATTTCCTTTTCAGTGAGACATGAACATTTGCGCCACTATTCATTTTTTATGATTCAGTTTGTTAGTTGAGAGAATAAATTGCTAGCTAGAGAAAGTTAGATCTAATTTCTCCCTTTCTTTTCCTCTTCTGTCTCCTATGCTTCTTTCTCTTGTCAACTCAGTCTATGTCCGTCTACTGAGAACTTCGGAAAACTGATACATGCCAGTTTGAACTGAAATTAGCGAAGCGCAAAAAGATAAAGAAAGGCTTATAAATGTCTTCTCTCAAGAGACATCCTTTTCTTTCTTATTTAACTTTCCCTTTTTTGAAGGGAGAATTTTGAATGTAAATAATATGAAGTTGTAGCTATAGCAGTCAGTGGTCATCCGATTTGCACACATTAGCAGAAAACATATATTATCGATGATCACTTCAAAAAAATTTGGGAATAGAAAGTTGCAGCAATTTTCGTTTTCTTTGATAATATCGATTAGCATGCTCATCATTAGATCAATTTCAGTAAATATTGGTTCGACATTTTAATCGTCAAGTTTGCTAAGGAATTATTTCTCATGTCGAGAAATTAACGAAAATGCAATGAAGCGTTAGTGAAACTTGTTATCAGTTACATCCTGCAGCGATAATTTGTCAGTGTCGACTTCAGTGATTTTTGCTCTTATCAGAGAGAGCTTTCACTGTTAATTGTATGTGGAAATAATGTGATATGAAAACTGCCCGCCCAAAAGCTTATCAACAATCAAAAACCAACTAGTTAGTAGTACAAATACCGGTACCTTTGCGATTGCACACATTCCCTTCCTTCCTTCCTTTAAGTACTAAATGTTTCATCGGACTCAATTGAAATTTCCAACAAAATGTTATTGTCAATCTAACAGAATCATTTCTGTGCTATTTCGAAATGTCCGGTTGACCGGAATGGTGCTGAGAAGCCAGCCATTTAATGAAGAGACCTTTCTGCAAAGCTCTGTCAGCACACTTCCTTATGCTTCCTTCCCTCACTCAAAATGCCAATCCGAAGAGAACCTCACTCGTCGAATTTTTTCGCTCTTCATTAGCTTTACACTTTAAATGGTAGCCTCGCTTCTTCTGATATAATAATTCTCACAGGAGACACAGGGAGAGAGAGAAAGGGAGAGAGAGAGAGAGAGAGAGATTTGAAACTTCATGAATGAAGTAAACAAAGAATATAGTTGAAGGAAACATCATTCACATCATCGATTCGTTACTGGTGAGAGAATGTTGCTTGTAATATGTTGATCGTGCTTGTGATACGTTCATGATGCTGGAGCTTGACCTCGATTTGACCTCTGCTTCCTGCTTAGTTCAGTTCGATCATACATCACACATCGTGCTTCTATGCTGTTGGATGAGGAAAGGAAGAAAGCAATAGTAAGCATACTACTACGGGAGAGGGAAAAGGAGAGAAAGAAAGAAATCCGGGATAACGGGGAGATGGAGGGAGGAGGAGTAGGATTAACCGGGACGGTACCGGAAGATGAGAGATAAACTCGATTATTGTTTATATCACCTTGCAGGTTAAATGATGGTTTGGTATCACATGTGACAAATTTGATGACAAATTTTGTTAAACTGATGGTTGTTATTGTGATTCGATAATTTTGGTAAAATTGATAACTGGTTTTTTTAATTCGATAATAGAATTGTTTGTAGATACTGTACTTACTCGTCTGATTCACTTCTCCAAATTTGATAGCAACAATGTCGGATGCTCGGATCAAATTTGAGTTTCCTCAAATGTCTGCTGTAAAAGAGGACGAGGAATGGTTTGTCCCTCCGGCACCTATCCTTAGTGGTACGATTCATACTTTCTACATCTCTCACTATTATTGTTAATTCTTAATCGAACTGTCAGCGAAATAATGAATTCTATCTATTACGACAAAACATTTAAACAGTTGGGTCGGCTTTCATTTTTTTCAAACTCATAAAAATGTGTTTTATTGGAAAAATGGATCATTTCTTAAAGACTTATCATTTCCCGGGAACTCAGCACTGCTAATAGCCACACCATAATTATCATTTTTCTCTTTTTATTGATATTTGAGATAATCTTTAAATGGAGTACAGGTAGTAGTAATACTGGAAACAGTAAAGAAAAGGGAGAGTTTGAGAATATATGTTATGCAAAAGCAAGTGAAGATTCTCATTCTCTTTCATACCTTCTAGGTCACTCTATTTCGATGACAGAGAATGTGTTTCTCACTAATCGCTTCTGAAGTTATTTCTTGAAGCGTTTTAGATGATCGCTGTAAATGTGTGATCACAAATCTGATGTGATCTAATCTAAATTTTTTTTCGTTGTTATACTCATAAGGTACTTTTTGGAAACATTAAATTCCAAAGTAATTTAATCTTTACATATTACTTTCTACCACTTATACATGTGAGTCTTTTAGGTGCTCATGTCACAGGAATTGATTCTTACCGGGAAATGTATAACAACTCCATCAATAATGCCGATGAATTTTGGAGAACAGTAGCTAAAGAGCTTTACTTCGAAGAGACGTCCAAGAAGGTCGGTCATTTGCTCTTTTTCTCTCCGAGTGCATCTCTTTGAATAACTTAAAAAATATGAAATGGAGCGAGGAATAATTATTGTTTGGTTTTTTTGTAAGCGGTGAAAAATCATTGTTTGTTTATTTTCCTTGTTCATTTTTTCTGTGTATTTCGTTCTTTTTTTTTTTTTTGGTAAAGAGGATAAAAAACCTGACTTTGTAAGCACAAACTTTAATCTTTTCGATATTGAGAAGAAGTCTGTTGTATCTTCTGAGAGGTCGGAATTCAGTAATTAACGTTTCAAGATTTTAGTGTGCCATTGAAAATTTCACTCTAAACGATTATTTAGGGGCTGGAATGGAATTTCGATTGTCGTAAGGGGGATATTTATGTGCGCTTTATGGAAGGTGCAAGGACGAACATTGCATATAATTGCTTGGAACAAAACATTAAGAAAGGTAAGTACATAGTAAAACTGGAAATTAAGAAGTACTTAAATTTGATGCACGGATCATTTATTTGCAAAATATGAATATTTTATTCGTAAAATGATTTCATATAGATGAATTGAAAAATTGATAAAGATATCCTTAAAGTTTCTTATTCAAATCAAGATTTAAGGATATGGCTCTCGCACGGCGTTGTTGTGGGAAGGTAATGAGCCTGGTGATTGTTGTTCTATTACATTTCAAGATCTGTTTGACAAAGTCGTCGTTTTTTCTGCTATCCTGCGATCTCATGGAGTTAAGAAGGTCTACTACATAATTTCTATCTCTTGAGATTTGTTAAATTTTAATTATGCAATGTGATGCAGTGTGATATGACTTTGCGTTTGAGACGGTGGCATTATCGTCATTCAGGAATGCACTGAAGATAGCTACCGATATTGTTACTGGCCTTTAATTTTATTGTTGTTAATTCAGGGCGATGTTGTGGTGATTTATTTACCGATGATACTTGAATTACCGATAGCAATGTTATCATGTGCTAGAATCGGTGCTGTTCACGCGGTAGTGTTTGCTGGATTTAGTGCTGATGCTTTGGCAGCTCGAATACGTCAAACAGAATCCCGTATTCTGATCACTGCAGATGGATATTATCGAGGCAAGAAGCTTGTAACACTAAAAATGATAGCTGACGATGCTCTTGCTGAATGCAATGTGTCGGTAAGTATATTTTAATGGCTCGTTTAACATACGACGCATTTAAAATGCAATTGGACTCATTAGCTGAACTGTGATAAATTCTAAATCCCAAACAGCTGATAAGTAATGTGCTAATCCTTCCTCAGTGCATTATATAATTGCTTGAATTGCTTGAGTAGGAAATCTGCAGACTGTTATTGTTGATTATTTGATGTTGAAATTTATAATGTTAATATTTTAGGGTAGACCGGTGGAAAAAGTCATTGTTGTGCAACATTTAAAACGTGTTCGGAAACCGGACAGTACTGCTTCCATCGACGTAAGTTTGATTCTTTTGTTGTGTTTCCTTAAATATTGCATTTTGGTTATGAGAAGGAAACTGTTGCAAAGTGAATGAGTAGTTCAAGAATATGGAAACTGAGATTTACACTTCTTGATATCTGAAAGTATATTTCTATGTGTGTTTTTCGTAAGGCAAAATCGGATTTGTTTATATTAAAATCTCAGTTTTGGCACTTGTTCATTCCTTTTTATTTCCTTAAAATAAGTTTTATTTTTAAGGTTTCCTTACGAATCACTAACTAAAATACTTCTAAGCAAAGTTATGAACTTGTAACCTTATTGTTATAATATGTTGCTATATTTTTCATTATCAGGTCAAATTAGATCCAAAACGGGATGTTATATGGGATAAAGAAATGGAACGGTGCAAAGGAATGAATTCTGAGATAGAATGGAACGATGCAGAAGATCCTCTCTTTATTCTTTACACTTCTGGTTCAACGGGTCGACCAAAAGGAATCGTGCATACTACTGCTGGTTACATGACGTATACCTATGCTACTGTCAAATTTGTTTTTGATGCTGATCCAGAAAGGGATATATATTGGTGAGTCCTAAATTGGATATTTTCAGTATAGATTAAGTTGAAATGAAAGAATAGTTACTACATAATATTTGATGATTTACTGTCTGAAATGTTTCAGTAGTCTTGAAATTGTGAAAAAAGTAAAAAAAAAGAAAAAAAAAAAGAAATTTATTAACTGTTCTTGTCCGTACTACTATTTATAATTAATTTTGATTTTTTTATCTAAGGACACATTAAGTAAAAGTGAAATAAGGAAGTCTCAAAACTTCGTATAGCAGCCTGAACTGTTTCAAATTGAAAAGGTAAGAAATCAAGAAAAAGTCACCAATATAAATCGAAATCAGGTAATCTTGCTTCCGATTTTCATTAAAATATATTTTTTTGATATATATTTTCAGGTGCACAGCTGATTGTGGCTGGATTACTGGACACTCGTATCTTGTGTATGGGCCACTTCTTAATGGTTTGACATGTGTTATATATGAGGGCGTACCGAGTTATCCAACACCATCACGGATGTGGCAGATTGTAGAGAAGTACAAAGTAAGTCATTAATTAGTGATCGATGCATTTACTGTTGTTCTAATGTTTATTGTAGTTTTATATCTCATTTATTCAGTACTCTGCAGTAGTTCAAAACCATTAATCAGTAGAACGGATAAAACAGGGTATAGTTCTTGTTCGATGTGACATTTTTTTGTTTTAGGTTACAACCTTATATACTGCACCAACAGCGGTGCGTGCTTTGATGGCTTTTGGCGATCAATATGTTACACCGTACAATCGTTCATCGCTACGTTTGCTGGGATCAGTTGGTGAACCAATTAATCCAGTAGCATGGAAGTGGCTGCATAAGGTACTTAAACCATCAGTTTTACTCACTTAAAATTTTGTGTCGTGGAGGACTTGATGAATGAGGTGCAAATTTCAGGTTGTTGGTGAAAGTCGCTGTGTTGTTCTTGATACTTACTGGCAGACAGAAACAGGAGGACATACGATTACGCCATTACCGGCAGCAATTCCCTGCAAACCTGGTAGTGCAACACTTCCCTTTTTTGGAGTAGAACCGGTTATTATTGATGAGGAAGGTCGAGAAATCGAAGGAGCTGGTAAAGGAACTTTGGTGACTGTTTCATTTCTGCATTAAATAACATGAGCCAATTTTACATGTCGCTATATCATTGATATTTTAATCCTTTTTCATTTCAGTGAAATGCATTTGGTAAGATACAACAACTGCTATCTGAATGTTTAGTTGTTATTGTTACAGTGTTTCAAGCGAGCTTGGCCCGGTATAAGTAGAAGCATTTTGGGTGATCATGACCGATTTATGAGCACATATTTTTCGCCGTACCCGGGCTACTTTTTTACTGGTGATGGAGCACGTCGAGATGCTGATGGTTACTACTGGATTACAGGTGTAACTTGGCAACTTGTTTTGGCATTGATGGGAATTTGAGATTGATTAAATAATTTGATTTAATAATCATTTTATGTTGCAGGGCGCATTGATGATCTTATGAATGTATCAGGTCATTTACTGTCTACTGCTGAAATTGAGTCTGCGCTAGTTTCGGATAACGATGTAGTGGAAGCAGCTGTAGTTGCGGCACCGCATGACATCAAAGGCAGCTTTCCATATGCATTCATCACATTACGATTGGTATTTTTTTTTTTTTTTTACAGCATATTCCGTCTTCAGCATCTATCATTGTTGAGAAAGTTGGAAAGGTTCGACTGTAATCCAAATGAAAGACTGAAAATGCTTTCTGCTTTCATCCTCTTTCCTCTAATGTATCAAGTAATTTTTTTAGGGCGTAAAACTTACAGAAAGAAAAATTGAGGATCTGAAACTTTTGGTTCGAAAAAAAATTGGTGCGATTGCTGTACCAGACGTTATACAAGTAGCTCCTGGACTACCTAAAACACGATCAGGTGAGTAACATCTGTATCTATGAAGAAGAGAAAGCTGTCGAATGAAGTAAGATAGCTTTGCTCTTGCTTTGCGATGAAATAGAATAAAAGTAAGAATTCTTTGCTCTTTTATCTGCTTAAATTGTCTTGGATTAGTTTATCAATTAAGCTTCTTAAATTTAATATTCCTATTTTAAGGAAAGGTAACACGTCGTATATTACGGAAAATCGCTGAAGGTGATAAGGCTGCAGATTTAGGCGACACTACTACACTTATTGATGAAACGGTTATTGCTCACTTGTGGAGTGGTCGATCAGAAACACGGACTGGTTGAGAAGGAATGCTAGCAATAATGGAATAATTTCGAAATTCTCTATATTGACTATTTTAAGATTATAAAAGTTTATGGTGTATCGCTATTATCTTTGTTGTATTAAATTTCCATTTAATTACTTGATTTAGTTTCATATTTTTCCTTCTTCCATCAATTATTTGAAATCTTTGTCCTTTTCTGTCCATTTTTGGCTTCTATTTACACCATAACAGTATATTGACAAATTGGAAATACATTTCATTCGAGTAATAGTTTTCATCCAAAATAGTAGTTTCCGTCGATGTTAAGCTATTTAGTTATTTGACATTTCTGTGTTTGTATTTTTGCATTCATAATCCATTCCAATAAAGAAGCATGCAGTTGATCGTGAAGAGTGTTCAATCGTTCATTGAAGCTTTTTGTGAGGAGGAAAACACAAAATGTCAATTGGAAATTGTCGCTGACTAAAATTCACTCACTGACTAGGAAAGAAATCGTTTTGGGAAAGAAAGGAATAACGAATTTGATCGTAGCCAATTATCATGTTTGCAGATCAAATAAGTGAAGTGGATAACAGGTAATCAATCATCAAATAGTGCTATGGAATCTTTTAATGAGCCCAATATATATTTCTAAATTCCTGCCAGATACTTTAAATTATGTTTTGCTTCCCTTTCTTTCCCGACTATATTTGTCGATGAATGAAATGTATTCATTTCTTATAGCCTCATCAAATATTTCTTATCTCTATAACAACTAAGTCGTCCTGATCACTTTATGTCTTTTTGTTTTTTGATTACAGACATGAAATGACCATTTGATACAACCGTATCTTTAGATTTGAATTCTTCAAGTGCATTTTTAAAGGCAAACCGCTAATCTTAATGGCTACTAAAAATTTGTCGTATGAATGCATCGATGCTTGGAAAAGCAAAATAGAGAAGGAAGCAACTCGAATTTACTGGTAAAATGAATTTATTTGTGGCAAGAGCCCTTCTAAGCAGAATCCTTTAATTACTTTTATGTAATATAAATAGATGAATGATATTCATAGTGTAATGATCTAAAGAAATAAATCAAAGCAAATTTCTGAATGTAAATGAGAGAGGAAAGAACAGTTCTAGCAGCTAATAAACAGATCATCCAACAAGCTTTGCATTTAGGATCGGTAATTACTATGACAGTGAAGTATACGACGATACAGAATTAAGTGCTGAGACGGTGGACATTTTGGTGAAGAAGTGTGCAGATGTGTTTGGAAGATTTCAGCTGAAAGATAAGCCAATAGTGCTGTACTTACCCAATGTTTTACAACTTCCCATTGCTGTACTGGCTGCGCTTCGAATAGGACTAACCGTTTTACCTATTGTAAGAATATTTGCACTAATTCATAATTGATGGTCAGTTACATGATCAGTGATTTGTGGTAAGTGATATGCTACAAAAAAAAAAAAGAGAAAAAAGCGAATGTACGTATCGATAACAAACTATAAGCAACCATTGTTGCAGACTGATGCCCAAATATATATTTTACTTTTTTAAAATATGTCTCCTGTTGAGGTTAGTAATTTGTGAAATGCTTCAATGAAATGATAGCACTTCACAGCCTAACTTTTAATCATGTCATTTTTACTAAGAATGCCACGAACGAAAATATCGAGTGTTTACGTGATATAGTGAAAAGTAGTGGTGCGGACACTGTGGTAACAATTGATGGTTTCTGGATGGGTACCCGATTGGTCAGAACTAAAGAACTTCTGGATGCAGCAATTACCGATATTGTATATTTTATGTTAACCATAATTAACGTAGATAAAAATTATTTAAAGGATTACCGTTAGCAAAACCATATATGACATACTGCAGGCAATACAACGTGTACTTGTCATACGACACGTAAGCCCTGACGAAGGAATACCACCGCCACAAGTGAATTTAATTAGCAGACGACCTTACTACATGTACAAGGTATTATACCTACAAAATTATGTAAACGTTAAGTGAAATATCAGAGCAATTGTTAATAAGCTTAACTTATCCTGATCTCTGAAATCCCTGACAATTAATTTTTGTTATATTGCTGCATTTTAGGTTGCAATGAAACAAAAACGAGATTGGTGGTGGAGTGGATTCTTCCCGAAAGCATCCAATTCTTGTGAGCCGAAAGCGATTTCCAATGAATCTATTACATTACTTCTGCCTACCATGTATCTTAACAGTGGAAAATTACGTTTGCAACGATATCAACGCATTACTGCATCATGAAATGCTATATCTCTGTTCTGTGTATTGTTTCGCTTCTACTTTTTTTTTAAAAAAAAACCGCCGGAAATTTCCAGAAATGCTTCTGCTGTGCTCTTGCTACCCATTTCGTTGGAAAGACTTCAAACAGAAATCACTCATATTCAACTCGCTCTACATTCTGGTGAACACAGTCTAATCATTAGTACAAGAAATATTTTCCATCAGATTATCTGTACTCTGGCAGCACTAAGAGTGGGTGCCATACCGCTTATTGTAAGTTTCCCTTAATAGCTTAAAACTAACCTCACAAGCAACTTCTGAAGCAGGAATAAATTTGAGCTAAATTTTCAGTATGAAAGCGACATTAAGCATCCGGACCCGTCAAGAACTTCACAAATCATATACACTTACAAAGTTAGTTCATTAAATTTATCCTCTCATCTGGTTTTGGAAAAGACAAAAGCCTTAGCTGAACCGCATGACAGTTCTGCAACTTCGGTTTCGGAAACGAGGTCGCCAAAACTTAACACTGTTCAACTTGGAATTTCAGGTAGCAAAACTTTTGATGGCAGAAGAAGATCTACATCTGTTGATGGAATACAAACAGTATGTAACCTTCTGGGATTTGAAAACCCTCAAGGAAATCCTGGTCCTTGGAAGTAACAAATTATGCGAGCAGGCGGAAGAGATTTTCCGTGTACCCTGTAGAAATATTGACCTAACATTAAATTAACAAAATGATATACCTAACCAAAATTGCTAAATCAGCCAATGTTATTATTCCTTAACCGTTTCCCTACTATTTTCAATAAATTAATTTTTTCAATGACTGAATAAAATAAAGAGCACCAACCAAGCACCTCAAAATCTCCCTCATATTATTTATTCTAATTATATTCGTCCTAATATTACACCTATCAAATCCAACAAAATGCATCCGAAACAAAGTGATAAACATGTTCTTCTTTGAGCATTAAGAAACCTAACTTTATAAATATTCGCAGAGTGATCAGCATAATATATCTACCAATGGCATGCATTTTAACAAATAATGACATGGTAGGTATGAATACTTTTCTAATATTAGGGGGCTAATTTTTTGCAATTTTCGAAAAACCATTTTCTTAACAAATCTAAGTAATTAATCTTCACAACAGTAGCGAAAACTTAAAATGCGAACAAAATACAGAAACCCATACAAAGGCAAAAAAGGCCCATAGCCTCAGAAAGAGCAAAGCCAAGGATTGCGTACGAAAAGAGCTGGTTTTTCGCGGATGGATTTCGAGCGTAACCGATAACAAGAGAACCGAAAACGTTGCCGATACCAGCACCAGAACCTGCTACACCAACTGTTGCAGCACCAGCTCCAACATACTTTGCTGCACTATCAATGTCGCGATGCACTGAAGACGTTTGCAAACTACGAACTAATACTCCGTTATTTGAACGAAGCAAAACTGGCAGCATCTGTAAATATTCACACTCGATTCCACAAGAATCATTTCATTTGTAGGTATTCTTTCTCAATTAAAAATTTCTAAATAAAAGGTATTGATAGGTAGTGTTCAAGTTTTTCTATACGATCAGAAGACATTAACATCTACTAGTTAAAGTTTTCGATCATTTGTTGCTACCAACCTATCATGTGGTAAATGTAACAGCTATTTACTCATCTTTCTTCAATTGTTTTTTTCAAACTTGTGAAGTTAGGTTAAAGTTAGCTTACCGAAATACGAACTGCAGAGGTCGAAAGTCGTTGGCAGTACATACTGAAGAATTTTACCAAATTTCTTGGAATTCAACCGAAGCAAAAGAACCTGTGAGAGTTAGAGATAATTGAATGAGAAATGAAAAGGAAAGTAATAACGAAGGCTTGATATCTGCATAATCAAATTAAATAAAAAATCCATGTCAAAACATTCTTGAAACTAGATCACTTGAATAAAAGGACAAAGAAAAAGAGAAATCATCTCTCTGTGTCAAGGGTACAACCAGGCAAGTTTATATATTCGAGAACTAATAGTGAGAGATTTTAGGTCGTTAAGAGATACATTTCACGATAAATAGAGAATATATCCTATGGCAAATGAGAGACAGCACCTTTCGGAGTGAACAAAGGACAACAAAAAGACCGTACCCCAAGAACGCCCCAAGTCTGCCACCACCGCACAACGCCGCTTCACAACTACTGTACACTTCCCAAGTACTAGGCAAGCGTTGCGTGTTTAATGGACCGCCTTTTCTCGTTAAATACAGTTTATCAATGTGGAACGTAAGTTTCATAAAATTCGTCGTTGCTTGAGAGAGAGATTGTGGTGGGTGTTGTGAACTTTGTTATCGTATACAGGCATCACTCAATTCTACCATGCATTTTGAACTATGTCAACAAATCTGCCAGTTTTTGGTTTCAGTTAATAAAAAAAGCTTTTGTGATAGGTAAGTTTCGTAGGTGGCGTCTTTGACGTGACCTGCTAGTGTTGAGTATTTTGCGCTTAATAGTACTTATCGAACTCTTACTTAAACTGATTAAGACGACCAATTTCAGAAGTAGTAAATCAAATGAATGCAGTGGTGTCGGATGAGGTTGCCACGTACTTCTCACATCCAGAACAGATGTTTCCGGAAATCGAAAATGGCAAAGTTCCAACCGAACAGTTCCTTAGAGCTTGCCAAGGCATAGCTGATTTTGTAGGTAAACTTGACATTTCTAGTTTATATATTCTATATATTGCTATATTGCTTTCCTATATATAGTATATATATAGTCTATATATTGCTTTCCCATTATGTTGCATTCTTTTTTCGTTTTAAACTCCAACTTCTAAAACTTCGCTTTATATACGAATCAGTGTGAAATAATTGGTGTGTAATTGCCGTTGTGAAAATTGAAATAATTACGATCAGTTACTGGGTGAGTAATCGAGGGAGTTTTCAAAGTTGCTATTTCAGGTTTTCTAGGGACAGCATTTATTCCGATCAAGAATGATATCAGCGGTAATGTTGCCAAGGTTAGAACAAAATACGAAAGTGGAATAGACAAATGCAAATATATCGAGGATCTAATCGAAGATGATCTCGCTAAAAATAGCGGAAAAATGGGCTCAGCCACCGAAGGGCTATTATGGTTGAAAAGGTTTCATTAATTTCCCTTCAGGTTGCATTTTAGTTGAGCTTATTGACAAAACCAAATGCAACTTTTCAACTATGGATTTTTCTTTAAGCAGGCGAAAGTAACAATTTAGGAATGTATGCTGGCTTGTGCATTATTGTATTTTATATAAAGTTTGCAGTGATTTTCTCGTATTACTTTGTTTGTGGGAAAAAAAAGGACCTTCATCATTTAGATATGTTTTGTTCTTACTGCATGATATCTCTTTTTTTAGAGGTTTAGAATTCATGCTTGAATTTTTGTCGGAAATGGTGCAGGTGTACCGATCTTCAACAGACAAAACAAAAACTGACAATTTAACTGATTCTATCAACAAAGCTTATAATAATACGCTCAAAAGGCATCACGGGTTTATATCAAAGCAGTTGTTTAAGGTAAACTTGCGGCTGGTAGTTTTGTTTTTAACCTCATCTGTTCCAGTTATATTAACAAGTAATATCAACTATCTCAAAACGAATAGTACCATTCTTCCTTGTGATTTTTGCCTTCAGTTTCTTGTGTGATTTTATGCAATCTCAGATCATTATTTTGGCAGCTCCAACTCGGAGTACCGTTTTGAAAGCACTTGCCGAAGGAGGAGAAGGTATGGACGATATATGTATTGATCATGTCGCAGCACACCTCGATAACTTCAGGACTAACGTAACTAGTATTGTTAATTATTATATCACCAAAAAATTAGACACTCCGAATCCATTGTTGAGAAATTAATGAGTTAACCCCTTTGTTTAAAACCAGACATCCCTTGGCTTAGAGCCAGACATTTTACTTCTTTTAAGTTATATGTTGTATGCTTCGTCATTTTACATTGCTATAAGTAGAAAGTGCTATACGAATATACGTGCCATAATGACCCTCTTGTTTTGATTTTACAAAGAGATTGTGTGTCCTCCCATTCGACAAAGCGTACGGCCCTACCCACCAAATTCATTCGTACACCAGGCATATTGATATCATTATTCAAATTGCCTTATTAAATTGAACCTAATAATGCAGACCGATGCTTATGTCCCGTCTACAGTGAAGCATAATGTTATTCCAAATATCTGATAGACTGCTGATATACCGGTGGTTTTTCATCTCTCTTACTCGTAACCTTCGAGAGATTTTATGATGTTAAATTTAATGATACGTCAACTATCCCGTTGCTTTCTGTATGTGTGCGCTAAATGTAATCTTAATCTGCTCATTAAATCCCGGTGCTCGAAGTTATTATTATTATTTGCTGTCCACATCAGCGAGATCCATTATTGACGATTTTTCGTTGCACACATCCCGATTTCTTATATTTTATTTCTACAATTTCAAATACAGCTTCACTGGATGAGCAAATTTATTTCTATGTGCGGTCTCGAAATATGCATGGAATGTTCATCCGTTTTTATTCTTTCCCATTCTAAAGTAATAAGCTCCATGATCCTCTTTATTTCATGATAGTCCTAGTCCTATTTTCTTTCACTTGCTGGAAACTAACTACTGTTATGGGTCACATGTATTTCGAATTAATTCACAAGCTGTTGTAAATTAATTCGAAATACGCGCGATTAATGACGCTTATGCGTATATATTCATTCATTAATAATTGTAATTTCGTACTGCAATCGATGCCAAAGATAAACACTTTCTTGTCGGCTTAACAAACATGCAGTATCACTTTTTCACTTGATTCTATAAATTTGAACATATGAAGCATGTAATTGAAACTCTTAAGTTGTAAGAGCAAATCTGTTTCTGAGTAGGACAATTAATTAATGCCAATTTCAAGTTTCAGCATTTCCAAGCTTAAAGTGATCTGGTAGCTTCTAGTTTGTATGCTTAATGTACAGTCTTCCTCATTTCACATATCTCTAACTGTGATTGTCAACTACCGACTAGAGAGAATGATTAAATTTTGTTCTGTAATGCTGAGAGATTATGGCTATATGAATGCAGAAGGCATGTAGTACAAAGAAGAAAAAGCACGTGTGCAGTGCAGAAGAAAGAATCCGTCTCATAGGAATACGTAACACAGAGAACAAATGCTTGGTAGAATTTTCATTAAACTTTAAGGACTAGACATCAAGATTATGTGTCACGTCAAACATGTGCTCAATATGGTAATCCGTTGCTTAGCAAAAAATAGTTACTGGATTCTTTGAAAGTGGTAGTTGTACATCGATAAGTAGCAATTAGTTTCGCTTTACATCCTTCTTGGGTAATGTTGTACTGGATTTTCTTTTCCCTAAACGTTTCATTTTTCCAGACGGACCTGCAGGAGGTGAATTTGGTTGTGACAGTTCTTCAACAGCTTTCAATTCTTTTATGAAGTTGAACGAAATTTTTGAACTAATCTGAAAAATAATCTGAACTAAATAATAAGGCATGAACCAGAAATCGTTACTGATAAAAGATAAAAAGTCCAGAGACTAAAAGTTCAATTCATCGAAAGTTTGGTGTAGTAGAAAAGAAATTACTTGATGCATGCACTCAATAATATTATTTATAGCTTTGCTTTGTTCACGTATCACACGATCCTGCTCAGCGATTATTCGTTCATGCTGCTTGACTTTCTCATCAATCCTCCTTTTCCATTGGTTCATCTTTGCAAAATCACCAAAACTACGTGTCACTGGAGTATTACTGCTCCTGCCTATTACGATATTCGAAGGGGATGTACTGCATAATGAACGAACACTAAATGAAACTCACTACTTCATTCAAAGAACAATAATGCAATAGAAACAACAAAATTAAAAAAAAAAAAAAAACTACACTTATATGTACGATATGTCTGAGATAATACGGTAATACTAGATGATATACCTATCACTCAATGTTGCAGACGAGAAACTGTTAGGCAGAGATTCCAATGAGTATCGAGAATGAGAACGACATAGAAGACTCAAAGGATCTCGAATACGTAGAGCTGGTGCAATCTGTTCTTCGAAATATTCCATTGCCATACTAAGAGATTTAAAATAATGAGATAACAGCAGTAGTAATTACGATATTTGACAATAACCATCATAATTTCTGACTATATTTTAATAAAATAAACCTCGAATAATCCCGAATATCTCTTAAAGATTCCTGTGTTTCCGGTGGTTGCACTCTCCGTTTAACACAACTGTCCAACATACGCAGTACGGAGAAACCTTCATCCAAAACCTGCATGAAGTGTGCATAATAAACCAGTACGAATCAACTGAAGTGATGCACCCGGATTAAAGCATATTTTCCTTGACTTTTAAAGAGACCAGTCAATACTGTCTGATATGTATTTTAGCTAAGAAAGAAGTTAACGGTACTTAATAAAAAAGGATCCCTTTAGAATTACAAAATTTAGCAATCATATCTCTTACTTACTTTGCCAGCTATAAAGCAACAAGAATCATTGTCGATATACTTCCTGAATGTCATAGAAAGCAATGCATAGCGTGTTTCCAACGCTGAATAAACCTCATTAACACGCGACAAAGTATGTAGCCTTAAACATAAAAGGTTATATTGCTTCCACAAAAATGAACGCTTGCCATTCGATCCCACCTTAACAGAGAGATCTCTGTTCTGAAATGAAGGTAATAAAAGCATCGAACATACAGCAAACAACCTACCGAATACTAGCAACACAACTTTCATACACCTCTTATCAGCTAAGCTCTGACAACTTTGTAACGGTGCAACGAATGTTGCACATTTCTATAACAAGAAACCTTAAATTACTACTGTATTGTATATCATCACAACAGTTAAAAAGAGAAGAATGCACTGTTAAATTCAATAAAAACTACATAAATTTCCATGAACTTAAAACATTAAAAACGTTATCGAAAAAAAAATGTATCAACTAAGTTTATTTCTCTCTAACCTAACCAAGCATACTTCACAACCACTTATTATTGTCTATACGTATGACTAGTTTGCAACCACCAAAAAAGTGCATTTGGAAAATTATTCCATATTATCACTTTTCCATTCTTCATAAATGGAAGACTGAACCATACTTCAATTACTGATGCGTCCTTTCACTGATCATTTTTACCTCAAACGGATAACCTATTAAGAATTTTTCCTTACATAACAACAGTGCAAGTGAAAAACCCAATTATCCGAATAAAATAACAAAAAATAGTACCTTCGCTGTGACTCTCTTTTTGGTAACATCTTTTTCATTCGGCTCATTGCCTTATCCAGTTGCTCGCCAAGCCGAAAAAATGAATTATTTAGGATAGAGCGTGCCACTACATCGAAACTTTTGGAAACCTGGAATGAAATAAATTTGTACAGGGAACTATTCATTACACATAATCGTATATTTTTTTCGTGAAATGAGACATGGATTGGATAACTGTTCCTTTTCGACTACCCATCAATACTCTCTTTTCTCATGACTGTAACAGATGGTTGCATTTTCAGTTCAAAAAATCGAAGACAAGAAATTCACTAACGGCTCTTAATAAACTGATATCATCGTAGGAAAGGCAATTCATGATGTATGTGATAATCTCCACCGGAAGTGTATCAAAAGTAGCGCTTGCAGGTATCGTCATGTTACTGCATCCTGACTTTATCAATGTGCTTGCCATACAAATTATATGCCCTGAAATGTAAATTTTTGTGAGCAAAAGGATATAATCTCGAAAGTTCCCAGAAACCTTTCATTCAATTACACTTTGTAACAGATCCGATCGTCGTTTTATCATGACCGATTGGATGATGGACAATACAATATCAACGATTTACTGAAGGAAGAACATGATGAGAGCCAAAACATGAAACACGGAAAAAAAAAAAAAAAACTGAAAAAGCCACATGTGAAACCCTTCCCTGCCTGACCTTACCTCCCGTCCTTAACCGGACCCGACATCTCGACTCGACCAGACAGTACTTGTACCTTTATGAGGCTCTGATTCATTTTGCGATGATTGAATGGGCTGAAGGCACGTCTCTGTTTGCGTACATCACGTAATTCTAGGTACTTATATTTCAGGTGGGACGTCGTCCTGCATATGTGTGGTCTATTATGTGGCATCAGTTCCTGAGGTATGTTACTTGTAGCTTTCTTTAACGTTACTTCTTCTCTCATTCCTTTTTACTGCCCATTGAAACTGTGGTTCACGCAGAAGACGTCAGCTTTAATTTATTTACTCCATGCACTTAAACCATAACACGCATCTTAGATGATGCAGCACGTATTGCACGTCACCGTGATTTGCATCATTGACGAAAAGCTGGCATTACTGTCAGCTCCGTGTCGAATATTCGTCTCATATTTTTGCACAGATGACGACGCACTGAGTGAACTGCAGTACGTGTGCGTGTGTCCTTTATCTGCTAGATAGATAGATGGCCATACAAAAGTGTTAGTTATTGCAAGTATAAGCTACATCTCTGCCAACTTTTTCATCCAAAATTATGACCAAATCCATTGTTAGTATATTTCAACATTTGGCGAATTCGCCTTATAGTTGTAAAAGCATGAAGTTAGTTTTTTAATGTGAGAGGAAAAGCTATTCGCATTTCCTATCTTTTCGAATATATAAAATGATTTAATTCATTTATCTTCGAAGTTTTAAAGAAAATAAGGAGCATTTTCAGGCAATATTTAAATCAAGAACATGTGATTCAGAAGGTATGCAATTTAACCAAGAAAGCAATTTGAATGGTTTATTATCTATTTTATCATCATAATCATTTCTGAAGTTCTATTAGTTGTTCTACTATTCATCCTTCGTTTCCTTCGTTTTTTTCTGAGTATATAAAATGATATGATCTGATGGCTTAATTATCTAAAAATCCGCAGCAGTCACTTCAGTTTTTTGATTTATGAAGTGTTCATCGCTATGTGTCTTTTAAAGAATTTGTAGTAGGTTTGTCAGATCGGAGTGCGGAAGAAGAAGGACAAAGTGGTAGGTTCATTTATTTAGCTAGAAAAGAGCAAGAATCGACGCAGGAAGACAGTAAAATTAAATAGAATTTGAATAGATAGCTTTTTACTATTTGTGGTCCTTTTTTATATTTCTCTTAATTTTTCATTACAGTTAGCAGATTCAAAGATAATTCGCTCAGCAGCACGTTTTTTTGTTTCAACAGTGTATGGTATGCGTGCATCAATCTTTCGGGATTTTTGGAAGCGAATTGAATTTTTCTCGAGGACATTCGGTGAAGAATTCAAAAAGTCACTGACACAGAAGAAATAATTTCATTCATTTGCACATATACAATAGAGTACAATTATGTCATATTAATCACAGACTATATATTGTGCTAACTGTAAATATGACAAATCAACATTGGCTCGTTTCCCTTTTGCGATTTTAGCTATCATATAGATTTGTCATTCTAGTCCGATGTATTTTATGTCACAGTCATACTATTATCATTGCTTGATTCTCCAGCAGTGTATTTGTCAGTTTTTGATTTCATACGTTCTTTTTTTCACAACTTACTGAATAATTTCTGTTAAATATTGAGGTGTGCAAGTGCACCAACGAAATTTAGTACCTCTCTCAGATATCAGATTTAGTAACGAAAGGAATAAATTTTCCAGCATCTTCGAATATTGTTTTGAAAAGACCACTCATGGGATTAGGTTAAATAATTTTTTCTTTTATTCCTCCTTATAATTGTATAGGATCAAAGGAAAAACAACTTGGAATTCTTGCAAGTCTTAAATTAGTAAAATTTTTTCAGCTATCTGCTGATCTCATACAATTGCTAGTCTGTTCTATTAATGAAATTTTAAGAATCCTGACTCAGTTCACGAAATAAGGCAGCATAACAGCAGCTAGCATGGCAAAAGATTGCACTTCAAGATGCATATCGTCGAAATCTGTGAAATACGATGCATGTGGGAATAAAGCCCATCCAAGACTGAAGAATATACATGAACGCATATCATCTAGCAACGTTATCGTCTTGAATTTTGCGAATTTAATCACTTTATAAGTTTCTCCATTGGGAAGTTTATAGTTTTGGAGATAAGAGATCAATAAAAAATTTTCAGAGCGATTCAACACTGGCTAAATAACTGCGCTCTGGTTTGATATCCTGTGAGTTAACACGATTTGTTCTGAGTTTCTGTTGTAAGCAGGAATTTGGTCGTGTGGGTGATACTGGAAATGAAGATGGAGTGGGTTCGGGTGAAACCGCTAACATGGCTGAAGAAGTATCGTGACTTGACGATGTGACACTTTTGGTAGGTATCGGTGAGAAGTGAAATGGTGTAAGTCCGGAGCCGAGTGTATTTGAGCTGAGTGTAGCTTTAGATTCTTGTTTCTCAAGTGGTGGCATTACTTGTGACAGGGAACGTGAACGAAAATGTGCAACATTTACGACGTGAGAAGCAGTCGATGACGGCCTCCGAATTTGCCATGAGACCCGATTCGGTGCATTCATTTCCTGTGCAGAATTTGCTGCAAAATAAGTAATGAATTAAATATTGGAGTTATGCATGTTACTTAATAAATGGTAACAAAAGGATTTTCAAAAAGTCTTAAAAAACAATTCATTAAATAATTTACTATTCCGTTCCTAGCATGAAAATACAGCATGTTGTTTATCTGTTGGACGTAGAACTAAAGACAAAAATGGGAAGGAAGTTTAGACATACCGGTCATTTTTTTTCCTGAGGGGAGTACTGTCAGAGGTGTTATTGAAAAAGCATTCACATTGGAGCAGTGCATCACCTGAAATGATATGAGATGAACGGATAAGAAACGGAAATCACCGACTAATGGAAGGAAACATTCTATGCAAACGGAGTGCAGGCCACTGAATACTGAAAGGAGATTGACTGATATTCCGGCCAGTATATGACTAGTACGTCCTGAATCAAAAAAGTTTGACTTGAGCGCAATTGTCATGTCTCATCAAACATATTGAGCATCGAATTAGTATGCAAATTTAAATTCTATAAAAATGGAGCGATTTTTTTCAAATCTGAAGTATCCCGGATGCTCTTTACTTGAACAAGTTGTGGTGAAGTTGGCGCATTGGTTGTATGCTGCACTTCGGAATACCCGGCATGTGGAAATACGGATTCAGATCCGGTTAATGAGTGCACATCGACGCTCAACACGTCTTCATCCCTTGGTGACTGATGAATGCTTTCTCTGTGTGTGTTGTTGGGTGTACGTCGACCCATCGATACGTAGTATCCAAAAGCCTTGAAAAAAACCGAATTCAATTATATCTTTGAAGATACTACAATCAGTGCATTCAAGAAGACCGGAAGACCGGAAATACCTTCAGGATATCGCTTTTACACATTGGACAGGTTCTGTGTTCTAGAAGCCACGGATCAACACATGTTTTATGGAATATATGCCTAAAATTTTTCACTTTCTGTACTTTTTGCATTTGTATACTTTTTGTGATTTTTAATCTTTTGTACTTTTTGTCTCCATTAACGATACAATGAGAAAGTTCAACGTATCATGCAAAAAAAATTTTAGTCAATGTGAAAGAATTTTAAAACTTTCAAATGAGAAAGCACAGCAAGCAATTACGTGAAAGCACTTCACCTACACGGAAGCGAACGAATAATATCACCAGCTCGATACGGATCGATGCAAACCGGACAATCAGTGTCAAGCTCTTTGTCTCCAACTCGAATAGGTTTCGTTGGAATACGCGTCAACGCTTTTTTAGCCGCATTGAATAGCCGTCTTTGAAGACGGTCTTTGGCATGCGCATAACGGAATCTAAATTATAAGCGTAACGAACAATTCAAGGCTTGAGGAGCAGTTGAATTGAGGACCATTCACTTACTGAGATTTCAAGAAATGAATATAAAGTTTTATCCGTCTACGTTGAATTTACGTGATTGGATGATATTATTGCTACTACTGAGCAGTACTGTAGCAATGGGTAATCTTGCTGTCTTTTTATTAATAAAGGAAAGAATAAGTTGAATCACTTATCAGTTAAGCTACTGATAAGCATACTACTTTAAGCTTTCTTCTGCTGCTGCTTGGCACAAGAATCAAATTTCATTTGTCATTAAAAATAAACAAACGGTTAAGATTCATTAAAGAGAAGGAAATGGAAATGAAAGCTAACCTTTGTACATAATAGAAGATAAGCCAAGCAAGCGAAATGACCATTAAAATGATAAATGAAATAGAGACAAAAAGGACGGAAGTCTTGGAAAAACTGCGCAAAGCGTCTCCGTCACTTGCATCTACAATTTGACAGTCATCCAGGGCGATCGGTGTTTCCTCCTCGAGGAACGCAAAACGTATCTTGTCATCGTCGATGTTGCTCACTTGTCGATGATTGATACCACGAATGACAACGATTAACGAAATCTCGATATCTTTTAGCATCCGTTTCAAATACAAATAGATACTGCTCAAACCGGTCGGACATTCCGTACAATTCCCACAAATTGTTATCATTTGCTATAAATTGATTGATTCTTCAACAAGACCTGATTTAAGCTTTCATCACTATGTAACTAGCTGTAGACATATGTCTTGCTCAGTTCAGAACCAAACAGGTTAGCTTGACAGTAGATGGAGATTCTAGTTGTATTGTCGAGATCGTATTCGAGAAAAGTGGTTCGAAAAGAACCTGATAACCGGTAGAACTATACGTCGGATTTGGTCTGGAAGTAGTAGTAGTAGTAGCCAACCGACATATATCGCCACCCACAATTTGATCCAATGGTACATAGACTAAGCGACCGATTGGTAGAAGATTCGATCGGAATGGTGGAACGAACGATAATTTATTGAATGTTGCGGCGCCGCACTGCAACGATTGCTGCTGCGGAAGCTGCAACTGACATTTGCTTGCGATTTTTGATGAAAATTTAAGATAGAAAAAAACTGATTTTCTCTTTCGAATATTGAACCAGTTCTGTTTTATAGCAAACAAAAATTCATAGCTCTCAAAAACTGCTCTATTTTGTTATTTATTTTTGTCACTTACTCTTTAGTTTTGAATAATTTCTCGACTCGTTTCAATTAATCCAATCTTTATCTTTCAATTTAAAAAGTTCCAATCTTCTGGATGAAAATGACTACAAAAATGCTCCTCTATGAGATGACAGCAAACTTAAAGATCATTTTAATTCCAAATGTAAATTCTTCAGCTATTACACATCTTGGAAAATCTGTATGGAAAACATTTTCAGAGTGTTTTCTGTTTGAGCAAAAATTAGAGTAAAATGTGAATTCACTAATTTCCAACTTTCCTAAATTCAATACTACATTTGTTCGATTCTGCTTTCCAACACTACAATTTTACTGTTTAAATGCGATTATTCGAATCAATCTTATATATTGTTATTTCGTTTAAACATTTATTGCTGTGTGTTTAGAGCTCCATAAAATGAACGAGTTTTCAAAAAAAAAAAAAAAAAAGAAATGAAATTTGTAATTTTAATCCATTGCGAAAAACAATTTTAGCAAAAAAAAAAAAAAAAATTTTGAAGTTTTCTCTTCTGTTTGACCATGTTTGTGTTTCTTTTGACTACTTGTTATTTGTTTACTTATTATGTAAATATTTCCAGCTGCAAGTTTTTGCTCATTTCAAATTCTCCTAATTCGATCACAAGATGAAATCACAATATGCTAATATATAGGAATATGTGGTAATAATTTAAAGGTATCTCTTAAAATATATCACTTTTCATCAACAAAGAACAAATTTCGACAGATTTCTTGATCCATTACATTTGAAATAATTCTTGAAACCTCAACTACTAATGTGTGACACGATTAATCCTTGGTAGGTTTAAAGATTTAAAGCGATGAGAAGAGGAGCAGAAAGACATTTCATATCCTCTGCATCTTATTAAATGTCCCAATTATGCTAAATGGTGAGGTTGAGGAGGTGACAAATGTCATTCAGCCTTGCAACGATGTCTTCTTTCTTCTCTTAAAAGGATTTCTCTGCAAAAGCGAAAACACAGACTGATAATTAGCTCAAACGATAATCTATGCCAGAATCGATCTTGCGATCGTCAGGCTGAGACATTTCAATCTAATTTGAATTAGATACCCACTGATTAAGTTGGTTACTGTAGCAGTGGACCAGAAAGTATCAAGCAAGTATGTCGAAGGATTGCAAATATTGCGACAAGCAGCGGCAGTGCGTCAAGGTAACAAGCTGTGTCACCAGGAACGCTACGGTGGCACCGGTAGATTAACCGAACTTAGGGCGTTGTTTTTGTGCTAGGACAGGTCACCTCAAATGAAGTACTGTTGACAGAATCTAAAGGCAAAAGACGCCAAGAAGAGCGCTCAAAAAAAATAGTAAAAGACAAATTTTAAATGATTGAAAAAAGAGTCGTCAACAATATACGAACAAACATCCCACCTGCTCGCATCATCATTTCTCACTCGCAATTTTTCAAATGTTCATTTCAAAATAATCGGACTAATTGAATAAATCAAATAGTTTCTACTTAGCAAGCAAAACATTATCCACCAGTGGAACGAACTGAACCAAATGATGGTTTTTTTTTTTTTTTTTTCAGAAGAAATGAGTTCATCCGGGAATTTTAGTCAGGTAAAATTGCATCTGATGAATTTTGTCCGTTAATGAATGCAAGTTGCTGAAGCATGAATTACCTGTAATCTAATATACCTTTCGGGCTACATCAAAGAGCTATGAAAACCGCTCACCCTGTTGTCCACTGTCATTTTTCATGTGTACAACAAAAAATTTGCATTTCTTTCTCACTTCAATTTAATCAAATCAATAATACCGTCATGAACACACCTCGGAAATAGCCTGAAAGATAGAAAGTGCCAAAATATAACAATGCCATGGCAGCCACTCCATCTAGTTGAATATTTCACTGCAATCTGCAAGTAGTGCAGGTGTCATCGGTTGTAGTGAAGGAAGAAGCATTTTTGAAATCAGTGAAATGTGATCAGTCATCCGATCAATGAAAGAGGAAGGGAATGTGAAAGGTTTCAGTTGCACAGGATGAACGAAGACAGGAAGGGGATATGTTCCGCAATATTGCACAAATAATTATTACTGTCCGGAAAATTCATTCAAATTTTAAATGGAACGATTGCTGAACTCATTCTAATTTCTAACTCAAGGATGTGTTTTTTGAATTTCAAATTCAGTCAAACGTTAAAATAAATTTGTTCCTACATGAAAAGGAAGGAAATTAAATGAAAAGTGAAATGAGGACAACGTAACGGAACTTGATAGATCAGTAATACTTTATGTCTATCTCTTTATAATCATCATTATATTCTGTTACCTTCGATTACTCTCGAGTAGGATTTTCTCGGAACGGAATAATAGTATCCAGAATGTTGGACTAAGTATTATTCAGTAGAATTATCATAATTAATTAATTTTCACTATTTTTATCCATTAGTTATAACTTTTACAGTTTCATCCACCTCATTTTACAATCGGTGGTCCTTTTTACAATCGGTGGACATCCCATCCATCCGATATGTGCAAAAATTCAGAGAATGAATAACAGCTAGAAAATACTATATGTTGAGAAGCTTTCTCTTCTTTTCAGGTCTGAAAAACAAAAAGGTATTAATGAAGCAAAGTGACACGAAGTGCTTCTCCTCTCCGCCATCTCATCTACCACCCACAGACTCCTATCGATCGGGTAAATATTATCCATCCATCCATCCAACCCTACCACTACTCACTTCACACTGAAAATGAGCGTGATTTAACGACACATTTTATTATTTAATAACTAACACAGACTTACTTATCTGTGTATGTGTGCATGTGCATGTATGTGTCTGTGTGCGTGTGCATGTGCATGTGCATGTATGTGTGTATGCTTATGTTTACTTCAGACAAGTTAGCAGGTCGTCAAGTCTTTAGTGATGATATGTGAAATGTCTCGCAAGGATACGAATGGACAACTCATAACCTTGTACTCATTTATACTTATAGATCTACTTTTGGCATTTCCAGTTCAATATAAAGAGTAGAAAATGCACAGATGGCTTCATTTGCCGAATCGTCTAATCCACGCCATCTAATTTACTTAACGATACTATTGCAAAATGCTGACATAAAGTTGAAAGAATTTAAACTTTACTGAAGTGATAGTTTTGCAGTTTAAAATTAATGAGAAAGTGTTGGTCTTTGCTGAAGAAGAAATACTGCGATTCCAAATATTCTTCAGCTGAACAATGACAAAGCAGAAATAGAAAAGTTTAAATTTAATTTAATTAGTACTAGAATTGTTAGCCTTTGTTGGATTAGTGTAAGAATTGTTAAAATTGAAAGGGTAAGTTTTTCTGACTCAAAAAGCAACAACAGTACATTAAGTAAAGACAGCTAAATAATGTCACAAAATGAGGAAGACACCTTGACCTTGAGGACATACATATATGTGGGAAGTAAATTTCTCGAGTCACCGAAACTTAACCTTGGACAAGATAACAGAAAGTGAGTATATTATGAGAGCAACAGAGAACTTCGGGAAGAAAAAGAGCCCAGTTGCTTAGAGCCAGGACGAAGAAAGCATAACAACACTTTAACAGTTGCATTAAAAATATGACTTTGACGAAAAACTGTATTAAAATAAGGACAGCTCCGGGAGACTACTTTACATAATGGCCTTCCTTTTGCTGCCCACCTGTAAGGGGAGGCAAGGGAGCAGGGTAGGCGGAGGGTACAAGTACAACGGGCAGATGGATGGAGGTAGACGGAACAGCTGCTCCTCTGTCTATCGGCGCTCTCGTGAGTCATGGAGCTATTCTTGAAGAAGAACCGTTTTCTTCTCCTGTAAACTGGCTGTTATTTTTCCTTCCGGAGGATTAACCGAATTAACATTCTGCTTCTAATTTTCAAAAAGACAATTCATTATTGTTGACCACTGATTCAGCAGCAGTTTTTCTGGTCTAATAGGTGGGTAATCTTCTGTTTACTGTTTCCTCATTCCTTTGTCAGAATACCTGTTCAAACATGAAACATAGGTCAGAAAAAGTCTAACCAATATTTCCTAAAAGTTAAAGGTTCACTTCTCGTATATGTTAGTGAACTGTTTATTTTTACCTGTTTATTTGAACGTACTGAATGAGTGCATTTCACAGGTGATTCCAGCTTATAGCTTACATGTTCAAATGAAAATAAGAAAATAAAACAGAAGGAACAGGTGCAAACGATGTAGTGAATGTCAAATGAAATGGCATTTCGGTGAATCAAAGCAAAAAAATAGCATTGAATTATCACATTTGTCTCCTATCAGTAAACAGTCCTATCAGTAACTCTTATTTATTCCTGTATATTTGATTACCTGATCGTTGAACACATCCGGAAGTGCACATATCACTTACATTGAAGTATTTAACAATTAAATACTTAAAGATATAATATAAACATTGAAGACAGGAAGAAGTGTGATATAATTGAGATGCAATCGAATGTACATCAAATGAAGCGTACAGTTCGAGAAAGCCTTAAATAAACAAAAAATATTTTAAGCCAAAAAATGAATACTTTTTTGTTCCGTTCCACAGACACATTGTAAGAAGGAATTTACCTTTTCTACATTTATCTCTATGAGACAATATGACCCCTTTGATTCACTTCAACTGCTGCTTATTAACGAGGACTTTATGGCTATAACAAACGTATTTCTCGACTGAGATGCAATACAGCAAACGTTCATGTTAAATCTAATAAGAGAGAAGCAAGGATCAAAGTAAGCTCAAATTCAAGCTAACTCAGCAAATATTTGATGAAAAAGTATCGCTGAGTCGAGATAAGTTGTAAAGAAGCATTCTATAATAACAACAATGTGTTAAAACTAAACTCATTGCTCACAAATTTGTTTGATGGAAGAGATTAAATGCTTGAAAAGTGGAACTATGAATTGATTTGATCAGAATTGCCAATGTGTTTGTTTGTTTTTTTTTTTTTTTTTTTGTTTTTATGAGCTTTAAATTATGTTTGTTGAAGTTAATTATCATATTCCCTAATGCTAATTAGATTAAAAAAAAAAAAAAACTACAACAAATGAATTTAATTCGTTTTCCTTTCTACATTCATAAATGAAAAAACTAGTTCTCGATAAATTAATTTTAGATAAAAGATTACAGTTTCTTTCATATAATTGTTCCTGAAATCCAAAAAAAAAGTTGATGACTTTTTTAGCTGCAATTTGATTTAAATAAAAATGAACCGGATCGTTTTTGTAGATAGCTTTTTCAACAGTAAGCAAAATGTTTCCTCTCTTCAGACAATTTTCTTCTTCCAGCTTTTTAACTAAATTCCCGTGAAGATCTCTAAAATTTGACATTCAAATAAATGATTCCGTTCAAATGACCTATCAAAATGCAATTTCGCCTAATCACACAGAGTTTCATTTTAAAAAATGTTCAAGAAGAGTTGTGAATAGGAATGCAGAGAATCAAGTAAGTTGTTAATTCGTCAGCATTTCTGAATAATTTTAAAAAATTCATTAAGGCTAGTAGAATTATGCAAAACCTTGAAAATTCTGAATGGAATGAAAGTCATTGAACTAGAAGGTGAAATATTCTCCTACTATTATGATTAAAAAAATTTTTGATCATTGTTCAATTGACAGAATGAAATTTATTTGTGCACATTTGATACAAAATGAAAACGAAAATCGAAGTAGGAGAACAAACATTTCTTAATGCAAATCTAATTTGCATATAATCCATTTTTGCTGAATATAATAATAACCTACTAAAAGTGTGACAAATAGCTTTTCCCTTTGCTTCAATGTGAAATGTGTCAAATCGATGCTTCCATGTGTCGCAAAATAAGAGAGAAATTTCGAAGGAAGGTGCGCACTTTTGCATCTCAGAATGCATCGATCTTCAACCATTACAATTACTGAGACAGGAGCGCAATTAAAGTGCGCCTCTAAAATGTCTATCTGCGACAATCGGTTTATTCTTGCAATTAGGTAGATCACTCACTGAACACTTCATGTATACTTGATGATCCGTAGGACAACATCAGAGTGTGAAGTGGTTCATTTGAACTAGATCAGGTTAACTGAACTGGATTGGAAGAAAGGGAATAGTATTCCGGAATGAAATTGAATAGGTTATGACACACCTGATTTGTTTTACACCTGGCCAAGTCTTTCTAAGCATTGTACACAAGTAGTCAAAGACAGTAACTTCGAAGTATATATTGTCAATTGATTATAATGTCAAAAGTGATCAAAGAAAGTCAATAATCGAAAATGGCTGCAAGCGCTGTGCGAGATAAGTAATGCTGGATAGGGAGCAGTGCCCAAGTCTGTTTGGGCCCAGTTTGAGTAGAGGCTCTGATTCTTCCTCGGTTCTGGCTGCAACCCGTACCATTACCTCGTCGTCCCGTCATCAACCGCCCATTTATCGGTTTTTTTCATCACCAGCTCACGGCTACCGCTAAATGCAGTGTTAAATGTATCATCGGGCCAAGTTGTGCACGAGAAAGCCAATATGAGCCTCATTTGTACTTCATTCCTTCGTTTGCAGTATCACTTGAGTACACGGAACCACGTCGTTCCTCACGTCTTGAAATTAAAGTCAAATATGTGTAGTATTGCAGAAGAGTGGCGCTACCGTCACCTGTGACATTTATTGTGTCATTTCTAGAAAATGACCTATATTATATCATTTATTCATATATACTTAAAGCATTTAGTTAGGGTTAATTTCAGGACTATTTAAGTGGGACTATACTTTCATCTAGAAATTTTACACTCAAATAATTCTAACCATGGGTAAATGGAGATCAAAACACATTTCCCGGTCTACCGATGATTACAATTGGCAACTCTGAGCGATAGATAAAAACTTTCATAATCTTTCTTCAACTTTTCAGTGTTATGACAAGAAAGATTGAGGGAAGAATCCTATCAGTAATATGTAATCAAAAGCTTTTTAATTAATCTGATCAATGAATTGACATTCACCGAATTGAAGTCGAAAGAAAATTTTTTAATGTTTCCAATCGGCAATTTATCATTATTTTAGGAAAAAATATCATCATTTCGAGAAATTATGAAATTTCAAGAATAAATTAATAGATTCAGGATATTGATTGATACTGCTGACTATTGGTTAGTCTTCCTTCTCATATATGATAAGCACAAAAATAGAACGATGTTTGTCTCGGTTTTCCGGTTTTTCCCTTAGATCATCACACCATATCATCTGATCTGAATGTTTCTGTCTCAAATATTTCACTTTTATCTGCTTTGTGATATATTAGCTATTTCAACAGTTAATACTACAAAGTGCACATATTCATGCACAAGTATGCCAATAAATTAAATAACAGAATTTAATTTTTCGAAAATGTGCTCTTCACAACCAGTTTTGTGCTACTGCAGCCATCTGCACAAGAAGCCTTAATCCATTCTGCTGGCGGAACTTGTCAATGACTATTATTTCCGCCAGTTTTCTCATTTATCAACAGCAATCGATCTTTTCCCATCTTTTATTCATTCCATGGAAAATATTTACGTTGCACAAATAACAAAATTTTCTCCATCTCTTTTAGCAAATTTTCCTCAAAGACTCTTTGAGAACTAACGTAATAGAAGGAAATAGAAGTGCAAATGATAAAATATCCCTTTTTTTTTTTTTTTTTTTCCCACCTACTCTGCAAAAATATCTTGTTAATATCTTAAAATATAAAAAATTTAAAGATGTAGAGAAATATTTTTAAAATATGTCTTCTTTAAGAACAACCGAATTCGTCTAGGATACTTGATAATATTAATGATCTTGTTCTACTACTAAATCAGTGTGACCCCTTCACCTTACTACGCTTATCTTTCATCTTTCAGAGCACCGTGCTACAGCTTTGCTATCAAACCACTTTCACACTATTCCCTTCTTGGATGGGCAGTTGATTGCTTTGCAAGGAAACATAGACAGATAAGGTACTATGGATAACATCCAACTTTAGTAATACCTTTTCAAAATTTCTAAAAATTTGGGGGAGGTGGAGTTGACCTTGTCACACCATTTCACAATAGCACCATGCCTTATCCAACATGAATATTCAATTTGTCCTTAACCTCTCTCTCTCATCGTTTCATAAATTTGAGAATGGACGAGAAAGGTATTAATGAAAGAACTGTCCACAGATTCAGAAAGAGCTATCATTCATATTTAAAACCAATGCCATCACTCCGTTTACATACTAACCGCACCTTAACTCATTTAATACTAGTACATATCGATACGTTGAGGTAATTAATTACATAAATTAAATCTTGCAAAGTTCAACGTTTTCAATCATCTAAAACAATGGTTCATTAGAAGTGAAACTTTAGGTATTACATCTAGCTGAATAACTTTCTTCAGTTCAACTTACTGAAATAAATTCTAGCCTCTGTAACATGTATGAGGCACATCTCATCTGTCCATAATGTTGACAAAACGAAGCTGAAGGCTAATTTGACCAATACAGAGAATTAACTTGCAGTGAAGATGTCGTCATTCGAGTAATGCTTTAGACCATGCTAAGAGTATCATCTCAGATGCACAATATTTCGAGGTGTCATAAACTGTCCCAGATAATAAACAAAGAAAGAAGAGAATTTATGCAGCTAACAATTTAAGACTCATTTTATGACTTACTCTAAAAATACATAAGCATATATAAGTATAATTCATGCTTACAAGCAACCGTTTTAAGGTTCTTTAATGCGCTTAAAATTCCAGTGCTTTCTTCCTTCTCCGTTCCTTCGGGTTTACTATAAAAGTAAATTCATCTACTGTTAGCAGACGACACGTAAGCATCTCACCACGTTGCGTAAAGATCCAACGGCACTCCGCAACACAAGAAGACACTGAAATGAACCGTTAGCCGGTTCAAACAAGTCGATCTACTCGTCCGTATCAGTTGGGATAACTTTGTTTCAGAGATGGCCGCGATATATTCAAGCTTCATTTCCGGAAACTTTCCATTTCCGTCTTATGGATTTGTGATTTTTCGGGTGATAATGTTTGATGGGAGTAATCATGTATATTTAATTATAGATTTCATTATTTACTGATTCCTCACATTACTATTTCTTACAGTCCTATAATTCAGTTTTTTTTCTTCAGATTAAAAAGTTTTTAATATCCGAAAGTGCCAGTGGTGAAGGAAATGGTCAGTTGCTAAAGTTAGTTTAGTTTATTTCGTTTTATTGTTGATACTTCAGAAGACTTAAAATAGTTCTTTTTTCGGTTTATAAATGCTATATTAAACCGGAGCAATGGAACTATTGGATTATAATCTCGATCGAGTATCATCATCACCATATCACTTCTGTTAGATATTTTCGTCCTCACTGTGTACTTCTCTCACTTCAAGAAAGATCAATTAATTAAAATAGAAAAAAAGTTAATTGTTCTTGTCATATTTCATAATTGTCATTACGGGAGGAAGAGGAGGCGGCAGAGTTGCAGTGTATGGTATGTCTTATATCAGATTCTATAACTACAATATCATTGCTCACTTTTGCCACTTCAACATGATTGCAGAAATGATTTGCTCTAATAATGTTTGTTTACGCTATATTATTTCCTTTATACGTTGGTTACCGGTAATTTTCATTCTTGCTTTGCTTTGTTGGGCATACTTTGCATACGTCGTACAGTTATGTTTCTGTAAGTTTCCTTCATTATTTGTAAACTATAGCTCGATTTTAAAATTTAATATTTGGCAGAGCAGCTATGGATGCAGAAGGAAAAGCTTCAATCTGGTTTTACATCACTTTAAACTCTGCTTCTTAATAAGTACCACTTTAAGCAAAACTCGTTCATCTCTTGTTAAATTCTTTTGAAATGGGAATTGTAGGTTGAAGGAAACGAAAAAAAAAAGACATGTTTACGTTTTTGTTCTTAGTTTGGAATTGAATAGTGTATCACACGTACCATTATATTTTTATTGCGTTCAGTTACGGTAGAAGGAACTTTCGAACGTTCTGTGTATCTCTTTGTCTTTCATTTACTGTTGTTTATGTTTCTTTGGTCATACTATGTAACGATTTTTCGACCAGTTGGCCGACCACCCAAAATGGTATTATTTTGTTACATAATGGATTTGTGTTTATGCTGTGGAGTTCCAGAATTTGGTGATGATTATGTGAGATAACTCAAGATTGAATATTAGTTGTTCCGTTACATTGAAATTGATGATATTTCTTCATACTTAATAAATAAGTAAAAATTTTTCTCTTCGGAAGCATCGTACTTTGCAGTTTTATGTTGATTCACAAACGCGACAAGATCTCTCTAGTTTGGAGGAATCTGAATGCAGAGAAATCTTAGAACGTTACGTAAGGCAACATCAGATTCCAGTGGATAACCGTAATGGTGATGGGAGTATGATTTTTTTTTTCTTTTAAATTCAGCTTTCATTCAATGAATTGATTTTTCTTTTCCATTACTTATGCCTGTGGATGGTTTTATATGCAATTACTGAAACTATATGTATAGTTTCAGTAATTGATGTGCGGAATGATACTATTAAGTAAAGCGATGTCTAACTTCTTAGGTCTCATGAGGTCTCTTCGAAATCTGTATGTACTACCATGCGAAAGAATGCATAATTAACTTTATGGTTTTTATGCTAAATTATTTTGGCCTCATAGCAGAACTGTTTTTGTTTTTTCTTTTTAGAGAATATTTCAAAACTTTGCACAAAATTTGTCTTGCATATTTTGGCACAAACTTCAGGCATACGCTACTGTTACAAATGTAATTGCATCAAACCTGATCGATGCCACCATTGCTCTGTTTGTGGTCACTGCGTTTTGTAAGTTTTACATTATATTTCATGAATTGCAGTTATCAAACCTTTTAAATCATAATTATTATAGCAAAGAAGTTATGGTAATTACACTTTCAGGAAGTTTGATCATCACTGCCCGTGGGTGAATACGTGTATCAATTATTTCAATTATAAATTTTTCCTTCAATTTCTGTTTTACGGTCTCATTTTGTGCCTTTGGGGTATACTTACAGATTTGCAATATTTCATTGCATTCTGGAAAGTAAGTTTTGCTTCAGAATATCAAGAATATCAAGACAACAAAATTTTTGGAAATGATGTAGAGAACGACCAAACAGTTCTCCATAATTACATTCTTTCACTGATTGTAGAACGCTTTACGACTAGGTGCTGGTTTTAGCCGCTTCCACATCGTTTTTCTCTTTTTTGTGGCTGGAATGTTCGCGGCTTCTATTACCTGTCTCTTCGTATATCACGTATATTTGACGGCTCGAAATCAATCTACAATTGGTCAGTTATGAGTTTCGTTCCCGCCAATTCTTAACGTCTTCTTTGTATATATTTCTAAATCATGATACTTTTCTACAGGTTTTGGTCGTATCTGCTTGTCTTCGTTACTGCAGTAGATTCATGCTCAAAAGTACTTATAATCGAGTAAAGAGATCATTTGCAGAATGTTTCTTTTATTCAAAGCAGTTAATAGTAATTGCAGATTAAGTTGTTGGAATTATTATATCCAGTTATGGAATTATTTGAATTTTTACATTATCTTTACAGAATCATTTCGACCTCCTGTATTCATTTATGGTATTGATAAAAATGGCTTTAATCTTGGCATACGACGCAATTTCAAACAAGTTTTTGGTGACACATACCTTTTCTGGTTCCTACCTATATTTTCATCGTAAGTATTATTTCCATATCGTCATTTAGTGGATTGTGTCTTGCAAAATTTTAAACATCTTTGCCGTCAACAACTTAGTGCATTTCTTTCCACGAACAGTGATGTTAGTTGAACTTCAGTTGCGGTGATGGCGTACAATACCCGGTGGGTTCTAGGGCAAGGCAACAATCGCACAGTCTGCATTGCACGGGTAAGGTTTATAACAAATAGCCACGGTGACATACGCCATATCTCCGATTAAATGTAGGATTGCGTTCGACTTTTCACATATTGTTGCTCCGCGGCCACTATTTTGATTGGGTAAAAAGTGTTGCTATGTTTTGATGCCTAATATGATTCATTTTATATGTCCCTTCTTGCGTACCTGTTATGCTCTCTGCCGCTGAATTCATTTTGCAATGAGTTGGGAAATAAAACTTCGTTGTTTTAAGGAATGGAAGTGGTATAACTTTTCATCAAAAATACTTTCGAGCTGAACGGAAAAAGCTTCTACTTCCGGATTCAAATGATGATGACGATATAGTACGTGAAATATAAAAAACTGTTCCTCGTAGCAACCGAATTCGATGCCTCATTTCACATTCCTCACATCACTTTTACGAGGAAGAATTAGAAAGAAGGATGCGCCACACTTTGTTGTGTACTGCAACAAATATTACCTCCTGTCTTTTTTTTTCGAAGATATTACAATGCTTCACTTTAGTTATGCTATTGATAATTTGAAAAAGGAATTTCATGATATCATTCCTGTCGTTCTTTGTATAAATGCCTCTTAATCAAATCAAAATCATCTCACCAACGATCATTTGTTATAATATTAATATTGCATGGGCACAACAGTTATGAATGTTGCATGCTTAGAATTTCAGAGCTTATTCTTTAGTTTTTATTTCTGCAGTAAATTTTCACTGCAGTTTGCTCTGCAATGATCAGAGCATTAAACCTATTTTAAAGTTTACTTATGCTTCACATTAGTAAGGCATGACATAGTGATAAACTTGCTATCTCTTTAAGAAGTCTTCTATTGCCTCACTGCCGCTAAATTATTTCTATATTTCTTGAAGCAATTATTTATTTTGTGCATGTTGTTTGTAATAGATTCTTTACAATCTTTACAACTTCACTGTTTTTATATAGGTTGATTTCTGTTCAATAAAGGAAGTGGAATTGCTTTTTGACCAATCATTCAGATATTCCAAATTCTTCTTCAATGCCTTGTAAAAGCTCGTCCACTTCTTCCAGATCTTGTAGATTCTTTTGAATTTTCTGAAAACAACTTTATACTAGTGCATTTGTGAACTACGCAGACGGAACTTGAAGAGGCCGGGAACTCGCAAACCCGGACTTCATCTTTTTTAAGTGCGTTAAAATAACTTCTGTAGTGATGAAAGAAAAGACAGTTTTAAAAGGATAAAAATGGTGATTAAATTAGCACCGCAAAGAAGCATCCAAACCAAGAAAATGTAAGTAAAAATGTTTAAACACCCAAACTTTACATTTTCCTGTTCCTTTGATTCCTTTAAGAAGGTGATACTTTGAACTTGTTCCATAAGTTGGGCATCTTCATTTTTTTGTTTTGCCATTCTATTGCTGCTACCAATCTGCATCTGGTTATCCTGAAGTCGGTAAATTTCAGTATTGAATAAGTCTTGGATTTACTTAATATCTTCTGGATTCCTCTTACATAAACTGTTACTTGTTATGTTTAGAAGGTCTCAACTTACATCAATAGTAACGATCTCTTCTATGTTGGGAATACTTTCCAATGCATCAATTTTCACTGCGGGGGCAATAAGTTCATTTGCTTCGCACTGATGCGATGTTAGCACATTTAAGCTTATAAGTTCGCTAAATCCATTTATCTGCTGCCTATTCGACCTAAAAAATTTCCATTACACTCTCAATATATATTAAGTAAGCATCAACCAAGAATATTATATAAGATGCAGGAGAGACCTTTTCAAGTTATCATCAGTGATAACCGAATATATCAGCTCTGATACATCAACAGCTCGTTGTATTGCTCGATCAACACATTGCACAATCTGTAACTTATTTAAAAATCTATTTAAGTTTGTACTGTTCAACTTGGGTTTTTATTAGCACTAATTAACCACGTTGAGACAAGAATCAGCTAGTGAACGATATTGACTTACCAACTGTTCACTAAGCAGAAGCTTTCCTGATTGATGCAATGCGCAAATTTCATGTCTTTTATTTGTAGCTACAATAAGCGACCCTCCTAGACACTGCTCTTCTTTATCAGTTGGATCAATTATATTTTGGCTGAAATGAATTACAACAAGAGAAACAGAAACGAAATAAGGGGAACAGAAAGTAATCTACAAGGAAGTTAAAACCAACTTAAATAGTTAAGGATGCTTACCCGTCTGAAGTGATTCCAAATGTTACACAAATAGGAATGTGATAGATATTGAGCGGTATAGGTATTTTCTCGTCATTACTGTGCTGAAAATAGCAGAATAAATCTTTTTATCATTTCTCTTTCATATTTCAAAGTGCGGGAAAAACAAGACAGTTTGCGATGTTTTTATTAAAAACGTTAATCCGTATGATAAGAAATAGATAGTTACAATGATGATGGAATCAGGAAGCACAGAGACGTCAGGCCTTCGAAAATGGGCAAGAGCAGTTGAGGATGCGATGCATGCACAGTCCACTAACGACCCATCTGAAGCCAATACATGAACATCAATGCGTATCTGCCAGACCTAAAAATAGACATGATCCAAGAAAAATGTACTGTCAAAACAATTTCACATTATCCATTGTTCTGTAAAAATCTTAACACACAATTTCAGTATGTCAAAAAATGCACTAAACAGCTAAGTACCTGCTTAAATGTCCTTAAGCATAGCGATTCGAGATCAACGACACCGCAGTCACGGTATAACAATTCAAGAATCCGCATTAGCTCAAGGCCTTTTGAGTTGAGACGGCCATCTTCATAGTCAGGAGAAGCCATGGGTGACATATCCACCTGCACTTCAATCGTACCCATATTACCTCTAGTGGTTGAAGGTTCTACAAGTGAGCAACTCACCTGTGCTGAAACTCTAGAAAAAAAAAATACTAGTAAATTTACTAACAAAACTGTTGTTACAATATATCCGAGAAGCCTCTTTGTAGATGATGTCACTCTCTCCATTATTATCTTTAGCATGTTTAGATGAACGAGCTTACTTCGTCTCCCCAAGCATAACAAGACAACTGCCAAGCTCAGAGCCAACAATAACTTTCACTTCTCGAAATTCATCACATTTACGCCCATCGACTCGCTGTAATCAAAGGCAGAGTCAAAACTTCACGCAAACGCTAACGTATCATCCAATATTCTTTAAATCATCACTATGTTGTGTTCTTATGGAAATTTGTTTATACAGTACATTTATTCATGCCAATGTTTCATATAAATGGATTTCAGCTGAAAGGAACATTTACCTCTAATGATAACCATTGAATCGTTATCAACAATCTCTAAGACTTACCACATTTTGTTTAAATGAGTTCAGAAAGAACGCCCTCTCACAATTCGAAAGCAGTTCAACCCGCATCCAAAATATAATTGACTCTATTGGATATTTATACCTGAAGCTTTCATTTTCATTTGTTTCTCGCATTAATATCAAATAATTCCGGAATCGCAGCAACAAAATTTTTGTTTCCACATAACTGATAACAAAGCATCAATTGTTGTTGTTAATATCTAGGAATTATTCAGTGTATGTCTATAGAAGAAAAAGGTATTTCGACATTACATTTAAAGCAACACACGGTAAGGTGATCAGATGACTTATATTTATTGAATAACTGCAGAACGAGATAAAAAGCCAGGAACAATAGATAAAAACAAATTACCTGTGAAATGTTTATATATACAAAAGAACCACTGATCTCAACTACACCAGTGATTGAAGATTCAAATTTTTATTGATGAGGCTAAATACAAAAATGGCATAAAAACACGACACACTTTTATTTTTTAGTATTCACATTATTCATTTGAACCTGAGAACAATACACATTTATTTTCTTCTGCAAATTGTCGACAATAGCATTTCTAGCTCGATATTTCTCGGGTAATACTCCCTCTATCACTTCCATCTAAATTAAAATTAAAAAACTCTGATAGTACATTCTCCGCACCTTTAGCTAACATAGTTCTAGAAATAACAAAAGCGGAAATTTGGAATTGCGCGTACAACAGAAAATCCAAATTCTAAGCAGTTGCACAGTAGTTCGCTGCATCTCTTCAGTAGCGTTAAGTTTCTGAGATATATGAATGGAACGTTACTTTCCTACAATCTTCGTGACGAACTACTGAGAAAACAAAAGACATTCTCAAACTCATAAAAATTTACCTGCTTCTTCAAGAAACCTTGCTTCCGGCGGAAGAAATCCACCGCCTTTTCTGTGTCCATTTCCACAAAATATCCTGTACCTATTTCAATCAAATGATTCTTTGGATCAACTACTTTTGCAGGAATATACATCTGAAAATCTCAAAGCTATGGCATTACACTGAAGATCGGCATTTGCACTCAAGAAGGATATGATCAAAATGTAACAAAAAATTGGGAATGTTTATATCAGACATCATTAAGGTTATGGAAATGAAAAAATACTTGCCGACTCTGTTAATGGCACCAAAATTTCTCCATCACTAGGAACTTTTGCTGCATTTATCACTGATTCTTCGCTTGCGATAAACTTCGACTCGAAAATCTTCAGTCCCTAAAATCAATATAAATAAAATTGCATGCCAAATCGCAAAATTACCTCAGAGTTACAAGAAAGCATCGACCATTAATTAATTCTAATAATGATTTCCGATGTGAATAAGATGTCAGCTGCTATCAAATAAGCGTCACCTATCACCACTATTTTGAAATAATAAGAGAATTTTCTTCTTTCCCAATATTATCGAAACTTACCTATTCAAAACATTTCTGCATAAGTTGAGAGTAATGAAGATATGTTATAACACGGTATGCAATATAGAAGTATTCGTTACGCCTAATTAAGAAATGAAGCAAAATATCAAAGTAGCAACCTTTAAAGATTCGGTGAGGAAAGCAATTTCCTGATCAAGTTGTCGCTGAAAATGAGTAAGCTGATCGACACCTAAATCAGCAATTGCAATAGCTTGTTTCTCATTGGATACTTCCATCTCTGCAAACCAAGGAAAACTAAATCTTAATAAAATCTGTAAAATGGAAAATCTTAATAAAAACCTAAAATAAGATTTGCTAGCAAAGCCACAATTGTATGCTAATTCTTAAAATAACTCTTTCTAATTACCAGTTCCAATATTAAAAGTTTATAACTCCGCAGCTCAACCAACTAAACCCTTAAATCGTTCAGTGAATGATCCGATCCAAATAATAAAAACCTAAAATAAATTTAAAATTTTTTTCAGTATATATGGAAATTAGGGATGTTGAAACACTCTCGCTCCCTGTTGCCAGCATTTTCTGAAACTATTTCGCATTTCTCTCAATCTCCAATCTCTCACTCCTTCTTGCACGATACTTCTCCACATTTCATTCATGTCCGAGACACACACACACACACATATACACACATACACACACACACACACACACACACACACACACACACACACACACACACACATACGCACACGGTAGGGAATCGAATTGTCCCCACCGCTTTTATTCACGTTTCTCGGAAGTTCCTCGACACGGACGTGTCGCATGGTCGTTACATGCGACAAACCTTGCTATCCGGGAAGGATTATTGGGTTTGCTCGTTGTGCACGTGGTTAGCAATGCTAGGAGGAAAGATGGGAGAGGCCTGTGTCACGCACACCGTTAATTCTACTGCAGCACACGCTGCAGATTCAGTCGACGTGACGTTACATGCTTTGCGTTGCATATACATACTGGGTAGACGGCAATATTTGGTAGCTTAACGTATATATTTATTATATTTGATGTGCCACACTTATCATCTGCACAGATGTACAAATTGAAAAAGATAAACAAACTCCATTCCAGAATCATGACAGTAACGCCACCACAGTCAGGTTTGGCAGTTGCAGTTGCTCTTTGGGGTAAAAAGCCGCCGGAACATCGAATTAACTGCTTGCAGTGTTTTAAAGATGGCGCAGTTATTATTACAGGTAAAAGTAGTGAATAAATTTAATCAACAGTACATCATCAGTCAGAGTTGTAAATATTCAGATGGACCACCCTGACTGTCTGAAAATTAGTAATGCGGAAACATGCACATTTCAGGAGCTAATGATGGTACCTTAATATTATGGGAAAAGTATGACGGGAATTTGCAGGCCCAGATGATGTTACTTGGACATGAAGCTCCGATTACAGCTATATCAGCAACAGATACTACACGAAATTTGACGTAATATTTTTAAAGACTTTGTTGGAAAATGAAAGAGCCTTTTTCGCCTTAAAATCAATGCATGATTCGCCTTGTGTTATCTTTTTTTAAAAAATATTTAGGATCTATTCTGCATAATGCAGTAATCATTTTCAGGAGATTCGTGAGTGCTTCTGCAGATGGTCAGTTGACGTTGTGGGATAGCGCAGATGGGCGTAGCATTGATAGTACCTTCATGGCTCATGTGCATCGACAAATTGTTCCCTATGTAAGTTAGTATTTCTTCGAGAATTTTTAAGTTAGAGCTTTCTTCAGTTCCTCATCCTGAGCCGATCATTCTTTCTTTAAGCTGAAGATCTTTTCCATTTATCTAATAGTGTAACTGCAGACATTATGTCTAGATATTTCAGCGTACAACCAATGGTTCGCTCAGTTTATGCGGGTTGTATTGCATAGGAGATTACGCAGAAGTGGTGGTGATTGATCCACAGGACATGAATATACTTTTTACTCTGAATTCACGAGTAGAGCCAGATTGGATAGCTGCATTTACTTTCGTCAGTCATTCAAACAAACAAGGTATGAATGTTTTCAAAATATACCACTTCATTCAGTGAGGATTATTCCAGCTTTCAAAGCATTGCTTTCTCTGTGTTGTAAGGTGTGATCATTCATCAGAGAGCGCTATACGAACTATACACTACTTATTTTATAGAATTATCTACTTCGTATCCCTACTAAATCCATGCTTATTTAATTAGAATTATTAGTGTAAAAATGACAATGTTATTCAGAAAGTTCGTTAAAATTCTTTGGAAAGTTCTAAAAGATACTCGATAAGCCACTCTATCCATGAATGCTATCCTTTTGTTCTAAGGTTTAGCTGTTTTCATGATCACTTTGTAATGAAATAAAAGCGTAGAGCGAGTTTTATGATTTTGTTGTAAAATTCTTACTAAATTAATACCAAAAGAAAACTACTGATGGCTAATTTCAAATGCAGACAGAGGGTATGTTGCTCTAATTTTATGCACTAGATGGATAATCCATGATTTTTTCTCATGACTGAGTAACAGGAGGAATGTTGAGCAATAAAGGACATCAATTGCATTCATAACAGCATTTTTCCAATTTAATTCATTTTAGATGCAATACTAGGTGTGACGACATGTGGCATGATGAAAGTTTGGTTACTGCTCGACTTAGATAAAAGGGTTGGCTTACTAACCTTTAATTACCAGTATAAAAAAAAATTATTAAGTTGAGGTTCATTGTATAAATCATTTGTCCTTGCAAAGTCTTGAGTTGTGACCATCTGGTTTGAAAATCTCTTTATTAGTTGAAAATCTTCCCACTTTTGTATTTAACTAATAAAAACTGCACTTAATCCAGCGAATAGACAATTGCAGGAACTGCCTATTTATGAAACAGAATCGAGAAACATTGAGATGAATGAAGTTTGTTCTATGTCTTGGCATCCATCTGCACCTCTCATATTTCTGGTATTTAATTCTGGTTCATGGCAGGTGCGTTATTACAGTATTTGATTTGAAATGAAAGAAGTAATATGAGTGGCGAAATCCAATCAAAGATATTACTACACGAGATGAGCAACAATGCTGAAGGAGCAGCAACAGATATTTTTTTAGGTAAATCGGAAAGGTTATGTCGTGTTGGTAGATAGGGTTAGAAGATCTTCGTTATTGACATATTATTTCAATATTTCTTTCAGTTCTCCATCTTCACTATATTATTTGTTTGTAATTTATATAGTCGCACTCATATAATTTTTTAGATATTTCAATTGGCTGATCTTAATCGTTTGGTAGTTTATTTTTCGGAAGAGCATATTTGTGACGGGAAATTATTATCTGGTGAGCGATCTGCAATAGCTTATGCAGATGGCTCCATATATATCTATCAGCTTCCTCACTCGTAAGTTTTCCGTTGATAACAAAGTTATGACATCATGTATGAAATTACTAGATAATCTCAAATTTGTTTTTCTTTGATTTAGGTTGCTTCTTTGTGGTAGTGATAAAGAAAGTAAAATGGAAAAACTTAACGACCCATTACTGCTGATGATTTTGCAAAACAAATCAACTAATAATCTGGTTGGTGATCTTTTTTCAAACGATCAATAAATATGTTATGAAGTACTTTGAATATAAATTATAAATTTGCATAACTACCTACAAATTCCATCCTTTTTTTGTTTGTTGATATGACCACGCTATAATGCATTAAACTTATGATTTTGATTTTTATTGATAAATTTTTTAAAAATATTTTCAGCGATCTGCATATATAGTATTTTGCATCTCGGCTCATCTTATATGCCGAGCTGATATTGAGAGCAATATAGCTGTATGGGAATTTAATGAAGTTTTACCACTACAATCGGAACATAAAGTGGTATTCGAACAGCCGAAGCTAGAAACAAACATGAAATGCCAGTGGAATAGCTTGAAAAATTCACCACCATCCATATATGATAATGAAGTATGCGAAGCTACAAATTATTACTAATTTTGGTAATGGCGAACGTATAATAACTTGCTAAGCTGCTATGGTTTAGGATGGTTGTGAAGTTACAGCTACTAAATATATTAGTAGCCAAGGACGGCTTCTTATTGGACGTGGCGATGGGACTATAATCCTTATGTACGGTTGCGATGCTATTTCAAAACAACTGTTGACCAAAAGTGAAGGTTACCATTTTCTACTATTTATTAAATAAAGTGTTCTTTATATTTTGGAAATATTCAATTTCACTGACAATAAAACTATGTTATAGAGCTTAATTATCGGCATTTATACGGCCATACTGCTGCTATAACGTGCTTTCTGTATCCACATGAAGAACATTCGCGATATGACCAGCAGATATTGCTATCTGGATCCAGCGATTTTTCTGTCATAACATGGAATTTAAATACTGGCTCAAGATTGTACCGATTTTGTGCCCAAGGTGGTCCAATTCTGCGTATGCTTATTCCTCCGGAAACATGCAATGTATGTTCTGAGCTTTTTGCATGTTTATATGTTTTATAGCATGGAAATTCATACATTTCCAAGCCAATATTTCAGCCAAGAATTCTCCATACGATTTGTTCAATAGCTGGAGATAATTCAGCTGCGCTTTTATCTCTAAAAGAAAATAAATGCCTTCTCTTGGCAAGCCGACAGTTATTTGCAATAGTGGAGGTAAAATGGCGACCGCTGGATAATTTCCTGCTTTTAAAATGCGAAGATGAAACAGTTTATGTGTGGCAGATGGATACCGGTGTGTTTCATATCTTGTTGTTAGATGAGAACGATACTGACTGTTGATTTAGGTTGTCTGCAGTACCTCATCCCATCCTTGATTATCTTGTATTTTACTTGTTCTGTTACAAAAGGTTTTCTTTTGCATAAATGTAAAAACTCATCAGAAGAGGTTGTATTTATTAAAAGACTAAGTCTGCAATAAGTATGAGTTCTAGGTTTACATATGTTTCTATTAACGAGCATACAAATAAACCACAGTGAATTTTCTATTATTGGGTGTGAGAATAAATCACTGCGAATCTTTTTTTTTTTTTTTCAATAATTTTTTCACTAAATAATAGCATCCAAAAAGTTGTAAATGTAAGCATTAAAAAAGTTATGGTTATGTGTACTTTAATATTTTTATGGGATACATATATTTTTTTTTCAGCCAAATATTTCTAAATATTAGGTTAAATAAGTATTGTTTCACTACCTTTCAGGAAGTTTGGAAAGAGTTGTTAATGGACAAATATCGGAAGAAATTCTGGCGGCGTGCAATGAACAAATTGGCGTAGCGGAGATAGATGATGAAGCTGGCGCTTCTCAAGCCATCCAAATGCTTCGTGCTTTGAAAAACAAGAACATACTTGTGGTATATTTCCTTTCAGCTTCAAGATTTGACTTAATTTATGAAACATAATACCAAATTAATTTATCTAAAGCATTCAGGTAGTTGTGATTATGAATTTGTTAATGTTAGGTTTTTTTCAGCAAGATTTATGTTCAATACAAGAATTTCAGATGAAACAAATTGCAACTGGCAATCGGGATGGAAAGGTTACAAATACAGCTGAGAAAGTTCTCGAGCTGCCACCCCCAATGAACATTCAAGCTATGACTAAAGCATCTAGTTCACCACATCTTGTATTTTTCAACGTTGATTCTTTGATCGGTATTTTTTTTTTCCACATCTTTAATTTTACAACAAATTTTACCATCATATATTAAATTTTCAATCTTTTATCAATATGTATGTGCTATAACTAATTATAATTTCAGCCGGCCTCCTAGTACTTGAGAATGAACTGTCATCAGGTGAGAGTATAGAAAATAAGTCGCTGTCGACAATACTGATGGGTAAACAACAGCCAGATTCTCGTACATCAGTACCAAAAATTGCATGGCAGACAGGATCCAATCTTTATTTGGATGTTACAAAGCTCTGTATGAGCTTATTGTACGCCTGGAATCTTGATGCTGATTTGGATGAAATTTGCTTGAAAAAATTGCGCCTTGTAAAACCTTCAGTACCGTTAAGTTTTGGTGTTGAATCGCGACAGGGTTTGTTATTTTATTTTGTTTGAAATTGTTATGATCTTTTGATTATTTTAGAATATACTCTTTATCATCTGTTCAAATGCTAAATTCCACATCTTGCTAGTTAAGAGATTATGAAGCAGTGTTCCACTCCCACACTTCTGTATGTTTCATTTTATCATTCAGAATGATTGTCTGTTCTACATTTAAACTCGATATACATTTATTTACCTATTATTATTCATTTTAGCAGATTATTCATTTCAGGACATCTAGTGGTATACATGCCTACAGGGAAATTGAATAATGGCACTTCATTTGATAATTTTGCAAGTGTTGTTCGATGGACAACCGGTAGTTCTTTAACAACAGCGCATCTATTATCCGTTATTGCTCTCGCGAATACTTTGATGTCATTACATGGCGCTTCTTTTGCTAAGAGGGATATTCTTATGAGGTTACCAACAATCATTCTAAATTTCATTTTTTTCTGCTCCTAATGAAGGTATTTTCTAGTGTTGATAGTACTCCAGTTATTTTGCTTAATGTGAAATTATAATCAAAATTATATCATTTCGAATTTCGATTTAGAAAGAATTTTATTGTCAGTTTATATTAATATGTTTGACTACTGATTTTTGTTCCTGTGATTTTCAGAAATTCTTCATTACGTTCTTCTGGTACCGAGTCTCATGAGAACGATTTGCAACTGAAACAAGGCTGGTCATTAATTGCTGCGCTACACTGTTGTCTGTTGCCCGATCTAATCAAACCGAAGAATATATATTGTCCACCCAGAATAGAATTACTAGCAAAAAGGTATTTTTTCTGTTTTTGTAGTTTTGTTCCTTCGAACTTCATTTAGAATCTTATACTTAAGATATCTTTGGTAATTGTTTAAGACATCCCTATTAACTACTGAAATTATATATGCTCTGTAAAAAGAAAATTAAGCTATCAATAATATTTTATGAACTAACTTGGCTGTCACTGATGAATTTCAGGTGGCAAGACCGTTGTCTAGAAGTGAGAATGGCCGCTCAGGCTCTGCTGACTAGAGAATTAACTCGCCTAAGTGTCAATGGTCGAAAACGTTTAGTAGAATCATGGTCTGCCTTTCTTCCAACCCTCCTGGATCCTACTCTCTCAATTTTTGGTAATCGAGCTTTAATAGCATCTATGAATACAGCTCTTGGAACGGCCAATGCTCCTCAACCACCTCCAATTCCTTATCGCAAGGGCGAAAAAGCTCTCCCAGATCCAACTGTCAATGGTGAGATTAATTTAAATGAGAAATGTCAAGTTTTCCACATTGAATTGCCAACAGTCATTTCAACAAATTACTATTTTGTGTTGATATTATTCGTTCTTTTGAATTAAATTTTTTAATTGTTTTCTTATGCTTTCTATAGTCTTTAATTGCTTATAACTGATCAAACTTTGTAAGAAAAAGATTTCAATCATGCCGTATTAACAAATGTTGATGTGTCATCATTTTCAGTAGATGTTAGATTGTCAAAAGAAGCTGGTGTACATCAAATTCGACGAAATCAAGCAACATCATTAATATTGCTTGGCGTGATCGGTTCCGAGTTTCCGGACGAAATGAGTAAGGTTAGTTTTAAAGATGATCCGTCTATAATAAGATTTCTGATGAGAAGTGTCATTATTATCACTAATAAGCTTCGTGTATAGGATATTATCATTAATAAGATTGATAACAATTGAAGATCATTTGTTTTTGAATTTATAGTTGGATATTTCACGAGCTACTGCACAATCCCTATTAGAACTTCTTATTGCTCCACCAACAACACTATTACCATATCATTCACCACTTCGTCGTGCCGCCGTAGATTTGATCGGACGAGGCTTCAGTGTCTGGCAGCCTCATTTGGATATCACTAAGCTTTTGCTGATCCTTTTGGAATTGGCTACTAGCACCGATAAGCAACCTGTGTAACTCTTTGTTATTAATCTATTATGATACACTAATATTTCTTTGCTTCTTATTTGCTGCATAAGTATGAATACAATTCTGACTGAATCGAATTCAGAGAATTTGCAGAGAAACTACAGCAGCTATTTTAACTCCATCAGCGGATGTTTGTCATACAGCGCGTCATGCATTAAGTTTAATTGCTACATCGCGGCCACCGGCAGTAATCACGGCATTAAGTAAAGAAGTTGGTTATGTCACTGACACGAAAAATTTCTTCGTATTAATTAATTTTGTTATTTATAGTAATTTATTTACCTAATAATGATAATAATTCACTTATATTATTGGTTATTATATTGTTATTATTATTTTATCTTTAAATTATTGCTGATGTTAAAAGCTTCTTAAGCAGTTATAATGCTATTATACGTTTAACGCCTCAATGAAATATTCTTTATGTTGTATTTTTATTGCTTTCATTGTATGTTGTGTTTCAGGTAGCCCGTTATAATAGTGTTGCACAGCACCAAACTATTCAGCATTCGACTAGCAGTCCACTGTTAAAATGCCGAACAGAGGTGCTGAGGATCATGGAATTACTCTCGGAAAAGGAATACACGAACGTGGCGGATTTGATGATCCCGGTATATATATATTCGAATTACAGCTGTGATATTGAATATATTGAAGTTTTCTATTTTGGCTTTTCTTGCTTATAAGTAACGGTTTTAGGTGGGTGATATACTTGTTCACTGTTTAGATGCTTCGTTGCTTAAGCATAAATCACTGTCAGAAATTTTTCCACCAATTACAAGGTATGCTTTCTTCGTGATCACATTTGTTAATTTCTATGGTTTATACACTTCTATGCACTATTTATAGGGTCTTTTCTGGACTATGTTAAAACATTAACAAACTAAAAAAAGACAATAATCGTTCTTTTTTTTTTTTGGTTTTACATGGTTGCATACTGTCCGAATACTCGGCGCATCGCGTTTGGTGGGCGAAATGGCACGGTAGTCGTTCATGAATTAAGAGCTGCCAAGGCACAGGTTTGCTTTTTTTTTTCTTTTTTTTTTTTTTTCTGACACATAAGCCTACTCCAGTTGAATAAATTACATCTCCTTTATATTAAAAAGATTAGCAAATTTTGGCAGAGGTTTTCGAAAAAAGAGATTTTGATAGTAGGATGATTCATGTTTGATATGGAATAGAACTCTTTCAATTGATATGATATTAGCATATCATAAAAGATATGATATTAGCTACTTATAGATGTTAATAAATTTCAGACACTGCAGGCGCATAAGGGTGCTGTTACAGCAGTGGCATTTTCGGAAGATGGAAAATTTCTAGCAACTTATGGGGCAGAAGAAGCTAAATTATCATTTTGGCAAACGTCACAGACATTCCTAGTCAGTCTTTTCTCTTTAATAAGGTAGAGCTTAGGAAACAACTCATTGTTTGTTTATTGGACACAAAATAAAAGTATTCTAAAATTTTACAAACTCATACATTATCTGCTAGCTTCAATTGCACAGGTGCTTACAGGGCATGGGTCAGAGTCAATTGAAATGTGTCAAGTCACATTCAGCACCTGGAATTTTCCCAGTTCTCTCTCCTAGTGGCACGATTCAACCCTTCAAAGCTCGTTTAGTATGGATCTCTCTTAAATCGGTCACTTTGATGCTTCCAAATAGCAAAGAGTTTAGGTTCGCTTTCTAGAAGTAATACTTTGGAAGCATTTTTTTAAATGTGATTTGGTTTCCAAGTGAGATTGTCATTTTGAAATTTAAGGTTTTTTTTTTTTGGACATGATTGCTATATTTTCGACTTATGATTTTTGTCCAAAGGTATTTTGCGGAAATTTGCTACGTATAGGAAAAGCTAGAAGTGTCTTAGATGTTTTTTAAAATGACCAATTCTATTAACTTGGTTGTATATTATCTAAATGCAGTTCTTGTTCATTCATTCATACTTTTAAACATACTCTTGTACATAGATGTTATTGTGTCCTCGTTTTAGGAAGTGTTAATTAAATCTATTGCCAGTTCGATAAGTATGTAGTAATGGTAGGATGATTGTATAGCTGATATCTGCTATCACGTATGGACCTGAAATAAACGTATATGGTATAGTGTCGCATACGTGTCACAAGACACCATCTAAATGCATGCATTCTAGTCGTAAGCAACATCCTATTCTGCTTTTTAATTTGTACTTGGTTAATGGTTATTCGGTAGGTTAATGCTAAGCATTTACTCATCTGCATTACGGTTGACCTTGCTTGACAGCAGTATTCATTTGTGAGCGATTCAGATTTGGAAATTTCTATTAATCATTTCACTTGTTCAAAAAAACTAACCTTTTATCAAATAATTAACTCCAGTTCAATACATTCATTCAGGTTCATATTTATTATACTGGTCACAACTGAATTATTTTCTTCCAAGCATACTCTGTGATCTGTTTACTTTTCATTAGTAGCTAATGAATGAGTGCACTGCACATTGTCGTCATATTATGTGCAAATGTGGTCTTTGTGTGTTATTGCTCTAGTATTTCTATTGTAATAGATAGATCATAACAGAGTTGTTAAAGCTAATAAACATAGTTGAATTGAGGAAGAAGTTTGTCTTCTCGAACCTATTCAGAAAGAAAGTGCTTTTGACAGATAGCAAAATGGCTGAGTCAAAGTGGGATCAAGGTGATCACTAACGACATCAGTTAAAGTTATTAATGAATTATACTCTCAGAAATCTTTGGTTTTAGGATAGCATAAGTCACTTTACAAAAATACCAGGAAGAATTGCGCTTTTGCATTCCTACTAAATTAACTAGGGATCTGAGTTACTGAACTGTCCTGTTTGGACATAACCATGTATTGGCGATCCTTGGATACGTAGTGAAAGAGTATATGCCGTTCATCTGTCTACCACACCTAAATCTAATTCATTATGATTGTCTTTTATGGCCAAGTAAACGAACGATTTATTAATCACAGCGATGAGCAAAAGTATTTCTAGAATGAACAAGAAATGATTGACATGTAAGAATAATAAATAACAGTATAAACTTATAATAGCATACAAATCGAGTGAATAAAGAAGGTACACATATGTAGTATGTGTAACTCATTTGTACTAGGCAGTAGTACTCATGCAACTATTCAAATCAAAACTTTGCTACACGCTTCATTAAAAATTATTGACATCCCCATCCTACTTCCGATACTTAAAAAAAAAAAAAAAACATTTTAAAAGTTATACATTAAGAACAAAAATGTGTGTGTGTGTATGTGTCTGCTAAGCCACTGCAGTCAATGCTACGTTGTCAATACCACAATCACAAATTTAAATGAATGAACCGTTTAGCAAACCAAGACGAAAGTAGATCACATATCTTTAACAACATATCACAATATCAGATTGGAACAAGTAACTATAATAACATAAACGATGATGAAATAATTAACCAATAATTTATTTCCCCTTTTAGAGATAAAACTAACATAGACGAGACTCAGTGAGTGCAGCTAAAAGAACAGAAATGAATATTTTTATCTCTAAAAAAACTGACAGAGAGAAAAAAGAAAGTAAAGTGATGATGAAGATCCCTAGTTTCCCCAATCATCGTACTGAATAACGATGACGATACTCATAATGCCATTTATTGAAGTCAATATTGAAAACAATAATAGCGCCGGAATCGAGTCCTGCCAATACAAATCGCTGATTTGAAGATAGAGCTATGCTTCGAACTGCACTGTCTGCTTGCTAAAATCAGACTTGAAGTCACAAAAATTGAAACTGAGTTTTGCTAAAAATGCAAGTGTAGGTATTCAAATCAGCTTCTAACATTTTTAAAAAATACTAATTAACCTGGAATGTATAGAGAAGTTGCATAGGAAAAAGTCGTAGGACTGCAACACGTCCATCCTTTGTTCCAACAACAACATATTCTCCATCGCGTGATAATGCTCCACATAAAATTCTTTCGGGAACTCTGTAAATTAATTTTTGTTGCATCTAGTATTGAAAGAAAGCTACTTTTTCATTCTAAACTGAATGCTTAATTTCGCAATGCACTGCAATACTATGACAGTAGCAAAATTGAAATACCAACAAATCTGTTGCTTGGAATAGAAGATACCTCATATGGGCAATGAATAAACAAGCCTTATTATTACTTCTTCTTCATTAGAAAGGTAAAAATGCACTGAAAAACCTGAAACAGCTTAATTCTCGTCCACTCGTAGTAAAGGTAACTAAATTGTGACGTCCATGCAGCACCAACAAAATGCATTCTCGTGACACTAACAACAAATTCACTTCCTTATCTGGGAAACTATGCAAATTTTCGGATTCTAACCGCCTTAACAAATCACCCATCGTAGTATGAATAAGAACAGTTCCATCTGCAAATAGTGTTTAAGCTTTCACATTACTCATAATCAATTTTTCTGGATGAATTCTGAATAATCCACATTTTCAATTAGAAAAATCAAAGGAATGCGATGAATTAAAATTTAAATTAAGGTCTAGTCGACCTACAAACTGTACTTACCTTGAGATGCAGAAATAACGACACCATGTTCAGCTGATACACAAATCATCGTCACGATAGTTTCATGACCAGTCAGTATAGCACGAGGTGTTGCTGCTTCTCCTAAATAAACCAGTTATCACTCAAAATTAAGTTTCATATGAATTAATGGATGATTTTTTAGCTTCTAATTCGACGACTTCATTTTTCGTTCTTGAATTGCTTTTCATACTACGACCGTCAAAACTAATGGACAAAATAACCATCGCCATGAAAGTGCAAAATGATACAAATTCTACTGAATCATATTCCTTTACAAAGAACAAAATGGTTTTAAAAAAATCAAATTTATTTAAAATTCAAACACAGAAATACTCACCTACAACATTATATTCCCCAGCGATCGATTGTGTTTGCGCATTCCAGTGCCATAATACTACCGTACAATCCAAACTACCAGAAGCAATATAGCAATCAGCGAATAGGTTAGCTTCAGAACGCGCTAGACAAGTAACCACATCACAATGACCGTAAATTACTTGTCGCACTTTTGCTGAAACAGTCAGAATTATATAAATTAATATTTGAACTGATAATATAATTATCCACAATGTTTCAGATTTTAGAGAAGAGAATCAAATGAAGGAAGCACGTATAACTGAATCTGATATGAATTTCTAAAAACCTAAATAAAATGAACATAAATGCAATAGGATACAGTCCAGCAAACTATACCGGTGTCTGTGTCAATAACACGAAAGCTGTAATCCGGATAACCGCAAGCTATTATTGAACGACTTTCAACAGTTGTTACAAAATTATTCCATCGAATTTTTAGACGTTGATCGAATGGTTCACCCAAGTGTCGACGAGGCAATGGTTGGGATGGATTACCTGAAATAAGGATTCAGTTACTTTCAACAAAACTTTAACATATATTATCACTACAGTGGCCAGTGTAGAGTTGCAATAGCTATAATGGATATCTGAGAAAAATGATGTTAACATATTAGCTAACAGAAAAGATGTGGTAGTTAAAAGCAAAAAGTCTTATTGGCTTTTAATCATGCAGAACTACTGGAAACTTCTTTGTTAGGCAAGCAAGGCATGCCTATGCTGCATTGCATAATCAGACAGAGCTCGTGATTTCACAATAAATAATTTTTAAATCTGAAACGAACCTGCGGCTAAAAGTGGATCAACCGTTAAAGGAAGATTTGAAATTGTATTACCCATCGAATCAGCGTTATTTTCATTATTCTGGTTGCCAATGCTAGTAGATATCGAAGGAACTGATGGTCCTTTAAAAAAGCTTTAGCTATATTAAAAGTTCAAAATGGGACAATCATTACAACTTCAATTATTGAATATAAAATGTTACTTTTGTAGAATTCATTGCTGCAACTCAATATCATGTTTTTCGACGAGATAATAGATCTTGGGGTGATATTAATGAGATGATAGAATGACTGCATACTGAGTTCTTCACAACTTTTATAGAATCATTAACCTGTATAATTTGTATTCCAACGATTCAATGCGAAGATCAAATTATTTGTTATCGAAACAACCGTAGGATGTGCCAACTGCGCAAAAGTGTTCGCACTAATGTGAACCACTGAACTATTTGATATAAACTTCATCAACATGCATAAATCATCGCGACAGGACTGGAACATCATTGGACTCTGAAATGTGATTGACAATGTCAAAAACACACCGACAACAAACTGTCAATTCATCATCATCATCAACATCACAGAAACAGACAAAGCGACTTACGATAGTCATAATGGAATGACGAGGTGGATGAGGTTCAGTCATGAGTTGAGCCGGAGTTTGTCCAAAAGATATCATCTGCTGTTCTAGACCTTCACGCATGGATGCATTATCAACAGAGTTTAAATCTAGCGCTCCCTCATAGGTAAGATAGTAGAAGACATTTGTAGCACGAACCTGAAAACCTCCCATTAATAAGTTTTTCTTTTACTTCAATCCCTTCATTTCCTAAGAATAGCAAACTTTTTAGGTATATCCCTGAAGAATATCTGAAGAAAGAAAGTAGGAATCATTCTTAAACAATCATTCGATAAATCGATTACAGTACCTCTTACTTGCTGCAAAATTAATATCTCTATTCTATTTCAGCGCACATAAGAAGAAATTACTATTAAATTAGTCAAACTGAAACAAATTTTAGATACTCCTAAATAATTGTTATCTCCCTTAAATCGCACAATAAGTCTCTCATTTCCTACTTAACTCGAGCTCCCTGCAGAGAAACTTACCGCTTCGGGGCCTTTTTGCTTGTAACCAAAAATAAGATCGATCCATTGATTCATTTGACATGAGACAAGATCTGACTCAAGTGCTTGTCGATGTAACGCAATAAAATGCTCGGCACTTTTTGCCCATGCTGGTAATATGATGTCACTAACTGCAGATCCATCATCACGTTTTCCTAAGTCATATCCATTCGTATTTAACAACATTTCTGGCATGTAATATAGTTCCGGTATTAATTCCTATAATTATAAAAGTTTAAAGATTCTTCGCAAATGAAATAGATAAACACAATGAATTAGTGCAGTTAACATTGAAATATGGAAAGGTATGCGGTAAGCGAAACTCTATGATGATTCCTTTTGCAACAACTTTGATAAGACATATGCCAATTCGCAATTCTATCGATCTTCTACTTTAACAGTACCATTGTCATTTTCTTTCGTAATGTAATGTTTAAAAGCATTTCATAGGAAAATTAAACAGACTTGGCAGAATTTGGATAGCACACACACACACACACCTTAACATCATGTGAATCACGCTGACAACTTTCCCAAGCTTCGGCTATGCTATGAAAGAGGCGGTTTGAATGATCGAATTTACCGCTTTGCATATGCAAGAATATTGTCGTAAATGGTTCCTGAAAAAATTTTTGAACTTTGGAAAATTGTAGAAATATAAAATTATATAAACTCAGCAGTATAATAAAGGTCGTGAAGGAAAAATATGTGATGGGTACTCATCATTCAATCATTTAATTTCAGCTTCACTGTTCCACTCTAGTCACCTAACTAACTCAAGTTACTCAATTCCATAACATTCTTACAGTCTCAGTCCATTTTTGTGGAACTAGATAGACTCAAATATTTCTAATAAATCTAAACATTTACATCGATAGTTTAAATTCTTCCAGGATTAACTCAGTAGTATAATAAAAGTAAAACATACAACTCTGAGTAACCAATTGAGAGTGAATGCCTGCGTCGAATAATGTGTTCCGTAATGAAAAGGAGGGATGGTTTCGTGCTCCCATGAACTGTAGCGATCCTGGAAGAATTTACGCCGATTCTCGCTCAGCGCTCCAATTGGCTGCAATTATGATATTTTTGTCGGGGAAACTCTAGGAAACTTTAAACTGCAATTTGAGTTCTTTTTTTCTAGCCGGAGAATTATTTTAATAAACTCTGGATTAAAAATAAAAAGAGAAAGATGAAACATACAGAAGGAACCATTTCAGCATATTCAGATAGCATACGAACAGATTAAAGAAGTTGAGAAAAATTTTCTCATTCGCTTCTGAGAAATCCATAATTTAGAAGCCCTTTTCAAGTAAATGAAAGGAAAATGAGGATTAAAACGAGTTGAAAAGGCCATGGATGATGATGAATTAAATATAATAGAAAGACATAGGACCAATGAGAGGCACATGAAATGCTTTCAAATTGCAACATGCAACTCATCATGCAGTCATTGCATCCACAATACATATTCTATTAAACATCAATCAAGCGTCACGCACACGGCAGCTCTATTCAGCGTCACACATTCTACAATATTATTTCCCAGTCTTCTTAATCAGTACCTATCAAATAAACACTTCTTTGCATTATCTTCACAATCGCATATCGTGCAAGTTGATGGACAGTGGTTTGTTTATGCAGAATATCTGATACTCACTGCCACCTTATAAGTTAGTACATGCCTTATCTAGCTAAGAATTAGTTGTGATTCCATCAAATCAGATTTCAAATATCTAAACTGAATATTTGAAAATGGAAAATCACCTTCGACAAATCTCGGAAATTGGATGCAATGTTAAGATCCAGCGTTGGTGATGTATAATTCGCCAAAACCCATGGGAAAATTGGATACTGATTCAAATCGTTATAGGTTCGACCAGCAACGGTATTCAAGAACATTAAGTAATCAAAATTGGAAATTTCTCGTCGTTGCCATTTCTGTGACATATCAGAATGTTTGAAAAGTTGCCGCGGAGTCATCAGACTTGTTTTTCGACTTTGCGGTAAACCATATTTGGCACCCACACCGACCCGAGGTAAACAATCCACCACTTTTCGCACTGTATTTTCATCCGTAAATGCGAACATAATAGCGGCTAAAAAAAAGACAAATTGGCAAAAAATCAAGCAAGTAGTTATCCGTAACATTTTAGTTGGAAGTACTAAGTAATATCAAGTTAATGTAACTTACTTCTTGAAGCGAGAAACAATTCCAGTGCGATATTTTTGAGTAAGTAACGACGCAAAAAAATAGCGCGGATCTCGTGAAAATGCCATCGTCCATGTAAATTATCGCAATACAATAAAATCTATAAATCAGTGACATTTGTGAACGAGAAAAAGATATGATTACATCTGAAAGACTGAAGATGCATTTGATCATTACTGATTCGATCGTTGTTGTTAGGAGAGGAAGAAAAAGAAAAATTAGGCTCATCAAATTAAGGACACAATGAAATTGGTTCAGTAAAGAACGATTTTGATGGGTTGGAAATTTGATAAGCCAAACAATTCATTCGATGATTGTTTAATGGAATGGAATGTGACGATGGGATGTCATTTAAGATAGCAATCATCTCTTTCATTCTTAATTTTAACCCTTGACCTCTAACCTCTACCTTTAGCTCTAACACTATTTACCTACTAATATTGAATCCATTCTATTTCCACTCATATCCTTCAAAGTTCAAAGCAAATTAAATACACAATCACTAACAAAGCATAAAATACAAATGGGCGGATCTGATGAATGACAAACTTCCAACAGCTATGTGTATATGCAAACACACATACACACACACATACATACATACATACATACACATATATATATATACATACACATACAGACAGGAATATCTAGATTACGGTAAAAGGGAGAGAAAGGATGAAATAGTAGTAATGAATGCTCAGTGGGAATTCCTGTCCCGATATTCGAGTGGAAGTTTATTGAGCAGCAGATAATGCTTGATACTACACTGCTACAGTAAGTTAATTTCGCTAATGGATGCAGCAGAGACGACACAACAGAGAAAGTTATTTACCGCAAAGGCAACTGTTGTCAAGTGCTCAGCTCGCTCACTCTTAGTTCACAATTAGTTATTTGCAACAATGACTGCAAACTGTCTCATTTAATTAACCAAATGAGTTGTTGCTGTAGAGTAGAATAAAGTAAACAAACTCAATTTGATGACAGTCTTGACTATCACATGAACATAACAACGAGTATCTGAATTAGCAATCATTTGCATTTTAATTTTATCCATCCAGCTCATTCCGTCACTTTCATCCTATTACTTTCATACATTCAGATTAATCGGCTGACTGACTGACTGACTGACTGATTTCATGCTTCCTGTTAACCGTTTTATGAACGAAGTGCAACAAGCCAGAAAGTGGTTCACGCGAGGAGGAAAATGCAAGAACAGATTGCATACGAAGCATTCAGCAATTATATCTGAATAATTCATTCCGACGACACCGCTCTCTCCCTGCACTTCTAAACTAGAGGAAATGAGCAGGATCAGATGCCATGTGTCCCTATGAGTCGCAGACCAGTGTCCAAGGCAGGCAAACCATTCTCACTCCGTCCGTCACCTGCAGCAATTATCATATCAATCCATCCTGTTCATGGCCCGATGAACATCACCAATGAACAGGAAATTACTGACGCACAGGTCAGCGAGCCATCTGATACTACTACATATAGTATCAGATTGCTCACAATGCACAAAATGTACTCTCCCAGTCAAACCACAACTCAATTCAGTTCAGTAATTATGCCATTACGGAGTGCATTAAATCAGTGCGACCACTCGCTGCCCTCCTTACTGCCTCACTTTTAGCAAAGTCACCAAATGCTAACAAATGTCCATCAGATTTGGGAAACGAACACTGAAACAAGGACAGATCCATAATAGACTAAATGCCAAATGAGTCTATTAGGCTGCGCCCAAAACTCCATCATGTTTACTTTACTTTCCTCTTGAAGTTAGCTAATCTCTCTCTTAAAGCCAACACAGTGTTTCTCAAATTAAACCGCCCTCACATTTCTATCCACCGTTCATTTCTAAGCTTTCAAACACTACAAATTTACGTGATGAAGTGAGACACGCAACTAATATTGAAAGTGGTACTCCAGTTTTTTTATACAATAAATTATTATTAGCTTTAAATTAAAAGTGGAAAATCTTCAGAAAAAAAAAAAAAAAAAAAAACAAAAAAAAAAAGTTCTCGAGGAAAAGTAACACAGCGTTACTTTCCCTCGAGAACTCTTTTAACAATTAGTTGCAGAAATTAACGCTCAATTAATGAAACAAAAGTTAATCTACTGCAAAGAGCGAAAATAAACGACCCATTGTTTTCAATTTTCAGTTTCATTTTAAAACAGAAGCAAAAGACCCGAAAGAGAGCAATCGCTTCAGAGATACCGCAAAGTTTCATTACACTGAAATTTGTGTGATAATCACCGATTTTAGCACAGAACACACAATTAATAGATAAAATGCGTTTCCTGCCTGCTCTCTTCACTTCACCTGGCAGTAATGAAATGAAAGAAAAGTTTTTGCAAATATTACACTAAAATGCAGAAACACCTGCTAACTCATACATCAACATAGTTCACCACAAAATACTTTTCTTATTCCAATGGAAATTTCATTCCATAAGGTACCTAAACAAACCAAACATTCTCGAAGTTTTTTTAAAAAATAATTAAAATGGAATTTCATGTTACTAATAACTGATAACTGATCCGATAAGAGTTTTTTTTTTTTTTTGCCGTTTATTTTAATTAAAATTTGCAAAATTTGGAAATATAAGTGCTACAATATTTATCAAATTAAGTGAAGAGTAAAGTAGAACTGTCAAACAAAGTAGTCCGTTGAACTGTATTATCCTAGTACAGTAAATCTGGTTCATAAAGGTGCAAACAACAGCAACAATAAAAAAACAGTTTGGAATTTATATTTGTAATATTCGATGTTATAGGATGATACTTCACAGTAATTGTTTCTTATTTAATTAGAGCAATGTACCGATGACTAACTGCGACTGAAAATAACAGTGAGAGCATAAATGGATAAAATGGATTTCATGAAAATAAGATCAAAAAAGTGACCAGATAGTGAATGTAAACCTGGCTGTAAGTGAAGGACCAATCCAATGCAGTACCGAAATAGATATCACTGAATGAGAAATTACTGCTAAAAGTCAGAGGTCATGACAGATTAGCGTATATTGTTGACGAACACAGAAATATTAGTTGGAAAGTATGTTTATTCGCTTCATCTATCCTCATAGATTTTAGTCTGCTAACATAAGTTGGTAGCTTCTTCTTAGTGTCATCATGAATTTATGAAGGTCGACCAAAGACAGAGAGAATGCTTAACTTGAATGTTATAACTTTTGTGACAAATAATTTCACGTGATCTTAGTGATGTATACTGCTACTCTTACTATGCCATTTTACTTCAATCATTTAGCATTTAGCACAATGCTAGAGGAAGATATTCACCGCAGGAAGACATTCCGAGCTACCGAGGGAAAAACCGGAAGGAGTGCTCGATGCTTTCTTGAATGACCTACTCATAATCTCCCAAAAAAAAAAAAAAAAAAAAAAAATGTTTTTTGATTATTACAACATCATTTAAGGGGTGTCCTGAATAAATTACCTTTACACAAATGCTGGTGATTTTTTTACAGCTTAAAAAAGTAAGAGAGATAAAAGGAAGAGATTCAATCGGAAATTTAAGTAAGAAAAGCAATTTCCTGATCCAGATGATATTGACAATACCAGATTTACAAGCGGGAGTGATATTAGGTGTGCGCAAAAGTATCCTTGCAAAGATCGCTCTATTCCTCGGTTCATTTAACATATTAGTTTGACAATTTCCTCGTCCATCTGATATCCTACGCTTTGCAAACTGTGATGATACCACTTATGCATTCGTGTGTAAGCTAGCCATTACTATTACACCACAAGTAGATTAAAGCTGTAAAGAAAGGGAAGGAGGGCAGTGCACGGAAAGAGTAGTAAGCTCTACTCAGGGATACGGTCGGTCGGTTGGTCGGTCACTGATACCTTGCAGGAGAGAAAGAACGAAGGGAGAGGAGGTTGGAGGGAGGATGCCATCTATTATTTAACAGGTAGATAGCTGAGAGGGCGGAGTTCAGTTTATACATATACATCGATGATGCGACATGCGCTCACTATTACCCTTCACGGACTCCACAAAATGCGGGCGGAATCTGTTCTCGTGCAAATGGCGGTGATGGTGGTCCTGGTGAAGGCGATTATGTTTGATTTCTTGACTAACTCATAATAGTCTATGTTATGAGAGTATGCGTGTGTATGTGTGTGTGTGTGTGTGCGTGCGCGTGCGTGTGCAGTATGTAGTTCGTTCCGCTTTCAAAAGAGTTTCAGCTTGAAGAAGTGAAGAAAGACATCAACTCATTTCTTTTAAATTTCAAAAAATAAAATAAATCCCCAATGACTGCTGCTATTACAGCTGCCGAAAGACGAAGAAACAACAGCAATAGTAGCAAGCAGTAGTAGTAGTAGTAGCAATCATTTCAACATATCATTACCACTGTCATCTCTTATTATATGAAAAAGAAGTTACTGATGTATGTTAACAGAATTTTTTACCATATCTATTCAATTTTTCTTTTTTTTAGATATGCGATGATTTTTGGACTCTACGATAATTTGCATAGCAACCAAACAGGCAAGGATGTTAGGCCAGAATGCTGCCGTTACTTCCTACCAAGTATCGCATTATTTCAACGAAAGGGTAGCCACTCGAAAAAGTCATGTACACAAGGCAATCTATATGATTGCTAAAATTGTGCAAGAAATCCTTAAAGAAGTTGAAGCACAGGAACCTCGATTCATTTCTACACTCATTGAAAATAATGGTCGATATGAAGGGGTAAGCAATTCCAAATGATCGCAGGACTGTCATCATATATCATCAATGCATTCAAAGGTGGTCTACCATCTCAGATTTCAAGTATATCACAAGGAAACGAACTGCAAAAACATTCAGTTTCGCAATTCGGATCATACATCATTTTACTTTTATTCTAATCGCACAGCACAATAAATTCTTCGCTTCCATTTATTAACATTTCCATCAATTCAATATGATCCTTCTTTTCCCCCTTTTATATAAGAAAGTTACATTTAGCTTTTCAGTCAAAATACTAAGAACGACATAAGGAAGCAGAGTGACAATCCATCAGATATTATCTTCATGTGTCAATTTGACAGATTGATAATCTACTGTCGCATCATCACCATCATTTTGAAAAAATGAGCCCTTGATAACATCCTTGATAAATCTTATTTGACATAAGTTGCAAATTGAAGGACACTTGTTCCTTTCGAAGGACATTTTATAGTTCTAGTTGAACTAATGCAGTATCTAGAAGTAGCTGGAAAGTCTCATTTGATTTTTGTGTAATTCTTTAAAATCTAAAATTAGTTGGACAATAATGACAGTTCCCTTATATAATTAATTTTACGTAAACAAGTATATCAGTAAGTAACTAATTGTCAACCACATTCTTGATTATCACTTAAATCCTTTTGCTGTAAAGGTTTTTCGAAATACCGCTCTCTTTTGATGTTGACAATCACAATTTCAGATTATAGTTCATTCACCGTGCGAATATGAAGTAATCCTATACCTCAATCAAATGGGAGTTTTCAATTTCGTCGATGATGGCTCTATTCAAGGATGTGCAGTACTAAAATTAAGTGATGGTAGAAAACGATCAATGTCATTATGGGTGGAATTTATTACCGCCAGCGGCTATCTGTCAGCGAGGAAAATCCGAAGTCGTTTTCATACCCTAGTAGGACAAAGCGTAGAGAAGTCACAATATCGCGATATTTGCAAAATGGTACCTGATACTACTGATGTTAAACTGAGGATACACGATGATTACATTGTCCAGATAACTTGTGCATTTCGATGCAATGGAATTTGGCCACGAAGTGCTAGTCATTGGCCACGAAGCAATATTCCCTGGCCAAATCCATCTATTGCTAATGAAGTGAAAAGTGAAGGTTTCGATTTGTTCAGCAAGGAAACTAATGCCGCTCAGAATCAACCTAATAAACAGGTCTGCTTTCTAACAGAACTTCTCTGTTTCCTCAAGACAACTTTGCAGTGTTATTTACATACCTGTAATTTGTCCGAGAACCAGAAAAAAAAAAAAAAAAAAAAAAAAGAGAATGACATTGATGTGAAAGATTTTAATGTCTATAAATGCAGAAATATTGCTAGCATGAATTCAAAAACCTACCAAATATAACAAGCAATCTTTGTTTGTTTTTAACGTATTTAATATTAGAAGTAAACATTAGCATTTATATGATGTAATCTACCTTAACCTGTCAGTTCACTATAGTAAAAATTACTACACAAATTCCAGGAAATTTTTAAAAAAAGGAATCGATTAAAGTCAAATGTCCATCTAAATGTTTGCATGTATGTGTGTCAGCGATTAAACCATGAATCTGTCCTTTCAAAAGTGGCAGGACATTTCACTAATTCGATTAACTCTCCGGGCGGAGCACATTCCACTTCATGCACTACCGTAATACATTATTTATGGGACCTTGTAATGCCTGCCACTCCCGTCCCATTGATTTTGCACAAATGGATTGTTAGGTATCTTCTTTAAAAAGAAGCCTATCTCGCAAGACGGTATATAACTAGGATAGTTTCCCATCCGTTCCGTGAAGCATCCGATTTTTTAAATCTCATTAAACAAGCTAATAGCATACAGAGTTCCAGCATGTTTTAAATTGAAATAGTCTGCATTTCTCAATGAAAAATGGTAAATGATAAATGATAGTCTGTCTCATCATTGGTGAATGATGATTTAAGAACTTTGAGATATTGTCAGCATAAGTCATTTATAGTTTAGCTAGTGATTTGTGGATCAGGTGGAATAATATACAGCCAAATTTGGTCTGACTACCTATTAGACGACATTCTCTGAATATAAGCTAATTGCAATTTAAATTTTGGGAAAGGAGAAAAACAAGAAGAGTCGAAGCAATCTTTAGTTTTCTTCTGAAATATGTTCCCACTGATGATAAGAACAATAAGATTTCATTAATTTCTTGATGTATTACCTGACGAATGGAAAATAATTTGTAATGTTCGACATGGATGATCACGGAGAGAAAGAAGTTAATTAGTTGAGTGAGTGAATGAGTCCGTTCCGGTGATTAATTACAGGCCAGTTCGATGGAAGGTGACGCATGGGCGATGAGTTTACACCATGCCGAGAATACACTACTGCAACACGGCAGCAGACGTAAATCATTTTCAATTTTGAAATGTCTACGCGACACGCATCTCGATTTCCCGCAATCACCAATTACTAATTACATTTTAAAAACGCTGCTGTTATTCGAATGCGAGAAGCATTACAATGAATATGAGTGGGAGGAACGATTCATCGGTGATCGAGTCATTGGTATTTATACATATTTTATCGAAACTAAGCTTCTCAAGTTCAAGTTCACTACTACTACTACTACTACATAATTACCGTTGAAATAAACTACCACTTCCTCTTTGCTCTATTTAATTCATAACAGAAAAACTCTCATCAAATTGCCAAATTCACTGGACTATCAACTCTCATTAATATAAAATGATCTCAAAGGGTTCATCTCTACAACCGCTACACACTGAAACGACAATATCTATTAATAAAAAACCATTCCTTTCTTCCTTCAATCATCATCACAGTACTGTATCAAAACTCGACGTCAATAATAAATATTCTAATGTATAAAGATTAGTAAATAGAAGTCCTAATGAGAAATGAGAAGCACAAACTATGAAAAAAAAAAAAGGAAAAATGATTTTACAAGCAGTAAAGTTATTTATTACAACTATAACGAACTATCAACGTAATTTCACTTTTAGAAGATAAATAAAAGAATTATTCTTATTTTGGATTAGAAGTAGATATTCTTTTTGGATACGCTTTAATTTATTCTCTTCAAACCAGTATCGATTTTTACTTAATATCTTTACATGGGACAATTATCTAAAAGTCGAACCAAAGGAAAGAATTTGAAAATAAAGCCCAGAAACATTTATAAATCTAGCATTAGAGAGATTATTGATCTTTCAGACTTGTTTACTTCAGGTGTGCTATTACAACTGGTATCCTGTTTACAATGCCGAAAATGTCCGCATTATTTCTTGCCTCAGTTGGACCTTCTCAAAGGAGAGCCAGCACATCTTCTCGATCAAAGTGCAAAGATTACTTGGAATCTTGTTCGACAACTGATCCTCAATGTACGCGCTCTCGAATCCTTATAATCTTGGCAAATCCCTAACTTCCTTTCGCTTTTCCAAAATTTGAAAAAAATTCCCAATTAGAATTTTCAGGATTTCTAATTAACGAATTTCCAATAACTACTATTGTTCCTATTTTTCTTTTGCTAAGAAAGATACAAATAATACTAAAATTTTGACAAAAATCTTGAATGAAATTTGGACGGGACCTAAAGAAAATTCACTATCTTCTCCTATTGCTCCTGAACTCCTATAAATGTGCTCAACTACAAATAGACATCATCCGAATGTTTCACTGAATTCTTAATGCTCAAAACAATATTGTTGTACGTGTTTGTGCATGTGTGCATATTTTTATAGTATTTCATTTGAATATTGTAGCTGCGATAAGTTTAATTGTAGTTAAATGTTGCTGTGATCATACTGCTCAACTAAAATGAACCGATGATTGCTTAATGTCCACTGTCTCATCATTAAAATTATTTCTTGAACCAGAGAAGGTAGTTTTCATTATATCTTCAATGTCGTACGTCTTCTATCATTAGCTTTATCATTAGAGTAAGGGAAATATGTACTTACTAAAAATTTGCCTCATGCTTACTATATGTATAGAGCAAAATTTTTGATTCATAGATAATATAAACACTGGATTTATTGTATATTTAACTTCTTTGTCGAAAGCACACATTAGAACAGCTTGGATTAATACAGAAAGTAAGAGATTAGAAACAAGAATTTTCAATCGAATTAACTTGGTTAACCTTATTAATTAGTGGTTCTTAACTATACGGATTCTGTTAATAGACAGTAGTTATAAAACTGTCTACTAAGTTAAAAAAAAAAAATTTAGCAAAAACGAGGTAACCTTGGGATCTTGTTCCTTGTATAGTGGGTCATCTTCATCAGCATCAAAAAACAATTCATAATTCGTTATGGAAAGGGTTCCCGGTACAACAAGACCTGGTGCAATCAACTTTGCTGCTGTTCCGTAAGTCGTTTTCTCTGAAAAGCTCCCCATTTCAAATTATTTCATATCATAGACGATGTCATGCAAACAATATCATAAATAAACTGAAGAAAACTTTTTGGCTTTTGCAGCAGCTTGGTTAATTCTCCGTTAGCTGTTAGCAGCTATTATACATTACCATTTTTGATCTTTGGTCATCTTGATTCATTTTTCTTCTCCATTATCATAATTTCAAAATTAGAAGGATTAACTAACACAAAAAGCAACATAAGTCAAAAGCACTTTTCCGGTAAACTGCATAATTAAGCAAATAGCAATATTGCCATTAACATAGCGCAGTATGTTTCAAATGTTCTTAACAACTGATGAAAAAGATGACTGTTGAATAGAGTTTTGTTCGAAAAAGATGAACATGAATACTAATTTGAGTCATAAAGAGATTTGATGGATACTGAAGTGATTTAGATAGCGTCATATAAGGATCTAATTTAGTTTCTTCCAGTATTTTTAACAGTTCAATTATCAAAAGCTGATATATTTAAGAGGAGATGCTAACAATTTGGTACATAAGCACAAACTTCATCTGTCCACAAGTATTAGGTCAAACAGATAGTCTACCGTTGGTTCCAAGTCTCTTCATTCCAAGTATCTGCATAGATGCAATCATTTAAAGAGAATTGATTCATTACACAGTCAAAAAATTGTAAAAGGTCACCTTTTAAGTCTGATGATTCCAGTGAATTAAAGTTAATTAATTTAAATTTGGCTGACAAGTATGAAATAAATCAATTTAATAAAAGCTATATAAGATTTTGAAATATTTACTAAGTGAATTTTTTGCCATTTTCACTAAATTACCTCATAGGAATGGAAATTAATACAAAATTAAGCTATTAAAACCCCAAGAAATCAAGAATCCTGATGTTGAAGAATAAAGAACAGTCCTTCTCAATCAAGAGTAAAGCCAACTCTTTCAGTCAAACCTTCTCATTATTTATTTTGTCTAAAATAAGAGTACAAATATATCGCCTCAGATAAAAGCAAGGTACGAAGACCAACAAGACGTATCATTTAGTAATCGAGATGTGACGCATTTGATACAATGTCATATTGTCAAATAATACAAGGTGCCGTTGTGTCTGCATGATGAAAAGCAGATGGTCTTTAAAATAGAAGCGCGAAAAGATAATCACATGTTCCAGAAGGAGGATTATGTCAATTTGCACATTGTTTCCCTAGTAGATGTAAAAGAAAAAATTTATTTCAGTTTTGAAACTTATAGTGGCACACTCTTCTCTCTAATACCCTAATTCCTGCTTTTCCATAATCCCTTTCACTAATACCAGTTGCATCAGACCAATCCATCAGAGCTAAATACTTTGAAATCGATTTACTGCCAATATAAGACAAGGAAACATTAATCCACATGCAAGGTTTCAAATACTGCACATTATATCATTTCGGAGGGTTTTCCAAATACATTCATTTCTTGAAATTATATATATATATGATGAACTTCTATTCTTGCATCCTTTTAAAAGATCACATGAACAAAAACTTACTGTTCGCAATTAATTGAATGAAGCAGCAAAATAGCAAAGCTTCCAATTGAGTAAAGATTACTTATTTAGCTTCTTCCCTCGTTCTAGCTTTACTCAATAAGCAGTGGAATTCAACTAATTACTAACTATTCATTTAACAATAATATAATATAATTCGAAATCTCCTACCTCTTTGCAAATCGATTGCAACGTCAGGTTCAGTGGCCCATTTTTCGAAATCAGTTTCATCAACAAGCTCACCCAAAGTAGAACCAGGTTTTAGCGATCCTAAAGAAACCAGACGTTGTGCTACCAAATCGCGTAACAAATCTTCACGAGCCTTATCAACCTAAAATTTATAAGCTCTGAATATTCAGTGTTTGTGTTGATTTCTATATTCAAATGGATTTAAAATGAAAATCTCATTTTCCACCAGTCTTAAAAAAAAAGATGTAAAAAAAAGAAAACCAGTTTTCGTAAGCTTTAATATAAAAAACTAAAGTACCTCTTTATTAGATGACTTGCTTTCTAATATAGCTTTGAGACAAGCTGCTGAATGATGGCAGCCATAAGGATTCAATACGAAACGTTTACGTCGCCTTGAATCATCTTCCCAAACATCCAGCTTCCAGAAAGTTTGTCTAGAAATAAATACTAGAACTATTCATTCAAGACGAATAGGTTATAGCGTTTGTGAATATATCAGGTTAACGATACCAAACAAGACACTTACAAATGTTGACATGGATCATTCCACGCACCGCCCGGATACGATAATAATGACGTTAATCGTTCCAACAAGCGTGCTGATACAAGCAGATCTCGTCGTCGATTAGCTGTAATCAAATGGTCATTCACTTGTTCCTCTTTTCGACGTCGATGCATCTGTTCAGCTGCATCACTCTGCAAAATTACTTGACTCAATGAGGAGCCAGCGTTCAGTAATGCATGAGAAAAATCCTACTCTGACAGGTTACTCACCTCAAACTGAGCATGTTTGCTGATGTCTTCAGCTCGTAGACGATTTAGTATGAAATCAGCTTCATTAGCAACACGTAGGATATGGTCTCGTGTTGCATGTGCCATTAAACGACCTGAAGAAGATGAGCCAGATTGGAAGACAAAACGGAATGAAATGAAATGAAATTGGCGACTAAAAAATTATGGAAGAAATCTTGGATTTTTATTGAATATATCATGTATTTACTGTAAAGTCGAAAAGAAAAGAGTACAAACGATTGCATAAAAATTCGATGTTTTTTTTTTTGCATAATAAAAAAGAATACTTAATGAGCGAATATATTCATCTGACAGACCATTGTAAGAACGAATCATCGGATACTATAAGTGAAACTGGTGGATAAGGGATTTTTTGCTAATAGATAAAGTTGAACAAATCTGAAAGTTAAACTTGCCTTCGTTTACTAGTTCGATGAAAGCCAGTCCAGCATGTTTTTGTAAAGATGTCTGCCACTCTTGTGAACATAACAGCATGACCAGTTCAATTACTGATCTTGCCTGATTCTTCATTGTTTCCATTACTAAATTTATGACAACTATTCCAGTTAAATATATTCTGATCACTTCAAAGAAAGAAATGACAATTCTAGAAGTTTACCTTTGCTATCATTCATAATTTCTTGACCATGAGTTCCTAACAGTGTTTTCTGAAGATATGAACGAAAATCGGTAAGAATTTCACGCAACAATGGAGCAGTTGTTTCCAAGGCTTTTTGTAACTTGGTTGTGAGGTAAGCTCGTCGCTCACCTGTTTCTAATTCACGATTAGCAAGACTGCTATCCTAAAGTGTTCATTCATTATGTTGAAATTTGTAAACCTTGTTATATATATATATATATATATATATATATATATATATATATATATATATATATATATATATATATAATTATGTATGAGAATACATAACTGAATCTCGGAGATATCTTGAACGAAAGAAGAAATAATCCAATACTTTCAAAATACAAACATTAAATGTATCCAAGTGATCTTGCCGATAGATATTACTCTGCAGTTCTTTTTCCTTGTTTTCCTCTAGTGATATCGATGATTCTTCTCTGAGGAAAACATTCTTATCCACAATATTATCTTCATAATTAGACAACTCTCCGTTTTCTTCAGTACACGATTCCTCGTCAGTTTGTCTCAAACTATTACCACAATCTGCAAGATAGCATCGATAAGAAATAAAATATACTTTTTCTTTTCGAAATAATACTGCAGAACTACCTTTGTTTGTACCGCCAGTTATAGTCGTATCGAAAAAAGGACTAGGAATAGATGGTGGCTCTAAAATATCTCTGTATCGAGAAACCATAAGTACTGATAACAAGTAAGTAACTGCAAGAGCCAGAAACTGCGCCTGTCGGTTCTCTTCCTAAACAATATTTTTGTAGCTCTAATATTCATTGCAAGCAAAATTACGGAATTAAAAACTTGACTTTTGTAAGATTCATGATCAAATATCTTATTCAACATTTTTTAAATAACATATTCACTCTATAAAATAACAGTCACATTTATAAAATACATAACCTATAAAGTATAACAATCACAGAACGGATGACTACGGTTATATGTTATGAAATTCGCAAAATATGGTTAAATAATCAAATTAAAAGCAACAGAAAAGGAGCCTACCATATCTCGATAGATTACCCCTCTCAGCCGTTGTAAATCAACTTCCTGCACCAAATGTTCCGGGTCCAAAATTCCCTCTTTGTTTCCCTTCAAAAAAAAGGGATAAATTTTTACAATAAGAAAAAAAAAAAAAAAATTTCTAATAAAATACTTACTACATCCAGCGTGTCCGAAACAAATTCAGCGATCTGTTGAGCACGTGTTACTTGTTTAGCATCCATGTATGACATTTTGCCAAAGGAAGTTTTTATACGACAGGCAAGTATATTCCGTACAGCCACCGTTGACACTATAAATATTACTTCTCACTATCACTACTGCTTCTACGATAAACGTTAATAAGTGTATTCTATTTGGTTCAAATTAAAGTACGACTTTACCTAGCCGTAATGTTTGTCGCAATATACCACCGTTGGGCATATTCTTTTCCTGTTCAAGATCACTGAAACTTATTCCGGATGCAAAGACAAAAACATCGGCCAGAACAACAAAACGTGCGAGCAAACGAGCGGCATTGCCTATAGCCAATGTTTGGTTTGTCGAATCCATTATTTCCAGTTCGCTCTAAGAGAGATTTTTCCCTTTAACAACATTCTTAACATAAGCAATTTAATTTTGACAGTTCAAACCATTGTAACTTACATTAGGAGATGTAGCAGCAGCCAAAAGAGGAAGGAGACCACCACATGCCATCACTAGCAAATCAATCAGCTGAGATAAAACGTGAACACAGTTAGCAACAAATATGCTATTTTCATTGCTATTCACAACATCCAGTATTGTTGCTGTGCCCCTAGAAGTATTTTATGTTTTCCAAAAACATAACATTCTAATATTTAATAAAAATATTTTATTCAAAGCTCATACTTCTTCCACTCTTCTACAGTACTTTCGATTGAAACAAGTAGATCGTCAAGCAATCTCAAGTGAACATCTGACCAGCAAAACTCCGGGGTGCGGTAGATGGAACTTAGCTGATCATCCGGTATTTTCGATTCATCTTTTCTTTCTACTTCATCCACAAGTCCATCCTTGAAAAAGTGCTTCAAATTAAATAAAACTTTTTTATACTTGAAGCAATAAACATTTATAACTTACTACTGTGCGAGCCACAGATGAAACAAGGTTTTGAACTAAGTAAAATATAACGTCCGTTTCGCGTTCACCACCTCTATGAAATTTTATCTGGTGACGTTCCCAAGATACCTGAATTTTAAGAACAGAGAAATATTATTGTGGCTGAAGCTGCAAATTTTTTGTACGACACAAATATTGTTTAACTTATACTAGTTGACTTATACTTTATCTATCTCGAAATTAAATAAAACTCTTTTTTATTACTTGAGGCAATAAACATTCATAAACAACCATAAAAAACAAATTACCACATATTATTCTCATTCAACAGTATCAAAATATGAATGACATATTAATAAAGAATTAAATTTAATTGACCAATGCATATCTCATTCCTAAAAGCATCCTTTTCTATCTGCCATCTATTATTTTACAAATCCGAAATCGAAAGTTTAAATCTGAACCTTTGAGTGAGCAATAGCAAGGGTATCGACCCAAACTCTCCAACCTCCATATTCTAAATAAATAGCGTGAAAGAGAAGCTCTGCAAATACGTGATAAACAAGTTCACTGATTTCTACTTCATCTTCATTTTTAGGGAAGATATAAGCCAGTGAAATAAGCCATTCTTGCCATACGCTCATTTGCAAAATTGTACGTCGATTATCTCGTGAGTTTTTACACATATGTAGCAAATCTTCCAAAAAAATTCGTTTCACCTAAAAATACGGCAGAGTCTAACATAATCTCTTTGTTTTCATTTTCGAAAAAATGTTGCAAAATCAAAAAATCCTCAAAAAATAAAAGAATTCTATCCAAAGAACTTACCTTCATTAGTTCCAAATTATTCTCACTTTGTGTTATCAGATTGGTAATAACTTTCAGCATCATAGGATTTTCAAATCTCATTACATCGCTGATCGATGCATGAGCCAAATAATTTATTGTTGGTGTCATTTGTTCAGTTAGTATTTCAAACAGCACATTGTATGTTGCCAAAGTGAGATGAGTCGCGTTCAACAATAGCCGATCAGTTACAAGGGACAATAAATTAAGACTACTAACTGAATCCGTCTTTCGTCTAAAATATTTGCAAACATCAGCAGATCTATCATTTGTTAAGGGACTAAAAGAGAAATACCAGTTGTGACCAGCACTCATAGCAGTGCTTCCAAAAAGCAAATTCAATGAATTTATATTATGCATCTAGTACTTATAGGTGCTACATCAGTATTTTCATTCTTTTTTGATTATTAAAAGAGACGGTTCAAAATAAGTCTCACTTGAGCGTTGAGCGACATAAGAAATAACCAAATATTTTTAAAGCCGGTATACGAACAAGTTCATTGACAGAATTAATTAATTTGAACACAACTGCAAGGCCCTTCTTTCGATCGAATGCCGGTACCATTGCTGCCGGTTTTTCACAAAGTAACCGTGTTGTAAGAGCTAACACATCATAGAGATTATCATCCTTTAAACCATATAGCATGAGACAATTTTTTTAATTGTTCAAGATAATATAACGTAATACTTGTTTACATCAAACGACGTAATATTTATAACACTTATTCGCATGAAAGCTAACGATCTGTCTACCTTAAACCGTATTAAATATGGACAGTGTTTGTTACAAAAATAAACTATGGTAAACTATTCATAAAAGTCGAAATTTAACACTTGCTTCATTTACGGTGGCGATGAAATTTAACAATGCATTGAATTCGCCGTCTCGATTCATAATACCGCTTTCTTTGGGATCTGGCATACATATTAGCCGAGAGACGAAAGTCAACATATGCGCGCGTATAGTTATAACTTCGTTTCTAAATAAATAAATAAATAAATATATATATATATATATATCAAAAATGCAACCATTAGGAAAAAAACGGAATATAATGTTGTCAAACCACCAGTAACTTTTATCACAGTGAACTGATTTCTCAATTAAAATTTCGTGTTCAAATATCTACCGACAATTAATTGTTGTTTATCATCAAAAATTATCTTTCTTTTTTTTAAAAAAAATAAGAACTTGGACGAGATTTGACTATGAGTTAAAAGAAAGAAAGAAAGACAGAATTAAAAGAAAGACAAAATTTGAATAAATGCTAACCGAGATGGCCTTCCTTCACGGCTAATCACATTGTACAGTGAGGGTGAATGTGGCATAACAACCCAATAATACAGCTTGATAGTATGAAGCATCTCAACAACAGTGGCACAACGTTGTACAATCAGCATGAAATTGGCGCCCGTTAAAAATTCGCTTGCCAAAAAGTAATATAATTGAATTTGTATCTAAAACAACCGTTACTGTTAAATAATAGTGAAAATCAACAATCATTTCAACTACAAAATATATTAATTATGCAAAAGTATTAATTATTCATATTACGCTTTTTATATAAAATATATTACAACGAAAGGGGAAGATTTACTATCACTTTAGCCAAACTTTACGCAAGAAATTCCGAAATCCTTGTCTTCGTTGTTGTTGTGGAAATCACTAAATTTTTTTAACCAAACTAATAGCAAGAGTAGAAACTAATGCTTACTATAGGATCAGCTCTACTCCAGAGTTCAGGATTGAAAAGAATATAATCGAAAAGATGTTTCAGCAGCGGCGTTCCCGAAGGGAATGCCAATAGATATTTCGAAATATCAATTAAAATTTCCAGCACGTGCTGACTAAGGTTTGAAGATGATGACTGAAATAAAGCAGCATTTATTACTATACTCTATAATAATCACAATGTCAATATTAAGCTAACTGCTGTTAGTTATTTTAATCCCAACGAAATTTAAAATAAATTTACTTCATATAAGGCCTGAGAAATGACAAGAAATGCTCTGCTATGATACAGTTGTTGGGGGGCATTTGAAGCAGTCCTTAGAAGAAGAGATATAGCTGATAGTAATTTCGAGCTGAAATGTTTGTAATATTTGTAAATTTCTTTTTTTTGAAAATTTGAAATATTCTTTTAAAAAATTAGTGTAGTAGAGAGATAAAATAGTTCAATGATAAATGATCACTTTTATTACACTTCACTTTTAAAATCAATAATACCTTCCCGTTACAATGGAGTTGCGTACTTTGATGAAGGATAAGGCAACATAAAAAAGGTATTACTACTACAGCTATCGTTACGATCTTTCTTGCTATATTCAAAGAGAAACTAATCCGTTTCTGAGACTACAAGTTCTCAGTGATTTTTTTCTTCAGAATAAACTAGTTTAGCATCTTTATAATCGTTCAGCACCTATTCCGATCAAAAAACTGGAATTTATGCAAGATTATGAGGCTCATCAAAATGCGAGATGGCATGGTTTGGTGCATGAACATTAATTTCCTCTTCTCATAAATGAATTAAGGTGTTAGAAGGGAGGAAGGAAATAATAAAATATTTTATTTCTTCAAATTCGTTAAAGGAAAAGCTATTGGTAACTTGCAAAGAAGATATCCTAGAGAACTTAATTTTTTGAAAAACTCGAATGCTAATCAAAGTCTTTGAAAAAATCGTTTAAAAAGAATTATGGTGGTTAATGATGAATATATATATATATATGTAGAATGGAAAAAGAAGTGACAGATGAAATGGGATGTATGATATGTTGTAGAATGACAGGAATCAATCAGATATAGCAAGTGAAAAAAGATATTCCTCTTATTGTGTTAACTGCACAAGTTTTAACACCTCTACATATAATGTAAAAAGTTAATAATTTTATAAATAATATGAAATTTGAAAATTACCACACATCAATTTTCCGTACATTTCCATCATACTGAGGAAAATCTAATTGAGAAAATAGAGGCAAAAGCATCTGTATACCGCCTAAGGAATGTAAAGAATTGTGAATTGAATAAGTTTTCACCACTTCGACGCCCTAAAAAAACCACCGAGAAAATATTGAACATGATAGCATGTGCTTTGAAAAAAATGGTATATTATATATTTGAAAACTGGATATGAACCTCTTTCATAATAGCATGTGGAACCTGCACAAAATACGGAGCACCTATTTTAGACGCTGAATGTAAGCACAACTGTCCATCACAATTCTTCGGTGAATACGCTATCACAACGGAAGCACTGAGTTTTCCATCAAATATAAACTGAAATATATAACTCATACGCGAAAAAGTTAACAATGAAGATCCGACTCGACTCATAATATTATACCTTTTTATAATCATCAGACAAATCAGTCTCGGCTTCATGCAGAAAACAACTCTGATACGACGATCCCAAACAAAAGATTGCATTAACTTGTTGCGCACTTAAGGCTTCCGAAAACACATACAAAGCTGCTATCTGTCCACAGAATGGTTCTTCTCCATCGGGGCCACACCCAATACTACATTTATCAAAGTGTTCTGTTGTGGAGACGAACCTAAAAAAGAACGATTTTCAAAATATCACTAAAACATGATAAATACGTGAAAGTTGCAATAATTGATGACAATCAGAAAACAAATAAAGCATAACGGATACCACGACACGTCGAAAGACTCAATCATTTGGCCGTCCACAAAACATTGGATTTCACTCTTCGACCAACGAGAATAAATATGCGAGATCGCAACATGATGCCACCTAAACAAAACTCGGTATAACAATTATATGAAGAAATTGTCTATAAGTAACAGAACAAGAAGAACGAACCTTCTAGGTGTCAATTCAAATCGTATACACCGTGCTGTTTCCTTACCTACGACTTTAATGCAACTGATAACCAAACAATTGCCCATAATATAACAGTTGTAACCAAGTCCTTTTGTGGTCCGAAAACTGAGAAAGAAAAATCTTTATTAATGAAACAAAAAAAAAAAAAAAAAACTAGAATTGAAACCTCCTATTTGAAACCCAGTCTTTTTGATCAACAATCAAAAAACATTTTAGTAATGAAATATACGCATACCAGTATATGTAGGGGCGCTCCTTTTCGAAGTTGACACTATTTAAAGGGTCCATTTTCAACCAAGTGCAAAAACTCCAGCCATTCTGATAAGGCCACTTTGTCAGCGGAGGTAATGCAATACCCTTAAACAGATACTTCTCAGCATTAAACATTCTCGTTCTGCTACTTTTTTATCAGAATTTCTTTTAAAATTGAGGCAAAGAAACTAACTGCACTATGCACACCAGGAAACGAAAAGAAAACATCTGCACCATCGCGTTTTGGCATTTCTCCTAGGACATCCAGAAGCTTGATCGAGTTCTTACGCTGTAATTTACCAACTACAACTTCGTGTTAAAAAAAGAGTAAAGAAGGGATATCAATAGATTATTTGATATCTCAGACATCACTGAACAATATAAAAAAAACAATAAGGAAAACACACAAACATACCCATTTTCTATTTACTGCCTTCAAAGCACGGAGAAATCTTTTGGTCTCCTTAACGGTGATACTGTAAGTTGTAAGCACTCCAAGAAGTTGTATTAATAAATCAGAGACAACTGCATCGCTATTTGATAACCGTTCAAGAATCTAAAATTCCTTCGAAAATTCATTTTATCAGAAAATACTTTAGAAAAGGTTCCAGCAAAATTAACCTCTAAGACGAGGCCAACTCTTGAGCAAGCTTGCATGTTACGTGCACTTTTGCGGACAACGCCAATGAAGACGCTCCATATTTCTGCCTAAAAAAAATTATGCAACTCTTAAATATAAAAGTCAGCACAAAGTAAAAAATCAATAGCTGCACGAAAAATGAAGATTATTAAAAATAATATCACCAAATTGATAAGAAAATGATAAGATAAACCTCCAAGTGAGATGGAGCTTTGTCCAACAGGTGCAATAGACGAGTAATATTTCTGGAATCTCCGATAATAAAATTTGATTCAATATCGAATGTTCCACCAACAAGCTAGAAAAACGACTGTAAAAAACAAGAAGAAATGAATTTATTCACTGCTCATATAGTCATATATCTTTTCCTATTAAATAAAATATTTAAACTGACCGTATTGAAGACTGAATCAACAATTTCTTTGTGTGTAAGAGTTTTGTCATGCAGACCCTGCTGCAATCTTTGAAATGTCTCATCGGGCATTTCGTCTACTGAGTGAATTATTACAGTGTTATTTTCCACTTTATTCTTAATCAAATCAACTTGTTTTTCAAAACTTGACATAGCCTGAAAAACAAATTTTAGAAGGAATGTTCGCGCTTTTGCTTTTTTCATTGAATTGATTCCGGCATTTTTCATAAACACTGAAATCACTGTTAAGCCTTATCTTCATTTCTTTGAAAAAAACCGCTCTGAATTGCTTGGATATTGTAACAGTATAGCTCCATAAAGATCAGTGCAACTTTTTAGTGTCACATTCAGTGTTTGTATTCATGGTATGTTATTGCTTCTACTGCTTACAAATGAAGCTCATGTATAAAGAGACAGAAGATGACCCAGCAATAGGAATTAGTTGTGTATCTAGAATGATACGACAGAGAAATTGAAGAAAATTTTCATGAATGTATATAAAGTCAATAACATGTCGAATATCCTAATTTAATGATACTACATGAAAGATTAAGAGAATGTGAGAGAGAGAAAAAAAGAAATGGTAGATTCCAATATTTTTTAATTCCTTGAAAGTCTAGCACAGGGAATAAGTCGATTATGGAATGAATGTTATGAATTCCCTCATACTTTGAAGTCATAATAATATATTCCATGCAGTACTAGTTTTCTGACTCCTCTACTTTTTTCATTTGACTCCTCATTTCATCTTCTTTTTTAAGAAAAAAAAATTATCAATATTAAAATAATACAACAGGAAGTAACACATGTAAGATAAAGCAAAATACTATTCAACCTGCTCATCTTCCAAAGACTTATCATCTTCATCTCGGACATCAGCAACTTCTCCTTTATTGTGATTATCAACAATATCATCTACAGCTTCCTTCAGCATGCTGCTACTAGATAAATCATTAGCAGTTGATATTACGCTTCTTTCGTCCAATCTAACATCCTCCATTTCACCTTCATTTTCAGCGTCACACAAATTCTGCAAATTTCCTGCTACTTATCGGATTTCTAACACAGTCACTTCGCTATTGCCATATTTATTGAGCTCATAAATGTACAGGTAAACTCAAAGTACTAACTTTACGATTGCTTATAGACAACTGATCACCAAAAACCGTTGTGTAAGGTACCATTTTCATAATCACTTCATAATAAAAGAAGAAGCTTAGTTCACACCAAACAACAAGTGATATGGCTGTTAAGAATGACCAAAAATGTGCAAGATAAGTTACTGATAATGAGTACAGCATGCTTATCATTAAAGACATTGATCGAGATAATGCAGATTCTTCATTCGTTATCAACAAACACTGATAATTGCATCAGTTCTAATAAAAGTGAGAAGATAGAAAGAACAGCGATAATAACGAAATGAGCTAAGCTTAGACTGACTAGAAGTAATCAATTACCTGCATGTGACCAGCAGTATTACAACTTCCTGCATTTCTGGTGTCAACTGCAATCACCTCAATCTTACTATCACTAATATCGAAGGTGGACATTCTCGGCTCCAACACGGCAGTTCCTCCTGCCTTGCGTTTCTCTTCTCCTCTCTGAAATAACTCAATTTGAAGTCTCATGCCGCACAATCCATTTACGTAAGAAGTACTTTAATCCGCTCAGCGCTTTTCACCTATATCAACTTTTTTCATATAAATCTACCACTGAACGAATTATACAAAATGTAACGAATACCTTCTCACCAATACTTACTTAGTTCTATCCACGTCACGTCCACAAGCAATAACTTACCAAGACAACCACCTGTAGGAGAGGAAGTATCCACCACCACTGACTCAGAAGACTTACGTGTGGCGAAGTGCACTGTTTGGTGTGAGATGCACTTTGCTATGTGATGGACAACTTCACTGCTTTGTCGACGAGGTCAGGAGTTGCGGTCAGTTGAGGGGTCATTCCTGTGTCTGCTACAGATGGCGCAAATGTACAGTGCTACTTATGTGCCACGAGGACCAACAACCCAGCCACAACACTGTTCACCTCAGCTCGGACTCATTGTCCAATGTCCATACTGCGCTTCACATTTCAATTTTTCTCCACGCTTCATTTACCCACAAGTTTGTTCTCATTTTTCATATATAACTGAATATTATACATGAAATGAGAGCTTCAGACTGTAGGCAGGCAAATTGCAATAAACCGAGAATGCTATGCTTGACTGTTATTTGGTTTGCTTGAGAAGATATCGATAGACGGATAATGATAAATATTACTTTGATGAGGGTTAATGAGGAAATAAGTGTTTGACTTATTAGCATATTAATTTTCAGATCTGTTCTTATTTTCTTTATTTTTTACTTTCTTTCCTATTTCACTTAATCGCTTTTGTTTTCATTCCTTTTTTTTTTTTTTTTTTTTTTTTTTTTCTATAAAAATGATAGAAATAATGGATCATTACATAATAATATGATGTTTGCTCATTTTTCACACTTTTTCCTTTAGAGATGGCCACAAAATGTCACATACTCACAAGGGTCAAACTTCCAATACATCCAACCATTCACTCAGTATCTGAGTCCGCAAACCGGTGCACCGCCAACTTTCTATCCATCGACACCTCCAGCGTTTTATATATTTGGTGTAAACCAAGTACATCAGGAAATAAGGGATAATACTAACAGTACACAATATGCTGTAAATATAAATGATATGATCGTTCATCGAATACGCGATATCCTTATTGATATCTTAACTTCATCCATGTGTGCGGTGAGGATTTTGTTTCGTAGTAAGAAAGAACTAAAGTAATAGATAGTTGTTATCTTACCATATTCGGCATGTTAGTAGAATATACAACTTTCACTTTTCTCGTTCCATATTTCATCAACTGATTATTTTAATGAGAATTCTTTTATATCATCACATTTGCTAGACAGCGATTAGGTATAGCTATAAACTGTACAACAAACTGTTTCCTGATTTTGCACACTTTTTAAAAGGCTAGTTAAGAACTTTTTTTTTAGATTTTATGATTTTGTACCACCTTAGCCTTTTCCAGTTAACTCCACTCTGTATAAATAATGTCTTTAGTATGGTGTTGGCGTTTCTCAGCTAATGATTTTGTTGAAACAGTCATGTGAGAAAGACAAGATAGTATTGCCATCATCAGTAATGCATGGCTTCATGGATTTCTTGCGCAACGAAATGACTGATTATGTTGAGGTTGAAGATGATCTTTGTCGTTATCGCCATCCAACGCTTCCTATTCAAGTAAGAAATTTTGTGAACCACTTTATTTATTCATTCTGAATTAACTAACTACTAAGCCTGTTCATCGAAATTTTAGTTTCCAGGGATATTAGCTACAACTACTTACTGTAATTTTTGTTAATTTAATTTTCACTTTCAAAAACCGTTGATAAATTCTTATAACTTGCGGATTTTATCGCCATGCCTAGTAAGATTTTTATTTTGACCATGATAAGTAATTAAAAACTGCCGTACGAAAGAAAGACTAAAAGAGAGCTACTATAAGTCCATGTGGCCTAGAGAATGGTAATGTGAAAAGAATTCGAGAGATTAAATGTTGTTATATAAAAAAAAGTCTGATATGAAATACTTAAGTGGAAATAACGAACAAATAATAATTTTGCTGAAATAAAATCGGTGATAAGTGGAGATCTGTATTTGAACAATTGGTTACGGCACATAAAAAGTCTCTTATTTATTTCAGGACAATAGAAGAAATCCACATTGTTGTGATATGTTTGTGAGATCCAGAAGCTATTTTTTTTTTATAGGAACTGTTTTTCAGGAAGAAAGCATTTCAAGTTCATCAGTTTGTGAAGGAACGTCCGGTAACTCTGAAACGTCTCCTGCTGCTTTAGTCCCTTGGCAAGTTGACGTAAAAGGAACTTATTCTGCAGATAATGTGAAAAAAGTCGTATCCAAAGAACAAGTAATGAATGAAAATATTGCATTGTCACTTAGCCTCACTGAATTCCATGGCAATAAGGTAAGGATGACATGAAATTGCTTTTTATAGCAATGATTTCATGACGGTTTTTTGAATTACATGCTAACAGCCTTCTATAATATCAGAAATATGTATGAGTAAAACGTAGAGATATTCTACGAGTTACTTAGTACATTATGAATAGAGGCAGAACTGTCAAGTATCTCTTTTTGTTTAAGTTACTAAAGCATTTGCTTGCAAATGCTTAAATCACATTTCAGAATAATATTTGCATCTTATATCAAAGTTTCATATCCTTGAAAATTTAGAGCAAAGAGTTTTATGGTGAAATAGAACATCGTAGCAATGATGATACTATAACTGACAATGATACTACAATAATTTCTGATGAAGACAGAAAATATAATGTATTGCACGGACATATCGAAGCTAATGCGATTTCGGAGTGCTCATATATGTGAGTTAGCATTCAAAAAATTTCTTAATTATGTTATACGTCATTCAGTCTTCAAAGATATCACACTTGAAAGGTTTCAAAATTATGGCATGATGCAACTTGAAATTCGAATTCAAATATCTACGACAATTTATGTTACATAGTTCAAAGTGGCTGTTTTAGGAGAAATAATCTAACAAAAATTATGGAGGAATGGAAGAAAATTTTTGTCGGTGACTTGAAAGAACTGATTAGATATTTACGGATGATCGATGATTACTTTCAAGAAAACGATAGCAAATTTACTTTGTCAGGATTCAAGGTTTGTCTCTGTTCTCTTTTGCTACACTGGAAGAAATATTCGTTTCTAGTATATGTGTGCATATAGGAAGTCTTTGGAGAATTAAATAAACGATGGGAATTTTGCGACATTGATTTGGTAGAGATGGGTATAATAAATATGGTGCAGGGTACTGGTTGGAATGAAGAACCTGTTCTTATCGTCAATCCCGTTGTCAGGTATTCATTTAATCTTTCAAGAAATTCATTTTTATATAGTTAGCTTTTGTTCAGTGTCTTTCTGTCGACAATTATGAAGAAAACAATTATGTGAAAACTTTCTCCAGGAAAATGGTATTTCCAGAAGTGGCTGAACTTGCTAAGGAAATCTATAATTTCCTGTCAAAATTGTTACCATCTGTGAATTCTGTGAAAGTTGAAGTTATTGTTCGCACAGTGGTAAATGTTTAACTTATTAAAAAGGTCGGTGGTGTCTGGACTGATCAGCGTAGTTAGCAAAATGAAATCGGGCTATAAATTTCAGAATTTTGGTATTAATAACAAGAAAACGATAGACGAGAAGTATACTCTGCTGTGGGAAGTATTCAGTGACTCTCATTTTCAAAATGTTTTTGTCGTTGACGTTTTACAAAAGCAAAATAAAGGTAAGTTGAGTGATGAAAAAATCAAGTTATGCAGTGACTTCTTCCACTTTTTATGTTAAAAAATTTTAATAGTCTCAGGATGGTGATAGAGACAGTTTATCATTCATACACTATTACGTGGATACTCAAAACGTTAAATCGACAAAAATGATAGCGAATTAGTAAAGACTAAACTTACAGCTGCACAGAGCATGTAAGTTATTAATCTATAAACTAAGTGTTTCAGAACGTGGTTTTGATGTAATGATACGACTCAATACGAACTTAAATCTGTTCAGAATATTTAATGAATAATCCCGAAGAAAATAAAAATTTAGTAAAGATAGATATTTGGTAATGCGTATCGATGAATATACAGTAGTATTCTGGAGTTATAATATGTGTTTCAGCTGTTGAAAGGATTTTTCAACTTATTTTGATTTGTTTTTTTTTTTTTTTTTTCTTTATGAGTTTCTTCACTAATTACAGTCTTGAACTGATTTTTTTTTTTTTTTTTTGTACGTGGAATGATTTTGAATCAATTGCTACTTAAAAATGAAGTAGCATCTTGTAGTGAAGAAAAAAAAAAACTTTTTGTTAGAAAAAAAAAAAGACGTGTCATTAGGTTAACAACATATTACTGGTTTTTTTTTCCTCCTATTTGTCAGCAATAAATAACTGATGTGGTTTTTTTTAAATGTATATTACGTTAATGCATTCCTTATGCGGGTATCTGTTGTTTTATTTAACCTGTATATTTGTTGTGTAGTTCCATTCTCTCTGATCATTTTAACGTAATAGTTGAATATATATTGTAGTCCGTTGATGTATTATATACTTTTGTTGCTCTCTTTTTCTAACTTTTGTTTTTTCAAAAGATTTGCCATAAATTGACATCACTGCTATTATTGTTAATACAGTGTAATTCTTTTTCTTAGAAGTTTTGATGTGCTGCACCACTTTTTTAAACATATTTTTTGTGATCTTATCACAGTCACTGTGCTTTTGTCTGAGCTGAATTTGACATCAAAATATCTTTAAGGAATGCTAAAAAACATAGGAAGTGCTCTTTTCCTTAGTAGTAATTGCAGCGTGTTTCCATATTTATTTTTGAAAAAAAGTTGCATCTATTTTTTTAAAGTGCTATTAAACAGAAATCGAGTGTAAGGAATACTATAAGCATCATCTTTAAATCATTTTTTTCTTCGCAGATTTAAATCTGCAGTCATTTTAATCCAGAACGAAGTGCTTCATCCTCTTTTTTCTTTCGTTCTTGCAGGAATTATACTCTGAGAGATTTGACGTTAACCATAAAAAGTATTGTGTAATAAAAGGAATGCTTACTTCCCACTTACGTACTGTCAAATCAATTTTCCAAAAATTGTGGTGTAGAGTGAATAATTGCCGATTAACGTTATCTCCGGCGGAAATGTCAAGTATGAAACCCCTAATTGTCATTTTGGGTTGTACAGGAACCGGTAAAAGTGATTTAGGCATTGCAGTGGCGAAGAACTTTAATGGTGAAGTAATCAGTGCCGATTCAATGCAAATTTATAAGGGTTGGTGAAACTTTCAAATTTCGAAAATTAGAAAGTACTGTCAACAGATAAAAAGCGAAGGTGGGAGTATGTTTTGCCCGTATCTATTTTTGTGGAAGTAAATCAAGGATGAGTATTATCCATGATATTTTTGTCCGAGAAAGTGCTAGGAAGACAACTCATACTTCAGTTAATTATGCTAATGATCATAAATCGATATTCTATAGTAGCAGAAACCGAGGCCTTATTAAATCAAAAGAGTAAAAAAAGGAATTTCTGACCCTTCGGATGATAAAGTCATCTGTTGTAGTCTTTAATTCATGAAAAAACTTCTTTGTGTAATGCTATTTTACGATATGATCGCAAAGATTATATGTGTATGTGCTATTATAGTAGTGAGGGAAGAATAATAAGTAAGGCTTTTCTAATTTACTGACAATCACATATGTCATGCATTTTGTACGACTGAACTTAGTGAGGAAGAAACAGGATTTCTAAGCTTATAATTTAAATTTCGAGGAGTTGCTTTTAGGCTTGGATATTGCTACAAATAAAGTGTCACAGGAAGACATGAATGGCGTGAAGCATCATATGATGAGCTTTGTTGAACCTTCCACCTCTACATATAATGTACACGAGTAAGCATAATTTTATTAGATTAATTTCAGTTTTTCTAAGAATTAGTCTTCTATTTATTTCCAGATTTACTAGCAGAGTACTGATTTTATTAGAAGATCTTTGGCGTGCTGGCAAGCTGCCTGTTATTGTTGGCGGTACGGGGTATTATATTGAAGGGATTTTGTTCAAAGATAGTTTGATATCAACTAACACATTCGGTATCAGTTTTACGAAGTTTCTTTTGCACTAGTTTTTAATAAAATGTGTATGTCCTGGACTTCATATATAATGCTGTTGTTTTGAAGATTTCCATTTATTTGTTACTTTAAATGATTAGCAAAAAGTCCGAACTTACATTTTTGTTGTAGATGTTGAATTAGTGATTTAAGATTTTAGTGATGTGATTCAGTGCCTTTGATTTTATCCAATAAAAGATACACTTAAGAGTTTACTGTCGCCAGTTTTATTTGCGAAAAATGATTGTCGGATTATTAATTGTTTCTCAAATTTGTATTTAATAGATGCTAAGAATGATTTCGAAGATCTCTCAGATGATGAAGTTTATGAATTATTGAAACATGTCGATTTGGAATCTGCGATGCAAGTAAGCTATTAATCTTTCCATTTCCGGTATCACTAATTGTTCTGATTATCATGATGGATACCGAGTAAACTTCTTACATACTGTAACGCACGGCACAACTTGACGGAACGTTAAATGCGCTGTAAGATGTATTCGAACAACAACTTGTCCTTATTAAATGGTTGAAGTGTAACTTCCCCTAGCTATTGTAAGGTATGTTGTGAAATTGTAAAAGTTCCTCGACTTATGAATCTATCTTTAGGTGCATAAGAACAATCGTTTTCGCGTTGTTCGTGCTTTGCAAATTTATTACGCAACAGGACAGCGTAAAAGTGAGTATTTGGAAGAGCAGCATCGAAGGACAGAAGTAGACGAAAGGCTGCGTTTTAGAAATGTGTTATTATTTATTTTGGATGCTCATAAGGAATTGTTGGAAAAACGGCTTAATGAAAGAGTCGCAAAAATGATTGAAAAAGGATTAAGGAGAGAAGTTGAAAATTTTTATGAACAGGTGAATGATAAAATAGTATAACTGAGAAGTTTACTAAAAATGATGAAGGAAAAATTAGAACGAGTCATTGTTAGGTGTAATTGTTCAGATATAAGCACAAGTTATGGAAGATTTTAAAGTGTATTCAGTTCGATGCAGGAATTGTCGTATACTCAGGATCGTGTTTTAGTTAAGAGCTTGAACTGCTACCAATCACAATTGCTCGTTATGCTAATTGGGTGTATTTTATAATACTTAGTTCCTATATGTCTAAAGTTAATACTATTCAGGTATTTATATTATTATGCCAGTACTACCTAATTGCCATCACTCTATGATTATTATTCTATTGACTTCTTCAAATCATCCGCATTGCTCTTACAAACTCGAGTAGATAAATTACATTGACTTATTATATTACTTTAATTCAACATCAACAAATTGTTACAGTACCGTCATTGTCTCACAGCTCATGGAGTATCTCAGTCAATTGCGATAAAGGAATTCCATGATTATCTACAGCTAACTCCGGATGAACGGTACACGGAATTGGGTGATAAACTGTTCAGCGAAGGTTGTGAAGCTCTGAAATTGCATACACGGCAGTATTCACGAAGGCAACGGCGATGGATTAAACAGCATTTGCTCGGAGGAGGTACTTTAACTGAGGTTAGCATTGCATTCACTTTTTTCATGCTTCATGTGATCAAAATTAAGCCTTTGTTGTTTATTAAGAGTTATGTTTAGACAAAGTTATATTTACTTTTGTTTTTAGCAACAGTTCCATTCTAATTTTTGTTTCAGTCAACCAATATAGCATTTTTGGATACCTCGGAGAATTTTTATGATGTCGTAGTGCCTAATGGATTGAATAGAATCGAAAAGTTCCTAAGCGTTATTAATGACGATGTTTTTCTCAAGCGAATCAATGCAGAAAAAGCAAAACCCTTCACAGTTGATTTTAACTACAGGAAACTGGCGAACCAAGTTAGAATGTCCACTTTCTTATTTCCTTCTCGAAAATTTGTAAACTATCTTCCAGTTACTACACTTCTCAAAACTACTAGGAGTAAATGATGAACACAAAATAGTGAGCTAGATTATGATTGTCATTCGTTTATTGCATGAAAATAATTGATACCATTCATGGTTATTTCAGATTTATCGCTGTGAAACATGTAAAATTGATGTGCACGGAACGATCAACTGGGAAGCTCACTTGAAAGGCAGAAAGCATCGGAGAATGCTTAATAAAAAAGGAAATGAATCACAAGCACATGAATAAGTCAAAGGATTAGTTTACTGTTTATAATCTATCAAAGATTGGAAACTACATTTCCTGAATATAGTTCTGGATCAATGTAAAGAGGATGAATACAAGATTACATTTCTTTGTAGGTAAAGATTGGGAATATCGATAATATGGTCAATTATCCTTTACATTTTAATATTTGATGGTAATTCCCTCTTGAATGATGATTTGTCCACTTTTATGTTAGCATTATGAAAAGAGTGGGATTGAAGTAAGAGAACTTGTCAAGCTACACTGAATGGTATACGGTTCACATTATTCTCTATCTGCATTATAATCAATGAGTGAAATTCTGGACATAATACATCTCCTAACAGATGAGAGATAATTAGTGAATGAGAATCACCAACTCAGATGCCTGCATGATTGTTTTGTTATTGCTCAAAAAACTAAGCTTGATTGTAAAACTTAAGTTTGATATATCGAAGTACTTGAAAGTTCAGGAATAAAATTTGTCATTTGTTTCTGGAGAAACTTATGCCACTGTTTTCAACGTGATACTACTGAAATTTTCTTTGCAAGTTTTTTTTTTTTTGTTTTTTCAAAAAAAGGAGAAGGCTCTATGCAGAAATTAGAAAGTACAGTTCCTACCATCGAAACTTGCATCATGTGGTATTACATTTTATTTGCATTACACACCAACACATTCCACATTATCCCTATCATTGACAATATCAGCCAAATTACGCTTTATACAGGTTACATGTAAAAGTTTTAGCATAGTTAAGTTGTAAAAAGTGAAGAGTTATTTACAAGCATGAATCTATCTGACTGCTTAGTTTGGGAATGCAAACCTGATTCGTATAACAATTACGAGAGGTTGGTCAGTAGTGTCTTTCAAAAGAAATAATTGAAGAGAAGATATTTAATTAGTCATATTGGAAGAGATGTGGACGATGAATGTTGGTAAGAGGAAACTGGAAACCAATTTTCCAATAAATCTATCTATACTTAAGAGCATCGATGATTAAGAGTTATTTTCAAGAGATGAGATTTATATTCGGTTATCCACTTTTCAACTCTATAAACATACACTTACCAACTACTTATCAAATACAAGAAAAATTCACTTACAATCACCTTTCGTCCCATTTCTTTTTTTTTTTTTTTTTTCGCTTTCCTACAGCATAGTATAAGATTCGTTTCTTGCATAGCACTGTGTGTGTCTGCTAATTTCTGATTGGAGCAATTGGTAAGATTAGCTTTGATTCTTATGACAGAAGAACAGGTTGCAGTGGAATGTTAGCACCGATACTGCACGAGCTTACCTTTCTCGAGATCACTTCACTTACTTTATCACTGTTGATGAACTTGAAGGTATGAGCTGTACATGTTGACACTGAACTGATCCCTCTTTCGGAATAGTGCAGCATTTTAAAGCCGAAAAGCGAGGATGGGTGTAAGACGATTCAGTTGATGAGTGTTGCAATTGTCATCCACTCCACATCCTGCTTGTATGTTTTTCTGCAGGGAATCTCCATCATCGCTCTCACTACTAGTAAGTTCTTCACGTGCTTCTGTGTATTTACCAGCGCTACTAACGTTCCCACGTTAGCACGTCAGTATGATTGGAACGTTTTTAATAGAATGTAATATGTTCTCTAATAGGTAATACGACACGACGTAAACAATGAAATGAATTCGTTATGCGTTAACTTGTCACTAACCGACTGACATGTCGATACGGTCTGATTGAATTATACGATTTCTATTCGTATGTTAGATTAACCTGTGTCGCATTCAGTGTCGTCAATGAAGTACTGGTCCTGACTTACTGTTGAAGACTTTTATGATCTATTTGATTGCCACGACGCATCTTTCGTTTAAATAAAGAACTAGAATGAAAGGTACTTGATAGACATATCCTCTGATAACTGTGTCGAATGAAGGTAACTGTCCTTAAAGAGAATAACCCCCCACCTCCCTTATCACTTGAACGTTTAACGTTTGAAGCAATTCATGTAAACAAGTCGTTACAGTCAGTCAGAAGACACAACTGCACCATTTTTCACCTCTACCTTTCCTCACCGACAAAGTCTGCAGTTGATCATTCGGCGTAGCAATCAGTGCTTTTCTAAACTCATTTCAACTAATTAAAAAAATCTTTTTAAAAGATAAATTACATGCCCAATTCTCTAACATACGAGACGAGCAAAAAACAGAAGGTCGCATGTACGACAACAATAATATGTGAAGTTATCGAGAATGAAAAGGTGAGACAGGTATCCTATACTGTCTAGTGTTTCTAATATCACTTTAAGCTATCAATTTGATAAAGATCCTTTACTTTTGCTTAGGTATAAAATGAGTCACAACTACGTGATACGAATACATCGTTTAGACTAACCTCCACTGATACTATCACCATTACTATTATTATACTACCAAATAATTGGAAAGATATATTTGTAAGTTATTTGTGTCGAAAGCTTGTTGCACGCTTTTCGTGTTCAGTAGATAATATGTGAAAATCCCATGAGACTGCTTGGAAGATGCTAAATAGCTGTATGAAGAGAAAGGAGAATGTTCATTGTGATAGTTAAGATTAAGGGAGAGATAACTGAGGAGACAAAAGTAATAGCAGAGAAGGATGATGAATTATGTAGCCAAAGAAACCCTAATTAATTTCTTGAGTGAAACGGTCAATACTCTTATAGAGAAGTGGTGTGGCCTGTTTTGTGGCTATTAATAGCTGCAAAGTAAGCGCCGAAATGTTGGTGTGCCAAATGGTGAAGAGAAAGGAGTCGAACAGTTAGTTATTCATGGGTCAACGTCCTGGAAATTGAAGAAAAACAGTTTACCCGAGTTTGCCCGAGGTTTCCTATAGTTAGCTTTTTCCACTTTAATGAGAGAAAAGAGAAGGGATTTGTCTTTTTGAAAATTGGAACAAATTAAGCACTTCCTGCATGCCATGGAATCGAAACAATTGAACGAGAACGGCAAGCTAGGCCAGCTTGATAGGACCAGGACAATGCCTCAAAGTTTCCTACTGCACCCATTCTCTTCTCACCGCTCTTCTCCGACCAGTATCATCTCTCCTTTGAGTCATATTTCTTTTTTCGTGCCAGTTATCGATTCACCTACTTATTTGAGAAGTACTTTTTTACCTTCGTTCTAATCATAGCATTGGCTGTTTGCTTAGAACGCTTGTTGTTTACTTACATATTGGCTGTTTACTCATAGTTATTCAGGAAATAACACAAGTTGTTTACCTGAACGCCAACATATTGACTGTTTACTCTGTGAGGCAAGCAAGAGGAAGCAAGGAAAAGCCAAGGTAGTAAAGGACTGACCTATCCCAGATAAAGAGACATCTCACAGAGAGCAATTATGGAACGGCACTTACTTTACCTACCCTCTCTTCCTGGCATACTATCCTTCATTTTGTCATTCCTCCCTCTCTCCTCTTCTCTCTTCCCTTCCTCACTTCTTGAACGCAGTGGATGCTCCCACACAGACAGCAGCCAACCACCATCCATCCTATCGTACCAGACGAGCACGTAACACTGCGCCCGAGATATCTCGTTCCGTCCTGTGCTTATGTCACTCCATCTTCTACTACTTTAAACTAACCTAACACTTTGTCATCGATGCACGCAAGCTTCGCGAGTGTTGTATTGTAGCAGCAGCAGCAGGCAACGACAGGGACCCCACAGATTATCGTCAGATCGACAACTATAAAAGGTGAAGATTAGAGGACGGAGAAACGGTGTCGGTTGCGGAAGCGGTAGGGATATCTTCATTCTGAGTGCATCGACCATTTAATCGTCCATGATAGCTTTTCTCTGACGAAACCAACACTCTAGTACTCGTCTTCTTGACTTAGTATTATAGAGTGCACTAAGCCTAAGCGTGAAAAAAAGCAATCTTCAGAAGAGGATTGTGGCTGGGCCTAGGGTCCCGGCGGCATCAAGGCGTTTGTTATCGTCTCAATGCAGAATAGAATACACGACACGAGCAATAGTACAAGAAGCCATCTGCGCTACTTTGATTATTGCTGCGTTGTCAACCTGGTTTCTAAGTTACGTCTTTCAGAGATATCCACGTATACTACTTAACTGTGACTCATAGTGTTATGTTCGGTTTACGAATAGAGTAGCCGAACATAGGGTACAGGGGAGATGTAAACATCGACTGGAAATGACTGCATTTTCAATCTTGTTTGCTACTCTCGTAGTATTCGTGATCTCTATATGTTTGTGTGATTAAGCTTATCATGGAGAAATCATTTGTTGGGAAATTCGTGGTGATTCATTTCTTCAACAACTTATTCGGTGTTGAAGATGTTTCATCTTTTCCCTACATCTTATCATTCATTTCAATTTTAAACAGCAAACAGAGCAAAGACGTTTCATTTTTCTGTTTTAATTCGCTCAGAGGTATTTATACTCGGTAAACTCAGTATTAAATATGTAATATACGTTATATAAAAATTCCAAGTGAGAAAAGTCATTGGATAAAAATTCAACAGGTAGCGCGAGATTGTGGACAGGCTGGAAACAATCACAGATACCTGGAGGCGAAGAGTGCTCTCGTATGTCTGTTGACTATAGTGCGCATGATTTTCATGAATCACGTGCGGCAATAGATGCTGCTTCACGTAACAATGTACGTGTTCGACGTCATGGCGATACCACTGTCGTTACTGAATATCGTGATCCCTACTCCTTCTATTGGCAATTAGATCAAGCAAGACCTCGAGAGGAAGAAACACTCAAGTTGGTCCATTTTCCATTTTTATATTAAGTCTTCAGTTATTTCTTGTGCTTAACAGTTAAATGTAGGTACTTTAGGTGCGCCTTGTGTCATAATGGTATTATGCTTCTTATTATCTTATTGTTTTTTGTACTTATTATCTTATTCTTTGGCTGTAATTTTATTTAGTGTTTAAGGTTGAAATCTGTCGAAGAGCTTAATTAGTGAGCATGAATTATTAGCAGCTCAGTTATTAGTTAAATGTTGTGATGTTTATAAATGTGCAGTTATATTAATCACTATGAAAAACTGCAATTAGAATTTGGGATTTATCGAAATAGCCGACAATTGACGGTCAAGATTGACTGATGTAGTATATTTTCCGTCCAAAAGTTTCATTTATTTGGCAATGTCTCTAAATTGTGTGAAACTTAAAGTCATCTTCAGCTTTCTTCTTGAATTATTTTCTTAATTATCGGATAAAATCTAAAATATATTTGCTGTCACCTGTGATGCCCTTTAGTGATCAGTAGCTCTCACAACATTGGTATTTGCTGTGTTATATCGGACTCGGTTATACATTAACTTGCATAAACCTACAGACGGCTTATTTTTCACGTTAAAATGTCCATAATTTCTGAATTTAGTTAAGTTTCCCCGTACTATCTTAGGGGAAATGGACGATTCTTCCGTGATATCAACAAAAAAACTGAGGGAATCAATGATTGTTTCACTTCACCTTATTTGATTTCTAACTTTCTTGAGTGGATGAATAGCTCTTACCTGTCACTGTCCGTTAAGCATAATGTTTCTTATATCTTACGTTTTCATTAGTTATTCCAGTTATTTTTATACAAAACAGACTAGATTTGCATGCAGTTCTAATTTGATAAGCAGTCATTCATTTCAGACCACCACCACAGACTGATTACGTCATCGATGAAGAGATCATAAATGATTCAGTTTTGTCTCCGGACAGTCATGATAGCGGAATAAACGTCGAAGTACAATATAGTAGACCAGTTCGACCCGATGATGCATCTTCCGCGAATCTTCCATTTGGTTGGGAAAGGCATGAAGGTATGTGTGCATATTTTGATATATCTTAAATTCAGTTTTTTATCTAATTTTCTACTAGCTGAGTACTTGTTGGAACGATTCGTGGCTAAATTTCTATGTTTTGAATTCAAACGAGTTAAAAATCTTGTGTAATTTTTATAGATTTAGCATATACCAATTAACATTTTTTCAGATCCATCGGGTTTTTCGTATTATTGGCATGTGGATAGTGGCACAATACAGAGAGAACCTCCGGTATAGAACACACTATGTAGTTTGTAAAATTGAATTTTTGTAAGAAGATTATCCACTGTATATTGTGATTTATTTCCACTAAAATTCTACTTTCAAATCTTATCTGAATGTGTGTTTTTCAAGGTGTTCAATCAGGATGAGATTTCTTTCTCAAAACATTCAGTACAGTTTCATTTACCAGCTAGCTAAGATACATCGGTTGTTCAGAGAAACTCATGCATCTCTGTAACTCTGGTGTAAGCCACAATTTTATGAGTTAATGAAAGTTTTGTTTAGCATAAGGAATTACCAACTGCAACAGTACCCATGCAACTTGAACTTCGTGACCAAGAAACTCAGGCAGATGTGTTGCCGGTACCGCCACCAGTTCAGCAAATTGTACACATAACACCACAGCAACCGATTATCGAAGAACGTGCATTCAAGCAGACTACCACAAAACGATCTGTCGATAACGATTTCAGTGATAATGATGATGATATTGCAAGCAAAGTTGGTGCTTTTGCTGATGTTTTTGAAAATGAATCAAGCGTTTATATATATATTGATTCTAATAATTTATCTTGTTTGTGAATTCCAAACTAACCACTGCTTCTCTCATTGTGCTAGACGTAGTCTATTGTTCATATGAAAAGAGGCTTTGAAATAGCCTTAAGATCTGAAAAAGTCGAACATGCACCATACTTCCCTGGTGCTGAAAATTATGTGCAGACAGTTGTACGATGCTGAGGATGATTTATAGAATGGAATTGTGATTACATTAGTGATGCACTGTAATCTTTAAAATTATTTATTGAAAAAATTTCGGAAATATACGATTTTATAATAAGATATATTTGTTCTTATTACTTTTAGGGTCTATTAAATTTAACAGAGATTTATTGCGAGAAAATTAGATCATAAAAGAAACCGAACAGTTTTGTATATATCAAATTACTATTTCCAGCCGGTTCGATTTGCAGTCCGCTGTTTGGGCTGGACTGAAATTCCGGAGGAAGATTTAACTCCAGAGAAAAGTTCACGAGCCGTTAACAGAGCTATTGTAGATCTGAGTACCGGGCGAAACGATATTCTGGATAATGTTTCCAAGTGGGGAGATGTAAGTAATGGAAATTTCAAGAAAACTAATAGTTCAGATTTTTCTTTTTTTTTTTTTTTTTTTTTTTGAAATAATCTTAAAGTTCATTTTCATTTCGGAGAACCTCTGTGTTATTTTTTAAAATGCAGATATGCAGAATAGCTTTCAGGGTCGAGAACTTATCATGGAGTTAGATAAAAGTGATTTGAAGTTAGTTGATCCTGATACGATGTCTGTGGTGCATACTGAACGAATACATGATATTCGAGTTTGGGGAGTTGGTCGTGATAATGGCCGGTAGGTCGTCATTCATTTTCTATTATAGATTAAGGACTGGTAGCTGAAATGAAACAAATAGTTCCATTATATATGTAGAAATGTAGTGGTTGAACGTTACTTCATTCACATGCCTCTTAGTAGTCGAAGAACTAATAATACAGAACTAATATAATGAGAATCTTTGGATGATTTATAGTGTAATATGCACTGATCGGATAGCTTGGAACTTAGTAATTACCAAATATCACACTTGTAAATTTCCCTTCTACACGTACTCATTCTCTATGTTATGGCTTTTAGCTTTTAGTGTGTATTTGCGTATCCAGATTTGTCTGATTCTTTTTGGCAACTGTATTATATGTTTTAGAGATTTTGCATACGTTGCACGAGACCGGAGTTCGCGTCGTTTTATGTGTCATGTGTTTCGTTGCGACACACCGGCACGAACAATTGCAAATACATTACGAGATATCTGCAAACGACTGATGCTTGAACGACGACCAAATAGTCTGGGTTCTTTGAATTATGGTGAAAGGAGACTTATTGCCAGTCAGTTCAAATCTGTTTGTTTATTTATTTGCTTATGAAAAGAAAAAAGGAGAGCACATGATAGAGCAGTATATTTGATTGGTCTGCAGGAGATACATATTTACCAACTCCAATCGAGGAGCCAAAAAAGATCATTCGATGTCATTTCCTGGGTGTTACACAGGTGCCTCGGGCAACAGGTATTGAAATTCTCAACGAAGCAGTCGATCGACTTGTATCACAGGTTAGTGACGTATATTCTTTTCTGCTGCGGCATAAGTATAGGAGTAATAAAGGTTGACCATTATTTAGAGTTGCTATAACATCGATATTTTTCTTTTTTTTTTTTTTTTTTTCTTCAATAGCAACATGTTCTAGTCATTCAATTGTTTTCTGAAGACTAAGAAAGAGACATAGCTTGCGAATATCCAAGATCATCGTAGGTGAATTAAAAATTTTCTCCTAAAGCATTGATTAGGCTATCCTCTTGTAGAATGAAAAGAATTTCTGGTATAGATTTATAATACCAGAAGATGCTCGTTAGGCAGTATTATTTTGTTTCTTATAGGTTCGATCAGATAGGTGGATATTAGCGAATGTTTCCATAGCTCCATCAACAATAATAATAAGTGAAGTGAACGGTAATCAAATTGCTCAGTGTAGAGTGCGGTATTTATCATTTCTGGGAATTGGACGAGATATCAAGTAAGTCATCCTTTCCAATAAATTTAATTGATCCCGAAATTGAGTTTTCATCATGTTCATTTGTTTAATATTCCACCTATTGATTAATTTTTTTTGTAGCGCAAGTTTCTTGAATGGAGTGAATTTAATTTTATGTAGTAATAATTTTGTTTAGTGCTTGTTTGTTGCGTCTATTTAAGAAAAGAAATTTTCATAGTACTGCGCGCAGTACTTCGCACTGAATTGTAAGTGAGTTCACAACACCAAAAACACTGTTTTGTCAAATTTATAGTTAAGATACAGTAGCTTTTGTAGCTTTATCCTGGAAAAGTGCAGATTCTATCAAAAACATCTTTTTCTTATTTAAAAAAAAAAAATCTTTCAGACATTGTGCATTTATAATGAGCACATCGTCGGAAAATTTCATGTGCTATGTGTTTCATGTGGAACCATCGGCAGGTCCAATGGCTAAAACTATTGAAGCTGCTTGCAAATTACGATATCAGAAAGTTCTCGATGCTCATGCCGGTGGACGAGTACCAGCGAATGGGAAGGTTGGTTACTGATTTTTTCCAGCGTTAAAATTTGTTAAAATTTAACATTTCGTGGCAACCAATCACGTGTTCTGATGACTACCAATTCGTACTGTGGCTTAACAAATATTATAATGGATCTTGGGATACTATTTTATTACTGGTATTTAATTTATGTATTGTGAAAGTTCATATTCCTCGTCACATAATGTGCATGATAAGTATATGATAAAGTTATTGTTTTTGCAGGGTTGGAGCGATTCACTATGGAGTGCTATAGGTAGCGTACGCGATCGTTTTTCAACATCCTCGCGTTGATTTTGTGATCACCTGCTGTGTGATGTTATTATCAACTTCTTGCAAAGTATATGCAAATTAACATACTCTGACAGGCATGAAATCGGACGAGTTTTTTTACATCGCCAGAAAACAGCCATAAGTGATAATAGCAATCAAACGAGATTACTTTGTTTAATGAGCAGTTCATCTAATATGCTTATTTATGAGGATATTTACTTTTTATCTGCATATTTACCTGTTCTCGCTTCTTTGTTAGGGGATAAGCAAAGAAATTGAATTTGAATGCCCATATTGATGGCTTAAGCTGAACTACATCTCTATATGAGCTGTGATGTAGAACATTAAAATTCTCAACCAAATCTGCAAATATCGTTTCAATTCAATTTATAATAAATTGGTGAAGTTTATGTTGCACATTCTCTAAGCGAGTGGGATGCATGTGTTGAAGGTTTTTATTTCAGTTTCATATTTCTTTCACTTTTTTAGAGTGAAATTCAAGCTTTAAATTAAATGGACTAAATGAATTGGGTTTGACATATTTTTGCAGTAGAGAACTGTTTTAATTTAATTGTTGATTGTCTGACACTTCTGCAAAAGTTTGAAAATTGGAAAAATCTGTACGGTAGAAGTGGTATTTTGTATTCTATTTTTTATCAATTTTATATGACACATGTTTTACTAGCTTCTTTCCTGACATTTTTCCAAGCAATATGTTTGTTCCGCAACAAAATCAGCTAATTTTGTAAATTTTCTAGTATAATAAAGAATCGCATATTTACCACACAATGCTAAAGTTTTGGTAGTTTTACTATCATTTTTTTTTTTTTTTTTTTTACTATATACACACAGTGAGCATGAAAAAATGTGGCGGTAATCCGATAATAGTTAAGACGAAAATTTAGTTGTTTCAAGGTACAATTCTATCGGATTTTTATCGGTGATCTCTCCGTTTGTCCGTCTGACACATTTGAAATTCCCTCTCATACTTTCTATCCTCTCTTTCCATGTAACTCGACCACTTCGAAATATTGATATTAATAAATTCCGCTCTTAATGATTCTGTTTTATTTTCTATGGTCAAAACCTAATTATTAGAATATTTCTACGGACGAAACACCACTCGTAAAAAAGAAAAGCATTGTAAAGTGAATAAATCTGCTAGGAATTGAATTTGACACTTATTATTTCATTTTCATCTTTCTAACTAGTCATTAATATTTCATTAGACAAACTTGTAAAAATGAATGAAGTAACACAGTTTGTTTGAAGTTCTTTTCATTCATTTTATTTCATCGAAATTTCATTTTTGTTTTAGATAAACAACAGTTACAATCGTAGTAGCAATTATGTTCTAAGAAATTTATATACAAATGACGATAAATTTATGATTTTCAATGAAGCGAAATTTAATTTTTTTCAACCCAAAAATTCAACTCTAGCATTTATTGGTTTATTTCGCAAACATAATTACTATCCTAAATAATATTCGATTTACAATAATATAATGATTTGATCACAATACTTCTGAATTAAGCTAATCTATCGCTAATATGTCATTCAACTTTAAAAGATCTACTGTTACTTTAAAAGGTAACTAATTTGTTGTATATTGGAGAGCATTTAAAGGTATTGAAACCTATCCTCTTTTGGTAATTCACTGAACAGTACAGTTGATTGGTAGTTGCAGTTGAAGATAGAATTTTTGGCAGTTAAGGAAGGAAGGAGTAAATCCGACATATTAATTGGAAGCGATGAAAAGTGAGTCATCGATCTAATTGAAATAATTACTTCTTTAAAATATCTTTACTTTATAATATGGAATTTCAATTCTACCGATTGAAATGACTGGTATGATCACCAATTTTTTCTAAATAATCAATAATCAATAAATGAGGAGGATATTCCGGATAGCAGGATATTCCGGATGTACTGACACGAGAGAGTAGTGATAAATGAGACGAAGCGTACAACAGCATTGCAGTATTTTACACTTCATAACAGATAACTAACTCTTTGGAATTATTAGAGAAGTAGTGAAAGTGTAACTGAGCTAAATGATTGGTTCGATTTAACGGAACGATCCCTTGCGATCCACTGGATTCCTAAGCATATCAGTGTCACCCGATCGGGTGCGGATGACAGTTCATCGCTGCAGGGTGTCAGTGTTTGACATCTATCGGTGATCACAGCAACGATAACACTTCCTAACAACATTTGCATTTTAAAGAATTTTTTTAGGAACCAAGTCGTTAAGTGAAGAGAAGGATGTGACAAGAGGTGCACTTCACCTGTTGAAATTCAATCATTTCGAGTTCGATCATTCTTCAATTTTAGCGTAGCGTAGATGTTCAGAATAAGATGAGAAATAGCTGAACTCTTAGATAAGCTAAAGCAGAAATGAGAAAGGAAGTGTCCTGAGTACAACTGATTATATTAAAAGACAAATATATGATGTCCTGATGACTGATAATGGTCATCGAAGTAAATTTGTCATCTATCACACATGCTTTACTTCTACCTCGCAAATCAGATCCAATTCGAGATACCAAAAATATTTTTGTCTGCCGTGATCATATTGACAAATGCGGGAAACGTGAAGGACACTGTTCACTTTTGCATTTCACAGGAACTTACGCCGCTAATTGTTCAGTTGTTAAAAAGCTACCCAATACTAACACAGATATCTTCACGAGAGATTCAGCTGGAATGTCTCCAATCTCAAAACTTAACAATTTTACAGTGTCAAATCAATAAAATCTTTGCATGACACAGTCACACCGCGGAGCGCAATGGTGCAAGAATGCATATGCCGCATGCATTGCTGGAAATGTTGAATAACTGCGCGTAATCCAACACTTTCTCGCAATCACCGCATCAATCGAAGTTATCGTTTGTTAATTTTTTTAGAAGAGAAATATGGCCATTCACTGGAACTTGTAATCTAGGGACATGTTGTCAATTTTTCGAGTTTTAATTAACTTTCTTATTTCGTCTTCTCTTTATTCGTGACTGAATTCTGTTCGCTGCGTAAGATTTCTCACAAACACTTCCATTTGTGATATTTATTTATTCAAAATCTTTTTGAATAGATTCTTTGCTATTCCATAGAAAATAATTTTCTGTACGACTTTTTACAGTTTCACCAATACTACTTGCACTTTTTTACATTTCACTGTGTAACCTTCTTTTCACTTAAGATTTATAAAATCGTTTTAAAATTTCAAAAGTTACATGAAAAAAAAGAAAAAAAAAGATGGATCGGGAAGATCACTGTGGTATGAAATAGTATGTATCTGCGGCTCTGTGCAAGAGTACACGTCGTCATCATCCGGAACAAGTAATGTACAGCTTCGGAATAAGTAGCAACGTATCTTAGCAACGAGAATAAGCAGTGTTCACGTTGCGGAACAAATGGATGCTCATGAAGACGTATGAATTTTGTTGTATTATAGAATGAAAGTACATCGAGTATGTTCCGCATTATTGTCGAGAACGCAAGTTGACATATAAATTCAATTGAGTGAAATCACAAGTGCTAATTGTCACTTAGGACAGAGCAGTGCAAAGATTCGTCAGTCTCTTTTCAACAACAAATTCCGAATCAAAGCAGATATTTTTACCGGTTCAGGCAGCACCATTCAGGAAATTGACCTAAACAAATGACTGTGGTCCGTAAGAGCTAACAGTTCCATGTTCGACGGCTATCCGAGATTACCGATTCTCTGTACAGTAATTGGTTGAAAACAGATAGCTAACAAAAGCAAGAAATCCCTTCAATCATTTCGCAAGTCCCTAAAATTTTGATAAAATCAATCGAACACAATTTTTTGCTTGATTGAAGCATCTTTCTCTGTCAGAGTCGAAGTGACAAGCAGTACTGTTGAGGAGAGGTAATTGAGGTCACTGGGAAAGTGTATGCAATACAGGTAGAAATTAATGTAATAATTAATGAGAGTCGAAAGAGAGACCCAAAGAGGACAGATGACAGTGTCCTAGTTTGATTGTCTCAAACTGACACTATTATCCACTCTTCTACAAGTCGGTGCTAGGAGGAGGGAGGAAAGGGCGGAAGTTGGTATTTCCGTCTATCAATCAGCGCAACTGTGCACCTAGAAGGAATACCGCACGAAGTGGTTGGATGTCTTATTAATTGAGATTAGTGAACCTTATCTTTTAACTGATAACCGAACTTATCATTTGGAAGACATTGAGATTACTACGACTTAGTTTTGATCAATAAATGAAGTAATGGGCAATAAACAAAAATACGAATGAAAGAGTTATGCGATAATGACTGTCGCTTAAATGAGAATCTTCGAAGTGATCGCAATCTGATAAAGAAATGCCCTGAATTCTGTCTCTCTTCAGAAAGAACTGTTTTAAATATTTTTCACAGCAAAGCAGGGAATAAAGTTGAAAGAATAATAGGAGTAATGGCTGATTCACTCTTAATTAACTCTTTAGTTGTGCAATTATCAAAAGGAAGTGTAGAAGTTGGCGTAAATTATCAGACATTGGTATAAAGTTTAAAATAACGAAAATGATAAAACATTAGAAGCTGATCCTAATTAATTTAAACTAATCGTACCATATCATAACTTAATTTAACATTAAATTTCATTTACATTTTCTCTAAATGCTAAATTAAGCATTCGACTGTTTATGATTAAACATAATCACCGAAAATTTTCAGAGCAGAATGAAATATATTTTTTAAGTAATAACTGCAATTAAATATATATTCAGAAAAGAAATTCTGCACTATACTAATAGATTATCACGTACAATTATACTAATGAATTAATCATTAATCAAAATTATGCACTGATTAGGAAACATTCATACTGATAGCGAATCAGACGATCCAACAATTTCCGGCAGTCCAATAGTTCCAGAGAGTCCAACAGTTCCAAAGAGTCCGACGGTACAGAGAGTCTAGCAGTTCCAGAGAATGGTCATCGTGACTGGAACTTCGATATAATTCTGAGAAAGATAATTGATTCAACTATTTGCTTCGG